TGGCTGGGTTAATTGCGCAGTACTCAAACTGCTGCACCCCTGACAGTCCTCTCTTAAGAGACACTAATAACAATTAAACGTTAGTATTCTAATTAGATTCTACTCCTCGTGGCAAAAACATCATGATTTGTGCCTCCATGCAACCACTAACCCTGAAAGCGATGGAGGCTTTGGCGAGAATACAACAAATCCATCTTGCTTTATATAAAAAGGCACATTCATATGCGAGCGCTGCATGACAATACCACAGTTACTATAAATTCAACTTGTATAACCACGAAGAAAGAGATAAGAGGCCTCAGCAGAGGTATCTTTTACAAATTCTCGTCTGCCCATCAAACATGTTTTTTTAAACATATCATGTTCACATGATAAACTGAGGATATACTGTAGGACATGCGTGCAAAGCAGGTTCAGTTGACATCCTGTGTCATTTTCTACACCACTGCAAAGCAGATCAACAATCCACCCTTAAGCCAAGCACACAGTCCTGTATGTCTAAATCTGTCTGCGGGTCACGTATGACAAATGATACAGGTTTCCGTGTATGCTGCCTCATGGACACCAACCAATTTGCCGTCGGATTGTAATCTCATAGCCCAAGTACGAGAGAAAACAAGTGCCAACACAAACAAAACCACTACAATGGGGAAAAAGCACACGCAGGATGGTACATGACACATTTACCACATTTTTAATCGTGAAAAGATTACAGGAACTAAAACTATTTATGTACAGGTGTACAATGACTAAATATGCAATTCTGCATGTAGAATCTTGCCTTATTCATTAAAGAAAGCCATAACAGTGTTAAGTAAGTGTAAGTGCCAAAATACGTTTTAAAATCTAAAACATTGTCCTTTTCCAAGCATGGCCAAAGACAATTTAAAGTAAACCTTTGACCAAGGACAAATCTAAAATGTATTTGTCTTATGAAAATAAATTCAACACATTCTGCAGAGTAGCTCAAAACTGCTTGTTTTGGGAGACAGTGACACAAATCAATCAAGCCTTCATGGCTGAAAATGGTATAACTGGGATAGATGCATTAAGCAGTAATGCAAAAAATAATGGAAAATTATCTTAATACTGCCAAGGGACTCCTCACTTCTGCACATGATGAATGCAATTCCACTAAGGTTAGTCAATGGGCGTGTTTCCGAAAGCACCAATAAACAAACATCGTTCTGCGTGCTCCAATTCAATAAGTACTAGACGCTTCACATGTATACAAGGATTCGATTTTGGTACCATATTTTCAAGATTGAATGGCCTTTGTTCAAATTCACAATTTGCATTAGATCTGTGCCAAGTGTAGCATGAGCAATGCGGTCTGCATTCTCAAGGTTGATCAAGGCTTTGCAGGGGCACACCCTGTGCCATGAACTTGATGCTATGCTGTCCCACCGAGTGCATGATCAGGACTTACTGGTGATGCCCTCAGTCATGATGTCTGTCATCTTGCAGCAAGAGGAGAGCATCCTCATACTCAGCTGGTCGACCACGAGTACCTGCAGCAATGCGACAATTACGTGAAAAATCTTGAGCCACAACACTGATTTGCAACAGGATTTTATAAGGTAATGAAGAGCAGCAAAATTAACTTCCAAAGGAGATTGCCTTTATACGTATGCATGCAAAACAAAACAGGTTAGTGTGAAAAGTGGGGGCCGTAAATATAATGAGAAGATTTAGATTTTACTTTACTGAACGCACCTTCCATTCTCCCTTCTTTTTCACCTTTTGGATAACTTCTTTCATGATCTCTGTTAAAGAATAGGTCATTGAATGTCACGATTGAACACTAGGAATGTGCATATTGCCATGTACCATAAAACGTTGTCATGTAACAAGCCACTTCGGCCCGATGCAGGTAACACTGTATATTGGTGACAGACACAAGACACGATATTATAAGTTTCCACCGACTAGCTAAGCAAATATCAATCCAGGAAAAGTCAATGTTTTTATCACCATGTCTTTAACACTCACATCATTTGGTGGTCTTTCGTCATTTAATGTTTGGCTTTAATATAAACGTGCGCACATATTATACAAAGCCACATTTATATTAAGTAAACATGAACAAAAAAAGTGTGCATACCAATTTAGCAACATGCCTGCGTGGTCAGTCAAGTGGTGAGATTGCACTTACTCCGTGTGAACAGTGGTGGTTGCTATGTTTAACTAAAAGACTGGACCCCTCCTTCGTATTGTGGAATTTGTATTACGAACTCTGGACCAACGGAATTGAACACCGCCCTGCACTCAAGTGAGAATCGTGACACTTTTGACATTTGACGTATCAACATTAAGTGCAGTCTCGCAATTCAACTGTCGCAACCTCAGATATTCCACACAAGCGGCAGCAGCTTAAGCAACAAGAACAGCAAAAAAAACATGCGAGGAATTGTTATTTAAGTAAGGGACAACACACACGGAGAACCCGGCCAATGAAAGTAAACTCCAGAACAATGCCATACGGACGCGTCACGAGTTGTGCACACAGCAACACTCACGAATGTGCCGACAACACCGCACTCCCTAGAGCATGAAATGTAACGTGCCAAGAGGCTTGTAAAACATATAATTGCGGTGCTGTTTAGATCGTACGTGTGCATTCAAGTGAAGGAATGTCAATCAACGGCACAACAGTGGTTAATCTGTAATGTTACTCAGCCCAGCCATAAAAACGAGGACGTTCCGCCACTAGCTATAAAAACAGTTGAGATACTGTACTGATACTAAAACATTGATTACACCGATTTAAATATATAAACGCAATGAAATACGCCCAACAAAAAAACAAACTGCTCATATCCTGTACAGCATTTACGCTTTTTGGCTGTGTCGCAAGCTGCCTTGCACAACTTCAAGTTTGTCATTTAGGTAAATGTGTGTAAAGGCATGAATGGCATGTGTATTGGGACTCTCTATTCCATCTACTTTGATTAAAGTCTCATCTCCCTTTTCACAGCCCTGAGCCAGTGGTGGGAATTCCACATTACCATGACAGATCCGAGTCACGTTGTGCCAACGAAGACAGTACAGTATTATTGTTCTAAATCAATTAATATTCATTTTACATGACGATGGCGCCCTCAGTAAAGTACTATGGGCTGGAAGGCCCCCAACTCAAAGATTAAACACACACTTCGACATTACCCTATTATTAGACTACACGCCCTAATGAGTGTGTTTCTAATTTGCTGTCAAAATACCGCTCAAGGATAACAGCCGAGAGTAAACGACACCACAAAACAGCGCCAACATAAGCAACACATTACATATAAAACATGTGGGGGGGGGGAATTCCACTCCCCGCGGTCACGAAAGCCCTGGTCACACAGAGCGACCCCGAACAGGGACGCCGCGGGACCTCCTTGTCCCCCCCCGCCGCCGAGTGTGATCTCCATCATCGGTAGAGCTTCTAGGAAACACCTAAGGCTCCGCGGAGGCCTAGTGTCCTACGCACAGCAATATTGCAGCGGCGCAGAGTGCCGAGAACGGTGCAGTGAGCCTACACCTCTGAAAGTCCGCTCTTAACATAAAACAAATGCGACTTGTGGCGAGATAAGCAACGGTCAAGCAACGAGCAAAGTGGCGAGAGCGAGCGATAGAGAGGCGCTTACTTTCCCCAACCACCGCTTTGAGTCCATACGTGGGCGCCATCTTGTCTCGCCTCCTCGGGGAGGGGCTGCTGCGGGGGTGGGGGAAGCGCGTGCGTCCGTTTACATTTCCCAGCGAGGATGGGCGACGCCTCTCCTCCTCAGCGCGGGCGCCCATTGGTCCAAATCCAACGATCGCGCACGTCGATTGGTCAACTTACCTCGGGTTAGGGGGGGGGTTAGGGAAGGGGCTCTCGCTCATTGGCAATCAATGGGAGGGGCGGGGGAGGGGCGGGGGGGGGGCGCTTATCCACGCTGGGGAATTTAGAGAGCTCGGCCTTCCTTCCCGTGACGTCACCCCCCATCACCAACACCCCCCCCCCGCAAGGAGACTCACGTCAGCTGATTGCTGCGGCTTTGAAAGCCACACTTGAAGAGTAAGGCATTAGGTGGTTAAAAAACCCCGCATAATTCCACATTAAAGGCAACACTATTGACGAACGTATCGGATTTTTTCATTCTTGTGCACTGTTACTTTTTAAGGCATAAGCGTGTGCAATAGTGGGAGGTACTGGGGGTTCCAACAAACTTTATTTTAAAGCCAGAAACAATGTAATAGTACAGTATAAGATTGCCACTTGATTTGAGGTTTGTAGCTGGCAACAAAAAAATAAAATAGGCTCAGTAGTATAAACGCTCTCTGGGATGTATTAGAATGGGACATTTGTATTCGTGCAGAAAATAAAAGTCCCAATGAAATTGAAACAGAAGTTTGCCTTTGTTATTTTATTGTTTTGGCTGTCAAAAGTTGATGGAATTCCCCAATGCAGAACTCCTTAGCTCGTGTATGCGGTGGCATATTGATCCGATCAAAAACGTGGACATTGATAACATGTGAAAATAGCCAAAAGTGAACTAAGAAGCACAAAAGCACAGAGAGATTTATGTTTGGTATTCCAAACGTATGTATGATTATTGTTGCAAATACTTATAGCAACGATATGCAATGATGTAAATATTCTATTCTGTTATTTTCCCAAGTAAAGTAGTATTTAAATGTATCTATACGCATTTAAGCACATCATGTGTTATGTATTTTTCATTGCAATATTGCAATACATTACATAGCAATTACACCACCCACATTACATCACAATAAATACGCTTTTACCGTGTCTCCCCCTTCAGGTAAAACAAATACGTCATCACATTAAATTTCAGCGGAGCAATAATGCAACCCACACTAAATCACTTTTTTAAAAAAAATCTTCCCTTCTTAATAAGTAAAAAAACATAGCATTAATAGCCTCTCTCACGCGGATTTTGGAATAAAGTGCGTGAAATAGACTGCACTAAAATTTCATTTAAAAAAAACACGTGCTTATCACAGAGACACACACACCACCACACACACACTTAGCCACCCCGTAGCAGCTGACTCAACCTACAATGCATTATTCCCGGACCGGTGTGCAAAAGCTGTGGCTCGTTGTCGTGTGCCGAACAACCATCGTTCTTCACGTTGTTGTTGTTGTCATCATCTGTGATCAACTGTTAACGTGATAACAGTGCGTCGCAACGATTCTCAAGGCACACGTTTTGTTGCTTTACCCCCAACTGGGCTGGTTGTGTTTATGAATGAAGAGCGGGCAACCCGACTTGGCGTTTGAACACCATGAGTGTGCACAATGAGCTCAACACAAGTCTCCGGATTCCTCTTGAAGATCAACGAGACGAAGGTGAATGTCGTCTTGAATGTGATATTTATCCCCTCCCCCCCCTCTCTCTCTTTGGAAATATTTAACCCGAGGTCTTCATATATATTTTTAATCTCTCTCTCACTCTCGCTTCTCGAAGTGACCGAATTGCGACACTCTTTAAATCTACAATTCCTACCGCAGGCTACAGTAGCAGTGGACTGTAATTGCAATCCATTGGCCTGTGACAACGCGATAGTAGTACTGTGATCCTACACAGTACTACAGCTTGGATAAATTGCCCTAAATACCACTCGCAGCTAGTAGTGAATGATTAATTCACGTGCAGCGCCTAATTTTGGTGTCAATCCACTGCTGGATGAGGGCCTTCTCTCTCCCCCCTCCCCAACCGCATGGTAGGTTAATTGGCCATACTTCTCCACTTTTGGGACAGTGCCGCTTTGTTGAAGTACGGTACAACAACGACGACGACGACAAAAAAACAACCACAATTGATGTTGCTGTACTGCCCCACAGTTTACACCAAGGCAGAAGCCTCATAACACAAACACAACACACGGTTTTTGCGCATGGCGGTCGATCATCCGAACACTATTGAGGCTAAATTTTGATTTAAAGCTTTCGTGACTGCAGTAATTCATATTCTTAGCTCTTTCGGTAAAGTCACGTTGAAAAGAAACAATAAAAGATATATAAAACAATACAAATTCTCACCTGATGACCGTTTGTGTTATGGTTGAAACGTCGTGAGAATTTTTATTGTTTTATATGTATTTTATTGTTTCCCTTCAACGTGACTTTACCGAAAGAGCTAAGAATATGAACACTATTCAGGCTTTTACCCCCCCCCCCCCACACAGCTTAGCTTCGGCGATGTTGGGTTTTCATTAAGGTGATCGTTATCATCTCTTTACAAAATTTTTTTTTAGTTTTCACGATTCCAGTTGGCCGCGAATCGTATTTAAAAAGTGGGGTGAGAAGACGCAGAATGGCTACTCTGCACTTTCATGTAAAAACGAGGGCTTTCTCTCTTCCCCCCCTGTTTACTGCTTGAAAGTGTAAACTCTGCGTACATCATTTTGGCTGGGTGCATAAACATCTTAAGTGGGGATGTTATTTTCTCCCCCCCCCCCCCCCGAATGTTTTAGAATGACAAAATACTGGCCAATTCTCCAAAAGGCAGCAAACTAGGGTGTCTGATCTTGATGGCCAGTGTTCTAGAATGACAAAATACTGGCGAATTCCCACAAGGCAGCAAACTAGGGTGTCTGATCTTGATAGCCAGCGTTCTAGAATGACAAAATACTGGCGAATTCCCACAAGGCAGCAAACTATGGTGTCTGATCTTGATGGCCAGTCTTCTAGAATGACAAAATACTGGCGAATTCACAAAAGGCAGCAAACTAGGGTGTCTGATCTTGATGGCCAGTGTTCTAGAATGACAAAATACTGGCGAATTCCCCAAAATGCAGCAAACTAGGGTGTCTGATCTTGATGGCCAGTGTTCTAGAATGACAAAATACTGGCGAATTCTCCAAAAGGCAGCAAACTAGGGTGTCTGATCTTGATGGCCAGTGTTCTAGAATGACAAAATATTGGCAAATTTCCCAAAAGGCAGCAACCAGGGTGTCTGATCTTGATGACCAGTCTTCTAGAATGACAAAATACTGGCAAATTTCCCAAAAGGCAGCAAACTATGGTGTCTGATCTTGATGGCCAGTCTTCTAGAATGACAAAATACTGGCGAATTCACAAAAGGCAGCAAACTAGGGTGTCTGATCTTGATGGCCAGTCTTCTAGAATGACAAAATACTGGCGAATTCACAAAAGGCAGCAAACTAGGGTGTCTGATCTTGATGGCCAGTCTTCTAGAATGACAAAATACTGGCGAATTCTCCAAAAGGCAGCAAACTATGGTGTCTGATCTTGATGGCCAGTCTTCTAGAATGACAAAATACTGGCGAATTCTCCAAAAGGCAGCAAACTAGGGTGTCTGATCTTGATGGCCAGTGTTCTAGAATGACAAAATACTGGCGAATTCTTCAAAAGGCAGCAAACTAGGGTGTCTGATTTTGATGGCCAGTGTTCTAGAATGACAAAATACTGGCAAATTCCCAAAAGGCAGCAAACTAGGGTGTCTGATCTTGATGGCCAGTGTTCTAGAATGACAAAATACTGGCGAATTCCCACAAGGCAGCAAACTAGGGTGTCTGATCTTGATGGCCATTGTTCTAGAATGAGAAAATACTGGCGAATTCTCAAAAGGCAGCAAACTAGGGTGTCTGATCTTGATGGTCTGAGGAGGGCCAGGTTTACGAGAGAGCGGTGGGTGCTACGCAGAGAGAAGAGAGATATATCCATGAGACATACAAGGAAGATGAGAGCTGTTGGGAGCGACCAGTATTAGACAGAGAGATATTCCAGAGACGGGAGAGAGATGTATCCAGTGGGGCGATGTATTCACAAGGGAAATATGAGATAAATGGGAGAAAGATGTAATGAATAGACTCAAATAGATGCACTTGGATACCACATCACTTAAGCTGGACTGAAGTTAGGGATACACCATTTTTGACATTGATGCTGGTCCCTCCAATGAGATGACATCGATGATTTCCTGTCAATGTTTTTCTTTCGACGTTGTTTATCACGCCGAAAAGAAAACCAAAATAGATTACATTTTAAGCTCTTTTATGAAAAAATAACTGGTCCCTCACCAAAGGTCCCTGCCAGGCATATGTGTAGTGTGGATAGGTTTAATTTTAATATACTGGAAAGTCGACTAAGTTTGCTGTTGGTTGTAGTACAGACCATATTACCCGTATTTTTCTTAGTTTTACAAAACTGTCTGTCACTCTCAGCTCAAAACATTTGAGGAATGGAGAGCCCCTTAAGATATTAGCAAGGTGAAAAAAAGTGTCATGATTGATATTGCATAGGTTAAAGGTCATTGATCATATATAGCTCATCGTAAAAGTGATCGTTCACAGCTGATTGGTTAAATTATAGTCTGTTTAATGTCCGTCGTGGAACTTTGATCTTTGAGCGTGACAGCGTATACTGTGCATAAATATCACATCATCACTGTACGTATATATGGTCAGTCTTAAATCATCTGCATTGTCTTGAGCTGCACTGCCCTCTTGCCACGGTGTCTTTTTTCGCGACACGCAGTGCCGCAGAGGCCAGCGACTGCGATGGATGCCGGCCATGGGCAGGGAGCCGGGCCAGCATGGCCTCAAGACAAGCCTCTCTTCACCCCCCCTCTCTACAAGCAGCGCTACGAGGCCATCGTGCAGCTCGTCAAGAAATACAGGCCGCGAAGAGTGAGCGGAAACAGTCTTAATGACCTCCATCCACAGCTTATTTCCAGTTTCTTCTCCCCCCAGCGTGTGTGCAACACAAGCCAGGCATCTCACACAGAGTGCTGGTTTAACTTTGATCCCCCAGTGTGATATATGCCTCTTGCGTGACTGAGAGGGGTTTTTTTATTACTTTTTCAAGCTATTATACCCAGTATAGTTTGGTATGTAAGCTTTTCGGTGCATCTCATATAATTTTTAAACGCCCAAAAACAATGGCTAAGAGACGGCAGCACACTAAGTGGGTTTACGAACTGTTCTGTATGTATATTTCGGTGTTATCCCCTTGTATTCGTGGTGTTTTCTTGAGGTAATCAAGTTTTCTCCCACGTGCTTAACACTTCAAATGGGATTAGCCAAACATCCCAACACAATAATCTCCCGAAAATGGCCTTAAGAATGGATAACAAAAACATTGACATGGATGATCTATAATACCCCCAGCATCAATGTGTTTTAGTTCGTGGCTATCTATCAACATTGACGTAATATATTTTGAACTCTGCCGATATTATCTCTGAAGTTAAACCAGAGTATGTAAGGCCATTCTTTATTTATTTTATTATTTCAAGAAATAGGGTTTGGTTTTCTGAGTGTGTCAGGTAAAACCTTACAGCTCTGAACAGGGTAATGAACGTGTATATAATTAACACATTTACACAAAAATGACACGCAATGTATATATAACTAACACCTGAGACAATATTTAAATTTCAGGCCATAACTGGAATGGTGTATCTTGTTTTCACTCTGTAGATGGCTGATTTTGGCTGCTCTGAATGCAAACTGCTTCAGATAATCAAATGGGAGCCCTACGTGGAAGAGTTGGCTGGCGTGGACATTGACAGAGGCGTATTGATTCATAACTCGTGAGATTTTATGGTTCCTTTTGTATCAACTCGCATTGCTGTCCCACTGTACGGCGGTGAGACACAAGTGTTCGAGCTGCACGCGACCTTTACACAACCGCCGGTCAGCTGATGTTGTACTTGTTAAAATGTAACTTGCCTTTATCTTTCACGAAGGCACACGCTGCAACCTCTTCCGTGCGACTACCTCATACCCAGGGACAACCGCCTCACCGTCAGGCTCTACCACGGCTCCGTGGCAGACAGGGATCCCAGTTTGTGTGGCTACGACTTTGTCAGCTGCGTCGAACTGTAATTATTTCCTCTTTCAGTGAGCCCTAGAAGGGAGATGAGCTAAATGCAACGGCAGTTTAATGGATCTGCCAAATATGAATTTATATGTGTCAATCATATAATACCGACTGGCTCTTCATGATATGACCGTTCACACTTTCTCTATGGTCTCTTTAACAACAAAAAATGGCAAATGTCATCATGGAAATGCTAAGGCTAATTCCCTTACATTTATATTTTTCACAAACTATGAAACATTTGTTGTGCTAATTATTGTAGGCTTTGGTGTACTGTAAACAAGGCATTTTTATTCAGCATTTGGTTTTGGTTCTGGCTTGAAACCCCATCTTAGAATATGTTTAATCATCTTCAACACCATAAGTCGTTAACGCATGACATTGGAATTGCCGTATATAAATAGCCATTTTAATTAAAACCTGCAGTACATTGACATCCAAATAGGACCGTCAAACTTGACAGATATTTCTATTATAAATCTTGTAACTTTTATAAGAAATACATCAAATGTTGCAATCACTTGTATATTTTGAGCAGGTGTTGATGAATTCACTTGGATGACTAAGCTTAATATTTGAGAAACACCATCTTATCGAATCCGAGAACTATTACATTAACGAGCACTTGCTTTATTTAATGCAGTTGATTTTCCACTGGCAGGATAGAGCACCTGGACTCAGAAGTGCTGGCTGCACTGCCCGGGGTGCTGTTGGGCCACGTGTCCCCTCAGGTGGCCGTCATCACCACACCCAACGTGGAGTTCAATGTGCTGCTGCCTGGCCTAAAAGGGCTCCGGCACTGGGACCATCGCTTTGAGTGGACGAGGGGACAGTTCCAGGCATGGTATGGCTCTGGATCCACATTTATTAAAATATAAACTATTTTTTATTTTACCAGGTAAGGCCCAACGAGCTATATAGCTCTTTTTCAGAAGCGACCTGGCCACAAATGATAGCTCAACTAAGTGGTTTACCATGTGGAAATGTATAGTAGCCAAATATGCTCAACGCATGTTTCTAAATTGGGAGGGGAAAAACCGGAGAACCTGGAGAAAAATCCACTCGACCACAGGGACAACATGCAAACTCCAAATATACAGGCGTCAGGGCCGGGATCGAACCCATGCCTCCTGTATACCAGGCGAGACAGTTACCATCTCACCACCGTGGCACCAGAGGGAGGAAAAAAACTAAACCGCTGTCGGTGATCAGTGGTGTGCCGTCCTTGTGTGAATTATTTTTTAGGAATGCAGCAGAAGCTGGATATAATGTTGCACTTCTTTCGCACCATGTGTAGCCCAGCGTGCTAATTTTAGGTCAAAACAAACGAGTTTTCAATCTAGATTTAAAAGTGCATAGCTCGAGTGGCTTCCTAATATCGTAAGAAAGAGAATTCCAGACAGCTGCTTAAGCACATCTGAAAGCACGATGCAGTCACTGTTTTTGTTCGATGGCTGGCCACCTAGTTGTGCTTATATCCAATGTCGTGTGTTTGTATCAGAAGTTGCTCTTTGCATTCGCCTCCCCCCCGTGGAAGGATGTGTTTCTTATACGGTGGTGGGCGAATGGTGGTGCACGCCTGTAATCCAGCACTGTGGAGGTCATGGTTGGTGGATCGCACTCATGTTGTGAAACTCCTTTCCCGTGGTAGTCGAGGTGTCATACTCTGGGTCGCCAGGAGATGGTGGTACAGCAAGTGTGGATTAATCTCCATCTATTTCCATCTATTTCCATCTAGACGGGGATAGAGTGTTTGCCCCCTTGCGCGCGTGGGTTTTCTCTGGGTGGTTCAGTTTCCTCCGAAATTAAAAAAGCACTCATTAATTGGCAGGAAACATCTTAAAATAAAATCCCAATGTAGCAGGACCCCCACCTGAAAAAGAATCTGACAATTCGTTGTGGCTTTCCTTGATGAATGAGAAAAAAATATTATTACATGAGAACCGTACTTCAATTGCATGTGCTTATATTTAGCTTCCACTCTGCAATGAAAATGTCATGGGATTAAAAATCGAATATTATTTCATTTCAGATTATACGATCGCTGATGATCGTATTTATCTATAATATTATTGGCCGTTTTTTTGGTAGGTTGATAATCAACTTCGAGGGGCCAGTTTTGATGTCTTCTGCTTCTACTGATCTTGCACGTTTGGCATGCCTGTAATCCAGCTCTTTTATGAACGACTGGGTGTTTAAGGTTATCGATTTGTCGTATTATCTGGCTGTATAGCAAATGAAAAATATAATCACTTTATTATGCAAGTAAAAAAATTTGTTTTAATATTTGTTCTTTTATTTATGGGGTCCCTTTATAACATATGCTACAGGCCCCACACTAGCTTAATCAGGCACTGGCTACACACCGCCAACCCTCAGAGGAGTGCAATAGTTGATGGCAAGAAGTGTTTTAAGGTCCCGAGCATAGAGATTCGAGCGTAAAACCCGGTGTCCCAATGGGCATATAATTTGTCAGCATGTTTTAGGTTGACGCTTTGAATTTTGCAATGACTAATAACATTGGACAGAGCAAAATAATTACACTTGGCAGTGATTTAGAACTAACATTTAAAAAAAAAAAACAACTATATATTTTTAATGGATACAATAAAACAAGCTATTCATGTTCTTAGATTAAAATAAATTAAACAAAAATAATCAATCTTGAGTTGAAGCTTTTGTGACTGCTGGAATCCATACTCTTTGTTTTTTTTCGGTAAAGTCACGTAGGTAGAAAATAAAATCTAAAACATCACAATAGTGTGCAATTATTTTAACCAGGGGCTGTGTTGGCAGGTGCACGGATGTGGCGCGGACGTACGGGTACAGCGTCTATTTCAGTGGCGTCGGTCTGGGGCCTCCGGGCCACCACCACCTGGGCTTCTGCTCTCAGATGGCCATCTTTGAGAAGGCCAACCCGTGGTTGGGAAGCCTTCATCGCACCGTTAAAGACACCGGAGGTCGCTACGAGCTGGTACGTGCTCTGCAGTGTTAGGCCTCGTAAAACTCGACCATAATGGTAGCAGTGGCTGTTAAATTGTCATTGATGCATGTGTACTGTGTGAGCCATAACACCTCAAGAGCTATATTCCGTAATGCAACTTTAATCATTATGAATTATAGCCCTTTGTTAAACCAATGTTGAATGAGGTCTTCTCCATGCCATGTTGTTAATGGGAGTTCTTTGACCATACTGCACTCATCAATGCGAGTTGAAGTGGGTACCCAGGATCGGTTCCTGTGTATGTTGAACTTCTTTCGCACCATATGAAGCCAACTGTTTTAATCAGATATTACTGACCATTGTCTCCAACTCTTATCCTCTCTCTCACGTACTATGAAGAAGGGCCATCAGCTGTAAAGTCACCTAATTTTATTTTTTTATTTTAAGGCAGCATTATAGATGAATGTGTTGGTGTTTTCCGCATTGTTAGCCATGGCTGGCAATTGAACTCGGGAACAGTGTTCATGGTGCAATACGCTAATGCGCCATCATTTCATCACGCATACGTGCCTTCAGCCTTAAAAGGTGGCAGTAGTTAAATTGGCCTTTGCTGTTAACGTTCTGTCAGCCGCAGAATTGCAAATCACCTTCCATCATGAACATTTTAACCATGACGCTTCAATAATTTTTCATCAGTGTTGTGTGCAATGAACATTGATGAATTGTAACAACGGTATATATTCGGGTGACAGTTATATTGGTTAGCGGGAAATATCTATTGAGTACGCACACACATGTATGCATACACCTCGTAAAAATATATACAATTGACGTCCCCTTTATTTTTTTACTATGCGCCGCATATATCCCGCCTTTACTACGGACACCCCCTGTCTCGTAACGCTTTTCTATTTTTCAGGTGTTCGAGTTTGTGTTCCCGACCTTGCAGGACAAGCATTGCAGAGACACGATGCTGCTGTTTGAGGTGAAGTTCCTCGTAGACGGAGCTGTGCGGCGATACCAGGAAGAGCGCGACGATTTCTGCGGAGGCAACGCCACTCCCGCCGGCGGAAGTCCCACGTTCCCGTCACCGCCAACGAGCTGTGCCGTGTCCCCTAACTCCGACTCGGAGGCCTTTCCCCGGTGCTCCAGCTCAGGAAACGAAACTCAACCCGACGGCGCCGTGTCGCGCCACGCTCGAGGCTGGCCTCCAGTGAGGCAGACGGCCATCAAAGCTTCGTTTAACGGTACACAGATCCTGATAGACTTGGCCATGATTTACATCTCGGATAAGGTGCAGAAGCTGTGCAGCTCTGTGGAGCAACTGCGGGAGGTTATCAAGTCCAGCAGCACCTTCCAGCTCAGCCATGACGAGACGGCCATCGTGTGCCATTTGCCAGAGAACCAAGAGCTGGACTGGGAGAGACGTTATTCATAAGTCGAGATGGCAAGCTGCAGTCCGCTATGTTTCTCCAGCAGTCTTTGTCCAGCAGTTCAACTGAAACAGCAATGAGAAGTGAACATTACCTCATTTACACGTTGAGATCGGTATAAATGGAGACACCATCACTGGAGAGGAGTTGACAACCCGTTTTGAAAGTACTGGACTTTGGTCATGTTTTGAGTTCATCTCGGAGTGGATGTGGCACTTGGGTTAATGATAATGGGCCAGTATACAGATTCAGATACATCTTAGAGCTATGCATTAACAGTCACTCCAATGAGGTACTGTGCTAAAAAATATATTTGTAAACCTGTTAGGTCACCTGTTGTGCAGATATTTAGCACGTGATAAAGATGTTGACAATTAAATGTCTTAATGATTTTTAAGATGCTTAACGAAATTAACTTTTATTTTAATGGCAAAAATATTACATTGTTGGTAGATTTTCTGGCAATATTTTTTTTGTTTGACATTGGAAGGCGAGTTCTGCAACTCAAGTCATGTTAACTTTCCATTTTATCATCCATGGTCCTATTTAAGAGCTAATCCAGACGTTATGACAGCATCAGATCTCTTTAAAACATATTAGGCTTCGTTTTGCAGACGGGAGAATAATACCTTGCCTTCAGAAGTTAGTCACTGTAGTAAGTGCATTTTGTCCGAGTTGGTTGAAGATTTCGACCTTCAAAAAAATAATGAAAAGTTGTTACGGACTTCTACACTTCTATTTTCTCAAAATCATTAAAGCAAAAGCAGCATTTCTAACAATGTCTTTTTTATGTTATAAACTACACTACACACGGATTTACTAAAATAGTGCCCCCCCCCTTCGATTGTATAAGATTGACAGCTCAGGTGTGGGATTTGACTTCTTGGCCACGGCAGTATGCAGAGACGTCCCGAGGGTACGGCACATCGGGGGCAGCCGCCCTGGGCCCCACACTTGGGGGGGGGGGGGCACGTTTCGACATTACGGTGTCAGATGTAATACTTTCGGTTTGGTTGTATGAATGGCACTGGCAGTAGGCAATCGGCCTGGTAATTCTTGAAAAGGTTAATCTAATCTTCACATAACTCATGCCAGACTTACCCAGACCCATGGCCGACATGGCCTGGGAAGGCCTTCATCCAGCAGTGGACGGGGATCCAGTGGACAAAGGTCTTAGTACGAATGCCACTTATGACTGTTGCTGCACAACTTGGGTTACTCGGAATACCGCATCACAAAAACAATAGCTGCAATCAACTCTTCATGCACACAAACAGGTGGAAGGCAATAAATCCAAGACACAAAAGTGAAAATTCTAAATGTTTTATACAAAAAAAAGGGAAACACGTTGACCTTTGGAAACGTACACTAACATGCCGATGCATTTTGGACCATGCAAGAATGCTCTTCTAAACACAAGGGAATAAGTTCCATTTTTCTTGTTCGCAAAAATAACACTCATAAAGAACCGACACTGGCAATGCTTCACTATGGCACGATGAAAGGTGCAACACGCATTAACATGAACATTTCAAAACACTTTACGCGAGCATTGACAGGATACAGTCCTTTTACAATGGGGAAAAGAGCGTTTGGAGTGCATTTTATGTCTGCGGATAAAAATAGCAAAGTTGGAAATGTGTACTTATGTATTGTTTTAGTGTGCAAGTTTTATTACATGTAATGCACAAAAAAACTCAACGAGCAGCAATTTCTATAATAGGCTACGATTCAGACAAAACAATAGTGGTCTTCCAGTATTTAAATTGTAAAACACTTGCCCAACAGGGACATGGCTCATTTTTTTAGTTTGCATCATGAGTGTACTTAATGTATACCATGCACTCAAGTGTCAGCTGTTCATGTGTCCCAAATAATTTTGGTTCAGCAAAGTCCAAAGTTGTATAAAAAAAAATCCCCAAAAATTACCCCAAATCACCCAAAAAAATGGCACAACATCCCACGTCTTCCACAGGCTGGGGAGGTGCCAGATTTGTCAGGATTTTCACCGAGATTTGGAGGGGGGAAAAAACTATGCTCGAGTTTTGTTTTTTATTAAACCCTGAATTTTATAAGACTGCAAAAAAATATTTCACTACTAGCTAAGGTACGTACGTACATCAAGTAAACAAAAAAAACAACTACATTTTCCAGAAAGAGGCAACCAGCCCGCTGGTCACATGGCAGCAATATAAAATTAATCATGAATCCCAAGACACATGATGCTAAGTTGGCACACGCAAACAGCTCGAAATCCGGTCAACACTGCAATTGGATTCAATCAGCTAAAACTGAACTTCTCGGGCTATTTCTACTGCTATTCATGTCAGTGCCTCAGCCAGTAAGACAAATGTACCAAGTTTAATCATTATACTAAGTGAGATAAAGAACAATGGCGTGGTTATAATTTGAATATTCTCATTTCAAAGACATTTTCAAATATTGCTCGCCCCCTTGACCGGATCACAAGCCATGAATTGTGCCCAAAAAATGTGCAGTGTACCCATAGCTATACAATGCGTTTTACGATGTTCACAAGCTACTTAAAAAAATACTTAACATTTTCAGCTATCAGCTTAAGAATGTCAAGACGATCACGATTGTTGAAAAAATATCGTAGTAATAAAAGGAAAATACAAGTGATTAGGCAAAAATACATTGATTCCATTATCAGGACATACACAAATCTGTTGTTGATGCAGTTTTATAGGGAGGAATCCCAACACGTTTTAATTGTAAAAGCATTTGCACATCATAACAACTAGTCAATTGGTTTATATTCATAATACTGCAACACGAGGTGGAATTACCGTCAAGGTTTAACAAATCAGATTTTTCCTGTGTCCATCATTCAGAAATCATATTTGTAAGTCATATAAAAGCCACACCTGCAAAATTACTTGACTCGCTAAACAAAGCCATGTCGTCACGGTCACCGATGCGCGCGCTTTGCCGATGACTCTAAAAGCACAATCAGGATAAACTGACACATCGAATTTGTTGACGTTTTCTGCAGCACGTGACAACACAGCACCACTTGAAAAAACTAAAATGCACACACATTGTAAATACTCATGTCGACGTGTCCAGCTTACAACTAAGCAATGGTGCGGCGAACGGTAAACATCATGCCACATTGTTTTAATTTAAAAAAAACATGCAGCATTCGATTAGGGATTCAAGGAGTCACTTTAGCTCCTTTGTGAGTAACAAAAGTGAGCCAACTCTAGCCTTTTCTGTGCCAACAGCACACGCGACGCCCAATACAGTTGTAATTTGTGCTGCATGAAGAGCTCAGTAATGCAATCAACTTTATGGATGTCATCTGCAGCAGGAAGGCTAAAATAAAAATTGAAAAAAATAAAAACTCCAGCAGGCTCAGTTTGTACAATAAAGTGGCATTCAAGTTATCCCGTGCTATTTTTGTTCATTTGATGTGGTGGCTCAACATTTGTATCAATGCCCCCATTATGCCAGGGCCTACGTAGTCGTCTGAGCAGGATGATGCTTAACACGCAGCAACCGCCACGCCACGCCACGATGCTCCAAAGTCATCGTCTCTCCCAGACTAACGTCACTGGCCCCAGGCGTGTTATGTACACTCCAGAGCGTGACCAACGTGGACATTTTGCTGCACATTTTTTCTTCTTGGCTGGATCCTTTTTTATTATTTCAGCCCCGTGGTTCCATCCCTCTTCACAAAGAGCCTGAGGCCCTCATCTGGAAAACATCAAAGACCGACAAAAATTATAAGTGCCAGCCTTGATGTGGAACTTTCATGAGCTGCATTCTCGAAAATTGGCCCTGATGAGAGCTAGCTGAGGATTTTTTTTTTTGGAAACCATGTGCAGGGCAGATGGGTGGCTTCATTTAGGTGAATTGTGGATGCAACACCCTCGTGACTGAGTTTCGAATCGCACTCTTGACAAAAATGAATAGAATGCCTTCGCGTAGCAGTCTGCAACAAATCTTGTCCGCAAAGAATTTCGACAAAGGGTTTCTCTTTTTCACACAAGCAACCATTTCAACACCCAACCGAGTTTTTTTTACGTTTTCTATGCTGTTCGTGTGAACAATTTTAAATTAGAGGCAATTACCTGCCAAGTTTATAGTTGGCGATTGAAACAGCCATGTCCGTATCCTTAAATCAATGCATGTAAACTACATTCTATCAACCCAGGGCACTGTGTGGGCGATTGCTTGTGAAACTACCAACATGAAAGGGACAATTTTTATTTGTAAAAAACGAAGTCTGGAAATTCCTTCAATTTGATCAATCAAAACTGCAGTCTATTGTTTTGGCAGAGTGCATGCTTTAAAAAAATGATTGCAGTAACCTTCAAAATAATAATACAGCACCATATGTCAACACTGCGAACACTGCTATGTAACTATTGAAACCAATATATACCACAATTCCCTATGACCAAAATCACCCCCAATGTGCCAGATCTTCATCAGATCTCAGAAGCTAAGCAAATTTAGGCCTGGATAGTTTTTTTTTTATGGGTGACCACCCCATGCATGCCAGGCTGTTGTTGAAAGCTGCAGGGCTGTATTATGTGGTTGGCAGCGGAGTACCATGCAGCAAAATCCATAGTTCTGTGCTTCTATGCTCTCACTTGTGTAGATTTTATTTTGTAATCGTTTTGGTTTCGTCATTTAGGTGAGACTTATCCTGGCCCTCAAGCGTTCTCACACGGTTAAACAACATACACTTTACACTTGAAACCACATCTAACCTGGGTGTTTTTATTTTTAATAAGCATAGGGTTCAATTATTTGCATGGAGCAGCCCTTTTTTCATGACGTGAACATTACGGAAGCCAGAACAACAAACAGCACAACAGTGGCGAACGGCCGGATAAAAGACTCCCGCGTCAGTGTCTTGGAAACGGAGGGGGGGGGGGGGGGCGGCGTGAGATGCTGTGCGTTCGGTGACCGAGAAAAACAGACAAATACATACCTTCTGTGTTGGGGTCAGCCGTGAAGTCCTGCGTCTGCAGAATCTGCTCCACGATATCATCCGCGTCCACCCTCGTAGCGTCAAACCGCTTCAGCTCGTTCTCCACAGAGTCCTTGCGTCTACACACGGCCGCGCAGAGCAGCGGCGATCGGCAAGGAAGGTAACATCCTTTTTAGAAGACAACGTTACAAAACAAAATCCCGCACACGCACGGATCGCGTAATGCGCCTTCCGACAAACGTTGGTCTTCGGAGGTATTTAATCAGCAGTGTGAAAAGCTGGGGAGAAGCTGTCGGGGCAAAATGCGTTGGCGCATCGCAAAGTCACTTTTAAACTGATTCGTGTCTCAAAGTTTTCGCAAATCCTTTTAATCAACTTGGCCAGTTTTAAATAGGGTAAATCCCAAATAACAATACAATGTCATACTACAGGTTGGGAGTTATATGGTGCACCCCCCTCCCATTGTGGACAGACTTTGCTAATGCATAAAAGCTTTCAGCCTTAGTTAAAAAGCAATGTTACTACTTCTTCCTCTTCAAAAGCAGTACATTTCAGCCCAAATAACCTTGTCGAAAATTGATTGCTGCACTTGAGTGAACAGTACTTAGGTCTGAGATTACAAAATGCTCTAACAGCTCCACAACGAAGACCTAATGCCAGTGAGGTCAAGCCCCTGATTAAGGGAATTAAGACAGCAGCATCAATAACAGTTTTATGTGTTTCGGATGCACTACTCAACCAGCCGTTTAGTTAGCAGACCTACAAAACAAGAATATCACACGAAGTCTGCGACAATATATTCTGCTGCCCAGCAGCCAATGTTATGAACTGTACGAGGGTTTAAAACAAAGCAACAAAGATTTACTTAACGGCAATTACCGGAAGACGTATACGAATGCTGGCTGCAAGTGGTGACGTACACACAATTCGAGCTTCCCTAGTGTGAAATATTCTCCCACAATTTAATTCTTTCTTTGACAAAATAACAATGACTCTACACGTGCGTTCGAGCCCCTTTGTTAATCCACTGCTGGATGAGGACCTTCCCACACTGTGTTGGTTACGGCGGGGTTGTTTTACCATGCCTTAGCAAACAGGTTATGGCGAAGTTGTTTTACCGTGCTGCACCACGCTGATTAGTGCGGGTTGATAAAGGGGGAGGCGGCGGCCGAGGACAGTTTTGGATATCACTCGCCACTGATGTTAGCCGTGACTGGGAATGAAACCCAGTCTGTTGGGTTCATAGTGCCAATGCTCTAACCAAGCCACCACCGCTCCACTGGAATATATTTATGTCAATACAAAATTGCAAAAGTCATAGAAATACATTCGAACAGGATTTAAAGTAAGGTTGGTAATGATTGATCCACCGATTAATATCTATTCTTAATATAACAATACAAGAATAAAATTATCCTTTTTTATTTATATATGCTGTAAGTAATGAATTTACGTGACCCTTACAACCACTAGCATCCACTACGTTCAAATATTTGTTGAAGTTGGAATACCAAACAAACTAGGATGCCTAAGACACGAGCTTTAATGAAAGGGCTCAAGCTTAGATTTGTGAACCTTAATATAAGGATGCCACGGTGGCAAGATGTTAACTACCTCGCCTGGTATACAGGAGGTCGTGGATTTAATCCCAATCCTGACGCCTGTATATTTGGAGTTTGCGTGTTCTCCCCATGGTCCCGTGGATTTTTCTCCTTGTCCTCCGAGTTTTTGCCTCCACGTTTAGAAGCGTACATACACAGTATTTGGATGCTATAAATTTCCACATGATACACCACTTCGTTGAGTTATAAATTGTGGCCAGGTCGCTTCTGAAAAAGAGCTGCATCATATTCTCAAAATTTATTTTTCTGCGCATCCACATTAGCTTCGACAGAGCTCCACTCCTTAGCTTTCCCAAAAAATATTTTATCATTCTTTCGTGGAATTTACAGCTCATCCGTGATTAATTCAACCAAGGAAAAAATAACATTAAAAAATCCCCAATTTTATCGCGATTGTACCAGCAGCTTTATATCACGAGTCAAAGAATGTGATTGGATCTTTAGCAGAGAATGGCCTGTGCAAATGACTATTGCAGAGCTGCCTCTGAAATCCCTTCAATTGACCTCTTTTCTATAAAATAGGGGGCAGCACTTTCCCACCGTGCAAACGAGAGTAAATGTTCATCATACGACAGTTATACCAATATTTTTTTTCTCGGAGCTGGAGTGTTAGTCAAATTAAGCGTGGAACCAAATGTAATGTGATATGCAGTCATTGTTGACCAAGCTGAGACCATCAAACTCATTATACCTGATAACCTCATTATAACCACATGTGGCTACATTATATTATAACCACGTGTGGTTATAATGAAGTTCAGCGGTGGCAGCTCAGCGTTCTGAGCTCTGACTCACCAGGGCCACCACAAAAAAAATATTCTTAAACAAGGACGTGTTGAAGTGAGCGTTGACATGGCCCAGCGGTATCACGCTCACCGCTTGTTGTAAAGGTTCACAGGTCAAATCCGACAGGCTGCCCACGGTTATAACGGTGTATTAACCGTAAAATAAGGCCATCTGCTTCCCAGTGGACGTTAAAGATCCCCTTGACATCATTTGAAACGACTAGGCCATTGTGCGCCGGCATCACGGTCCACATTTGACAAATTCAAAATAATTACCCACAAACCACTCAATCGGGATTATACATTACAACATCGACCTAATGCAGACCATGTCTGTAAAATATAGCACCTTCACGATGATAGCCTTGCGCTTTAAGTAGGCCTCGGCAAGGTAAGGTAATTTACCCCTTTTTTACCGGGTAAAAGGGTAAAGGTAAAGGGTGAAGGTGTGGACATGCCAAGGGGTAAGGTAAAGGGTAGGGTAAAGGTAGCTCGGAAGAATTACCCGGTAGAGTAAAGGTAGCACGAAGTATTACCCGGTAAATACCTTGTTTACCACTCGATAAAAGCTCCGTGGTGCAGTCCGTCGATTATTCCAATTTAAAATTGGAATAATCGAGAGTGTTCTATATGAATAAAGCGCTCTACCTAGTATTTACCTGTTATAAACCTTTTCATGTGTAGTACCCCAGTAATTACCCTGTAATCGGGTAATTTGTATGGGGTAAGGGTAAAAGGTGGAAGCAGATGAAGATTCGCCAACTCAACAAGCAAACGATCTCCGCGTGAACCTCAGTTTTCAGTTTCATTTATTTGGTATAGCCCTGTGAGCCATTCGGCTCTTGAATCGGGTGCAACCGCAAGAAGTAGACATACACGATGGCACAGCCGCGTATTCATTCAAACGGCCAGTGGGGCGCGTAGGTCAACCCGGGTGTGTGTGTGGCAGCAGCAGCAGCAGCAAACGTTGCCCCCTGCTCCTCCCTTTTTTTGTTGGCGCCAGCAGGGTACAGCACGGAGCACTCGCGCGCCTCCAGCCTAGGCGACCTCACACACCGGCGCAACACATCCGGGGTAGAGTGATTGTATTGTGGTAAGGTAAAAAGGTAGGGTAAAGGTAGGCACGTTGTTTTTACCTTTTACCTTACCTTGCCGAGGCCTAGCTATAAGAATGGCACAAACACCAAATGTATTAAATAATAACTAATTACACAGATATAAAAGCCAGCGAGGGAACGCACCTGTACCTGTCGGCGGGCTGCGGGGGCCGTGGTGGCTTCACTCGCTCCTGGTTGATGCTGTCTGGCATGCTGCCGATGCCCGTGGACGCGCTGCTGTCCCCGGATGTGTTGCGCCGGTGTGTGAGGTCGCCTAGGCTGGAGGCGCGCGAGTGCTCCGTGCTGTACCCTGCTAGCGCCAACAAAAAAAAAGGGAGGAGCAGGGGGCAACGTTTGCTGCTGCTGCTGCCACGCACACACACCCGGGTTGACCTACGCGCCCCACTGGCCGTACGAATGAATACGCGGCTGTGGCATCTGCCATCGTGTATGTCTACTTCTTATCGTTACAATGGAACCGGTTTCTTCAACTACATTAGCTGGTGGGCCACATTAGTAAAATCGGTGCATGCTGGCTGGCCACGTGACGCTACATGGCATGGTGCCGTCGTAACATCCATACGTACTGATCTGTATAATTTGTCTCAAGGTCTCTTACAGTGAGGGGAAAAAAGTATTTGATCCCCTGCTGATTTTGTACGTTTTCCCACTGACAAATAAATGATCAGTCTATAATTTTAATGGTAGGTTTATTTGAACAGTGAGAGACAGAATAACAACAAAAAAATCCCGAAAAACGCATTTCAAAAATGTTATAAATTGATTTGCATTTTAAGGAGGGAAATAAGTTTTTGACCCCCTCTCAATCAGAAAGATTTCTGGCTCCCAGGTGTCTTTTATACAGGTAACAAGCTGAGATTAGGAGCACTCCCTTTAAGAGTAACGAGCTGAGATTAGGAGCACACTCTTAAAGGGAGTGCTCCTAATCTCAGCTTGTTACCTGTATAAAAGACACCTGTCCACAGAAGCAATCAATCACTCAGATTCCAAACTCTCCACCATGGCCAAGACCAAAGAGCTCTCCAAGGATGTCAGGGACAAGATTGTAGACCTGCAAAAGACTGGAATGGGCAACAAGACCATTGCCAAGCAGTTTGGTGAGAAGGTGGCAACAGTTGGTGCGATTATTCGCAAATGGAAGAAACACAAAAGAACTGTCAATCTCCCTCGGCCTGGGGCTCCATGCAAGATCTCACCTCGTGGAGTTGCAATGATCATGAGAACGGTGAGGAATCAGCCCAGAACTACACGGGAGGATCTTGTCAATGATCTCAAGGCAGCTGGGACCATAGTCACCAAGAAAAAAATTGGTAACACACTACGCCGTGAAGGACTGAAATCCTGCAGCGCCCGCAAGGTCCCCCTGCTCAAGAAAGCACATATACATGTCCGTCTGAAGTTTGCTAATGAACATCTGAATGATTACAGAGGATAAATGGGTGAAAGTGTTGTGGTCAGATGAGACAAAAATGGAGCTCTTTGGCATCAACTCAACTCACCGTGTTTGGAGGAGGAGGAATGCTGCCTATGACCCCAAGAACACCATCCCCACCGTCAAACATGGAGGTGGACACATTATGCTTTGGGGGTGTTTTTCTGCTAAGGGGACAGGACAACTTCACCGCATCAAAGGGACGATGGACGGGGCCATGTACCGTAAAATCTTGGGTAAGAACCTCCTTCCCTCAGCCAGGGCATTGAAAATGGGTCGTGGATGGGTATTCCAGCATGACAATGACCCAAAACACACGGCCAAGGCAAGAAGAAGCACATTAAGGTCCTGGAGTGGCCTAGCCAGTCTCCAGACCTTAATCCCATAGAAAATATGTGGAGGGAGCTGAAGGTTCGAGTTGCTAAACGTCAGCCTCGAAACATTAATGACTTGGGGAAGATCTGCAAAGAGAAGTGGGACAAAATCCCTCCTGAGATGTGTGCAAACCTGGTGGCCAACTACAAGAAACGTCTGACCTCTGTGATTGCCAACAAGAGTTTTGCCACCAAGTACTAAGTCATCTTTTGCAGAGGAGTCAAATACTTATTTCCCTCATTAAAATGCAAATCAATTTATAACATTTTTGACATGTGTTTTTCTGGATGTTTTTGTTGTTATTCTGTCTCTCACTGTTCAAATAAACCTACCATTAAAATTATAGACTGATCATTTCTTTGTCAGTGGGCAAACGTACAAAATCAGCAGGGGATCAAATACTTTTTTCCCTCAATGTATCTATCCCCCTTGTTCATTTATCTTTCATCTCACTAATATGCATCCTCTATGCCTTGGCAAAACTTGGCATTCATAAACTCTCATTATGTCACCATCTCAAGATGCTGTACAAAATGGGAGGGCGGGGAGGGGCTAAGCACGTCAAGGGGACTTGGTAGAGACGAGTGTTGTTCATTATTTATCATGGAGGTTATGTAACTTCTAACAAGTAAATAAAATATCACAGCCTACAATCTTGACACAAATTAGTTCACCGCAACAAGTCATCGTTATCATCACCATCGTATCAGCCATTACGTATTTAATGCATAATTAATCACCTTTATGCTATCAAAATCCTGTGACACAAAGTGCTTGCCTAAATTGAACCACAATACCTTGCTGATCTCGTCAAAGAGCAGAAACCATCATGGAAAATCCGGTTGTCCTACAGCAGTTTTTGGCTAACCATCGAACAAAGACGGTCACTGCATCGCACACTTTCAGATGCGCTTCTGCGGCTGTCTGGAATGCTCTCCTTCCGATATTAGGAACCCACTGGGAGCTATGCACTTTTAAATATAGATTTAAAACATTTATTTACAACTGCTCTTTGTCTTTAGTTAGATGTCCTTCTCCCGCATCTACAATTAATACGGTTGGCTATGTACGGTGCGAAAGAATTTTAACATACATACATACAGCACAATCTATTTTTACTCCCACACACAAGTTTATATCCTTCCATCTTCACAGCGGATGTCCTCTCAGGTGTGTATCCCTCCCTTGGCTGGCATTCCATCATCAGTCTCGACGATTGGCCATATTACCTTTTAGCAACATGTCCTGCCCAAGCCTACATACTTTTCTTAAGTCAACATATTTCTAATTTGCATTTGATCTCTGATCCATGAGCTGCAGACTGACAAATAAAAAGAAACTGAAAAGTACGCAAATAAGCCAAGAGAGAGATGCGTGCTTGGAATTACACTTAGAGACAGAAAAATGAACTCCATGGATCAGTGCCAAAATACACAAACATTCAATTGCCATACTTTACTCAAAAAAGGCCCAACATCTAATATTACCACATCCAACGTGAGGATGGATTAAACAGTGTGGACTCACCATTAAAATTTCACGAGAAAGCAAATACACAGAGAGAGGATCGGCTAACACTACCCCCTTTTTATCGAAGGGGATAAAATTGCACGACAATTTATAGTGCCTTTGATAGAAGACCACTGGACCAAGCAGCAGACAACCAACATGAATATGAGAAGGACAGACAATAGGCTCTCTTGCTAATTAGTGACAGGCAGCCCTTGGACGTGAATGAACCGACACAATAGCTGCATTTGGTGCGTGACGGTGCACTTCACGCCGCGCTGCCAAGCGACGCTTTAAAGCCGCCGTTTTGAAGGGGGCTTCACAGCGGTTTATTCTGGAAGCCTGCGGTCGAGCCCTCCATTTCATCTCTGCGAAAGGTCATTCGACATCGAGGAGAAAACTGGCTGCTGGAAGAATGCATATTTCAGTCTGTTCAATGCCACAACCTTCCACGGAGCAACCGTCGAATCCCCCCACGTAAGTATGCTCGTGAAATTGTTACCTGCTGATGAGCAACACCCAAAACGTACCCAACAGTGCCCGACACTCACACTGTGTGCCAGCTCACGAAGAGAAACACTCCGCCAGCGTGCCTGTACCTGTTTTTAGTGATCGTCTTAGGCCAGCAATGTGAACGCAGTGGGGAAACAATGCAACTGACAAGAGCTGTACCTGAGATTCGGGAATGCTGGCTGGCAGAGCTGGAGCTGCGGACATGTCCCGCTTGAAAGGGTTCATCTGCACACAACATATTCATTTCTGCAACACGTTAATGCACACAAAATAGAATGGGGAATACATCATGGATGTTAGGCAACAGAGACACAATGCACATTTACGTAAACGTCGAGGACACAATATTGTTGACGGAGCATGACACAGAGTTATTCAGGAGAGAATGAATAAAATGGTTAGTAGTATTCATATTCTTGGTTCTTTCGGTAAAGTCACGTAGATAGAAAACAAAAATCTAAATTAAAAGCAGAAAAACCCTTGACGTTTCGATCACAACACAAGCGGTCTTCATCGGGTGGAGAGAAATTATGAAGACCGCTTGTGTTGCGATCGAAACGTCGTGGGTTATGTGCCTTTAATTTCGATTTTTATTTTCTATCTATGTGATTTTACCGAAAGAACCAAGAATATGAATTTCTGCAGTCACGAAAGTTTTAAGTCGAAATGGTTAGTAGTAGGACAGTTTGTTGTGTTTAATTCAGGAGAGGTTAATACTGATGTACAGCTCATGGATTTTAAAAGAAGTTCAAGGCTTCCATGAGTCTCAGGTTGCATCCCAAAGCCAATATCCAATCCCAGCACAAGCACATGTGTCCCACCAAGTATTCAGCCCTGAAAGTATGCAGGAATCTTTAAATATCCACATGCCATCATGTCAGGAGGAGAAACAGTAGGGTTTAATTGCAGCTCCCTGAAACCAACTGCTTCCAAATGCACGGCTCATGCACATCCAGAGAATGTGGTTTATTTTTTCCTCCAAAAACACTTACTGGCAAGATCTTTATTCTTCAACCACTTTCCTGCTGAATTACAAGGTGCAAGACTGTCATCATTGTGGATTCAATTTAATCTTCCACACATTTATATTTCATTCAAAGGTGTGCAATGCCACAGAGCAGTATAAAGAAAACTAATATGACAAACACATTTTTCAGACATGCCCAAGTCTGCTCTGAATGCAGAGCAGATTTATTTCACACCACACTTGCAAAAATATTAAGACAAACTGCCGCTAGACTAAAGGGTGCAAAGTTATTCAAATGATAAAGAATTGGTGGTTTTAATGTAATAAATGTGACTGCTGATGCCTAGCTTTGTTGCTGTTGTCTTCTGCAGACATGTGCAATGCACTATGTGCACACAAACAAAAAACATGGAACTGCTATTGTTTCACTGGTATTTTTTGTTACACGTGGGTGGTTGGGGACCATAAATATATAATTAAATTAAGATGCATCTCAAAAAAACAAATCGAACATTGAAGACGGCAGCCAAGGCTTGTGCGTCCTGAGCTGTCCCAACCCAAGCTTAAGGCTTATTTGAATGATTTATAATCATTGTCAAGCACTCTCGTGCTGTTACTGCATTGCCACGACATTAATAACGTATGTGTGGGAGTGATATCACTCAAGCGCCACGAAGACACGCCTGACCGAGGCATTACTGTGCACATTCTCGAAATGGCCAGGAGGCTCCCGAGTGCTGAGTTGGCATCAGCATCAGAATATGTATTTATTCTGGAGGAACCCAATGAGCTATAAGTTAAAGGATTCTGAAAATGGTTAACAGTTTACCGGTTATCGTTTAAAAGCCCTGTTTTGATGTAGATGTAGTGAATCGGTGGTCTTAACGCCACAAGAATATATTAAATTTGGTTCTGCACTTAATTTGGCAAAATTGTAACTGATAATTAAAATATCGTTATGACTGTCATGCGACGCATGGGTAGGAAGGTGCTGCCACCCACTGTGTTGAAAAGAGGTCACTTCAAGCGATTTTAGAGGTAGCTGTATGATAGCTGCTTCCACAGGCCATTCTCTAACACAATGGGGGTGCACTGCTGTGAGAGATCCGAATTTACACTGTCGCATGGCGCTACGCCGAAAACACAATTCGGATACAATCTGGAGTAAAGTTGTTTTAGTAAGCGGACAAACGAAAAGCACAATTTTCTTTTTAATCATCACAATTTTAAACTCTTGTCAGATAGCATGAGACACACGTAGCCACGGTACACATTTACACGGCAAGCGATACAGTGAAGGAAAAAAGTATTTGATCCCCTGCTGATTTTGTACGTTTGCCCACTGACAAAGAAATGATCACTCTATAATTTTAATGGTAGGTTTATTTGAACAGTGAGAGACAGAATAACAATAAAAACATCCAGAAAAACGCTTGTCAAAAATGTTATAAATTGATTTGCATTTTAATGAGGGAAATAAGTATTTGACCCCTCTGCAAAACATGACGTAGTACTTGGTGGCAAAATCCTTGTTGGCAATCACAGAGGTCAGACGTTTCTTGCAGTTGGCCACCAGGTTTGCACACATCTCAGGAGGGATATTGTCCCACTCCTCTTTGCACATCTTCTCCAAGTCATTAAGGTTTCGAGGCTGACGTTTGGCAACTTGAACCTTCAGCTCCCTCCACAGATTTTCTATGGGATTAAGGTCTGGAGACTGGCTAGGCCACTCCAGGACCTTAATGTGCTTCTTCTTGAGCCACTCCTTTGTTGCCTTGGCCGTGTGTTTTGGGTCATTGTCATGCTGGAATACCCATCCACAACCCATTTTCAATGCCCTGGCTGAGGGAAGGAGGTTCTCACCCAAGATTTGACGGTACATGGCCCTGTCCATTGTCCCTTTGATGCGGTGAAGTTGTCCTGTCCCCTTAGCAGAAAAACACCCCCAAAGCATAATGTTTCCACCTCCATGTATGAAGGTGGGGATGGTGTTCTTGGGGTCATAGGCAGCATTCCTCCTCCTCCAAACACGGCGAGTTGAGTTGATGCCAAAGAGCTCCATTTTGGTCTCATCTGACCACAACACTTTCACCCAGTTGTACTCTGAATCATTCAGATGTTCATTGGAAAACTTCAGACGGGCATGTATATGTGCTTTCTTGAGTAGGGGGACCTTGCGGACGCTGCAGGATTTCAGTCCTTCACGGCGTAGTGTGTTACCAATTGTTTTCTTGGTGACTATGGTCCCAGCTGCCTTGAGATCATTGACAAGATCCTCCCGTGTAGTTCAGGGCTGATTCCTCACCGTTCTCATGATCATTGCAACTCCACGAGGTGAGATCTTGCATGGAGCCCCAGACCGAGGGAGATTGACAGTTATTTTGTGTTTCTTCCATTTGCGAATAATCGCACCAACTGTTGTTACCTTCTCACCAGCTGCTTAGCAATGGTCTTGTAGCCCATTCCAGCCTTGTGTAGGTCTACAATCTTGTCCCTGACATCCTTGGAGAGCTCTTTGGTCTTGGCCATGGTGGAGAGTTTGGAATCTGATTGATGCTTCTGTGGACAGGTGCCTTTTATACAGGTAACAAGTTGAGATTAGGAACACTCCCTTTAAGAGTGTGCTCCTAATCTCAGCTCGTTACCTGTATAAAAGACATCTGGGAGCCAGAAATCTTTCTGATTGAGAGGGAGTCAAATACTTATTTCCCTCATTAAAATGCAAATCAATTTATAACATTTTTGACATGCGTTTTTCTGGATTTTGTTGTTATTCCGTCTCTCACTGTTCAAATAAACCTACCATTGAAATTATAGACTGATCATTTCTTTGTCAGTGGGCAAGCGTACAAAATCAGCAGGGGATCAAATACTTTTTTCTCTCACTGTATGACTTTTTGATTGCATATTTTTTTGCGCGTGCTAGCTGAATGTAGCCGAGGATGTTCTCGGTCTGCGTGCCTCTGCGGGCGGATGAGCTCACCTGTAGGCAACACACTGGGCCGACTCTTGCTCTGCCGTTGCGCCAAGGAGCCCGGGGTGCTGCTGCCATCATCGCCGGGGCCCTTGCTCTCGAGCTGCAGCGTGCCGGAATCCTCTCCGGACACTGACAGCGGCATGGGTGCAGGAGGCCTGAAGACAAATGAACACATGTACCTACTTGCTTCGTCCGTCAATTGTCCCCGACACATCAGACGATGCCTCCACTTTGTCACGGTCATGTGCTACCACTCAAGAGCTCTTCCCATGTTAATAGCTGTAAATTAGAAATCCCTCGACACTGTTTGGCTTCAGCCCATGGTCAATCACCATCTTAGTCTGTCATTTTCCGGCATCCACGTAAAAGCTTGCCGAGCCCTTCTTGCTAATTGCATATGATATATGTGGCCCACCCAGTTCAAAACTTTGTGATGTGACACATGGGGCCGATGTGGCCAGAACCACACCTGGCCACCTTTGTCTCCCCAGTGCTGATATTTACAGACAGCACCAAGTATTCATTCAAAGCTGAGTTAACCTCGGGGGATGCCCAGGCCAGGTTCAGATACCACTTTCCACTGGCTTTAACCAAGGGCGAGAATCGACCCCACTGTCCCCAAGCACATATACAAACCCTGAAAGTGCTCAACCCCCCCATCAGCTATTACAGACGAGTGTATCTTTACAACTGTGGGTGGCCTTATGAGCATAGCGTGGCTTTGATCTGACGAATTGATTTAAAGGCCAGTAAGCCGAAACGAAGAGATGTTTCATCTTAGCAAGAGTAAAAAACAAACTCTTTTAATTAATCCATTATGAAAATGTTTAATGTGCCCAGTGTGTGTGTGTGTGCGCACATGTTCATCCAATTTTACGCAGCAGCAACAACAACCTAAAAGGCTGTCTGTTTCCACTACTGAAGCTGTTAAGTTAAGGTGGGAGGAGAGGATGAGCAAGAATTTACTCTACTAGTGAAACACTGAGCTGTGTCATTATTGCATCCAATTACCTTTGTGTGTATTTTAAAGGAACATCGAGCCCTACATAATTTAAACATTAAACTTAAGACTGCACAAAGTCACATAAAACATTTATTTCTGCCAGTCTAAAGCATTTTTAAACACCTACTCACTGAACACATTATTTATGTCAGCAAGATATATGAACAGCTGCTAAACAAAAATACGGGGAAAATTTTATGCAGCTATAAACTCATTTGAATATTAGGGCTGTATTCTTCTAGGAAAAACTCGTTTTCAGGGATTTTTGTCTTCAAACCATAATTGCCAAGCGAATTAAGAGATTATGAAAACATATCTCAACTGAAATGAGCTTGCAACAGATCTGTGGTGAAAGATAATGCAACCCATGACTTGCCAAGGACTCAGTTTAGTTTGCATAATGGTCTTTTGACTTTCACAATGTAATTGAACCTTTTAGAGCAAAAACACACAACCACTGGGATTTCCCAGCTGTTAGTCTCTTATACCTGCTACTTTCCATTCAAGCACGTATTATACTTTAATAGGTACATTACACATACCTAAATGTTCTAACGTACAGGTTCACTGGAAGCTCTTGTGAAAAAAGCTCCATCCAACGCTGCTGTGCATCATCCATTTTAAAAGTAATACAAGATGTCTCCCTGACTAAAAAGGAAAGGTTTTAATCGATACCGTGTCCAAAGCCAAATGAAAAGCAATTGGGAGGCAGACATACTTGTGAAGTCAATAGATAACCGAGTCAGAGATGTATGCAAATGCCTAGCGCTGTAGGCAGCTGTGACTCACCTAATAAAGCTCTTTGGATGATGGCCTAAGGTTTTCACAAAATGCGAAGTCAAATAGCTGCGGAACGAGGCACTCCCAACGCATCAACTTGTCCATGTTTTACCTCCGCTAACCTCTTGGTGAGAAATGTTCCCCGGTGCTCCAACTTGGGAGTGGATTTTACCGCACTTCAAAATGAACACTGACAGCCATCTGGCATTTGGATACATACGTTTATGAAGTAATGAAAGATTATCACGAGCACCGTAAGTCGATTAAAAATTATGCACATGCTGCAATCTATTTGTTCGTGTAAAACTTACGTTTTGAAGCAAGGGTCTCCAGACAGTAGAGTCATCCCAATAATGACCTAAGAAATGTTCATCATTCACAAATGAGAATTGCATTGCAAATGTCACGCAATGCAATTTTTCAACAACATAAAAAAAAAACCCCCATTGCACAAGAAATTGTGCAAGTATTCACAATTTTACTATGTAAAACCATAACTAGGGCAGAGGTGAATCCAACATGTGTTAAAATGTATGGTGAGAAAGAAGTCCAACATACATACATTACATACCAATTTAGTTTTAAAGCAGCATAAGGTATTAATGAAAAATAACAGGCTAATAAAAATGTGATCGTGATAGTTTGGCCAACTAGACTTATTCATATAATAATAGGGTTTTTACCCTTTTTTCTGGCAACAAAACTTAAACCTTTTTACAAGGTGACGATCTGGTCTAGCACAAATTGAGACGAGGCTCAAAAGAAAGCTGTCTCTGGTGTGGACCAATCAGTTTCAAGGACAATGCATATATTATCAGAGTGGTTAATGCAGACAGGAATAATTGTAAAAAGGTTTCAGTTGTGTTGCCAGAAAAAAAGGGGAAAAACCCTATTATTATATTTTTGTACTGGCAAAGGAGGTCTAATGATGTAGACTTATTCACTAAATAGGTTTACACCGAGGGAGCTTAAACAGGTATTGGTAGGTGAGGTTGGATATAATGGGTGATGTTGGATAATGGCCTCAATAAACAAAGACGGTCACTGCATCACACGCTTTCAGATATGGTTCTGCGGCCATCTGGAACGCTCTTCCTTCCGATATTAGGAAGCCACTGGAGCTATGCACTTTTAAATATAGTTTGACAACTAATTTCTTTAGAACTGATTTTTGTTGTTTAGTTTGTTGTCCTTCTCCCGCACATTCGATTACCACGGTTGGCTACGTACGGTGCGAAAGAAGTTCAACATACATAAACATAAGCAGTAATTGAATTTCTGTACGGTGACAATATACAGTGATATAATGACAGGTCTGCTTCCAGCGTTCGAATTGCTTATGAAACGCAATGTTGTTCGGTTGCCATACCATTCAACCTGATGTAGTATGTACCTGGTCTCGAATTCATAAAAGACATGCTGTAAGGTTTCATGGTCTTACACCAAGCGAAATATGGGAACAGAAATTATAAGAGTGTGTTTTACGACACCAGATATTAACTCTCTGCACAAAAATCCTGATTCAATTATTAGACAGCGCGCTGTGCGATGCTCGCGGCAACTGGAACCTGATCCTTGGTCAAGTTCAACACACACACACACACGTCATTAGCGAGGACGTAATTTCAATGCGGTTTTGGTAGAGACATGCCTTGAGAATGGAGTTGTCCTGCCGTGCGTTCTTGGTGTCGTATCCCTCGAGAAGGCAACGGCGAGTTGTGCAGCGCGAGCCGGCAAACTCTGCCATATTCAGGTCGGCAAAACCCAACTGCGACCAATCACAAAAGCAGCACCACACACCCAATCGACATACCGCAGTGTTCTTATAGGTGGCTCGGAACGCTAATACCATGTCAGAGCACCGAGCGTGCACTGTTGAGATTCTGGGTTTAAATTCAGGCAGCCGGTAATTTTTACATCGCGTTCTCAAGAATAGCAAGTGTCAAATTCCAGCCTGGTCACAAATAACCGTGCGGACATCCTTTATTTGACTTATTATAGTTTAGACATGTATATTTTAATGGTCTGATTGATATAGAGTGAACCCTATTCACACAGCATATACAAAGTATGTGGCAAGTGTGCAAAAAGAGGCCTAGTGAAATCACTTCAGCAGTAGTTCTATGACATCATCTTTCACAGTCTTTCTCCAGCACAGGGTGCTGCACCGTTGTGAGAGCTACAAATGGGAATTTGTTAATCTCATGACATAACACTGATGGGACAACCAAAATATAATTACATGATCATCTCTACAGATTTTCTGAAGCTTAAACCCTTTATGTTGGGAGAAAACAGACTTCAAACAACTTTAAATTTTCACAAGGGTGCAAAAACAGCGATTCAACTTTTCACTGTGCTTATTTTGGTTATTTTAATGTCAATTAACACAAACGGTGGTACAACTATTTACACACTTTAAAAAGGCATTGTTAATCTGCTACTTTCAAGTATAACTTGCTGTGTACAGCCCTTTGTCAATACACTGCTGGCACGGCATCCCCACACTAGATGGGTCATGGGGGTTATTTTTTTTTTATCATACTTCAGTATGCTGCTCAGTGGGTTCGTAAAGGTAGGGAGTGTGGATGTGAGAGCATTGAAGCACGGTACAACAATGGATGTTGCTGCCCTGCCTCCTGTTGCCGACCACGTATATCCTGCAGCCTATAACAAGCAACTGTGTGCTCGGCGATAGCGGCTCAAGTCGTCAACTTCCGAAATCTGACGAGACCGGGTGCAATCTGGGCGATTTGATCACAGAAAGCTTGCCGTATAAAGCACAAAATATTGAGCCACGCGGCACGAAGCGATAACCGGCAAGAAGACTCTAGCGCCCTAATTATATGTAGGACAGCTGGTTGGAAACATGTGACCAAGATGTATGACTCGGCTGTGTCGTCTCGGCGAGTCTAGTTGTTTAAAAGTAATTTGAAGAATCCACAGCAGGGAAACCAGTGGCCTCAAAAGAAAACACTTGCGGTGAAGTTGTGGAGCGATTCCCACAAGGGAGTATCAGCGAGATTACCAAAATCTCAATGGATTGTTTCGGCTACTACATAAGCTTTTACGTAAAAAGTAATTTGCATATCGGCAACACATTTAACGAACCAAAGATACACTATGGTGCCTGTCCTTCGACTCCGTGTGGGTTTCAACAACAACATCGACGTGAGGATTATTAAGTTACAGATATGTGATTGGGCAACAATTTTATCGTACATTTTCACATATTTGGATCGTATTTGAATCAACCAAACAAAAAGCTGAAGTCAAACACTAAATCACGGGGGCAAATGTAATTAAGAGCCATATTAATCAATCGTTATTGCTCATTTATTTACAAACCCTACAGTGAGTCATTACTGACAAACATAACGCTAAAGTTAGTCACTGCTGACAAACCATAGGTCAACGTATACAAATATCCTCCTAAATTAAAGCCAAGCATCTTACCTTGCTGTATGCCTTCCCTCCTTTAAGTTCCTTCAAAACAAACACCCACACGACAGAGAAACAATTTAAATGCCAGTTGTTGAGCTAAACATTGCTAAATTAAAGGAAGCAATAAAGGATCACAAAAATAATAGAACTACCCTAATCCATTGCAAGCTTTTTAAGGTGCCACGAAACTAAGGTACAATTAGGGCCTCAAGCTTTAACACAAATGACCATTTCCATATATAAAGAATGTATTTTTAAGCGTGGGATTGTGTCAAGAGCACTGCTGTCAGTGTGCCTCGCATTATTCATAGATGCAGTTCCGGTATTCGGTTACTTTTTGGATGTGCTGCATATGGATGGCATAACTGCGTGCAAATGAAACGTCGTTCCCATTTGTGTAATTTATTTGTGTGGGTGTGAACATATTCAATTTGATAACCTCAAATGAAACACACACGACTGAAACAGCATGGGATCTGGATAATTGTTAGCGTTCCATGCTTACACTGGACAGTGGCAATCCCCAGAGAATGTAAACATAATGAAGAATATTTATTGCTGCAGTCGCACCCGAAAAAAAAACCCACCACCCTTACCCTATATGAGAAGGAATGTCCATAATTTACCATAAAAACGCCCAAGGGAAACCGGAAAATCTGGGAAACACTCGAGTTGTGAATTTTCTGATTTTATTTTTTCCAAGCGAAACATAGACCTAGGTTGTTTAAGCTATCTGTGAGACCGCAGTGCTCTAACTGCACACCAGCCATTGCAACTTTATATTATACGTATAGCAGTATGTTAAAAGACTCTGGCATAATATTTTATAAATAAATAAAATATATAAATGAATGGCCTCGCCCGCTTGACACAACGCATTCGCTTGTAATCCCCACTACGCAGATCTTACGTAAGTTATGACACGAACAACAACCCCGGGCGGGTGCATTTCATGCATATCGGAACTCGGAAGCCAAACCGTTCCGTATATGAGGCAAGTCCCTTTTTACACGAGCACATCCACTCTTCTTCCCAAACCATGGGAATATGTAAACACGCTTTTGAAAATGAACGCTTCAATTTCCAGCAATTCCTTCCGCGGTGCAAATTGATGAGTAATCTGGTGAACAAGCTGCACCTTAGACGGGCATGTAAGCACCACACCCCTGTAATTGCGTATAGGGTGACACGGCCTGTCATATTTAAACTCCCAAACCTGGCCGCAAAGAGCACAGCTAAGCCGACATGCATCAATCTGGTGTCTGCTGCTGATATCATCGTCATCATAATCATCATCAGCTATGACTTTCTCAATGCTGGATGAAGGTTGCCATCTTCCTCTATGATCCAGCTCCTGATGAACTAATTATCAACATCATCTTCTTCACCACCCACTGGTTATCCACTACTACGCGAAGGCCTCCCCTAGCTGTCGCTATTCCTCATGGCCTCGCGATGCAACAATCCACGTATACCCTACACACACGAGCTCTATCTCTGCGGCAGACACCTTGCGTGTTCCATCTTCAGGCTGCTCCTCCGTAATTAGTCTCGACCAAATGGTCATCATCTCTTCTGGTGACATGTCCCACCCAAGCCTGGTTACTTTTTAAATGTGGTGTCTCTAATATTGCATATGTTTTCTGACCCACGTGTTCCTGCTCGTGTTTCTCAATGTAATTCCTAGCATGCACCTCTCCACGCTTCTTCCCACAACAGCAGCCTAAAAAAACTGACAAGGTAAATGGAAAAGTTACAGGGTTAACTCCTGAACTTAGTTCGCAATGTCCCGTAGTGCATCGAAATAAAGACATCTCATATAAAGGAACAATTACTTACATGTTTCATAAACACGATACCAAGCATCGGGAAACCTTTTCCTTCACGAGTGCCAAATAGGACCTTTGGTGGTTCACACATTAACACATGCTTTGGCATAATGCCAGGTAGAAAATATTCCTCCCTAGTACCTAATTAGTGTGACGAAGATGCTTGCAGTGATGGATAAATGTTGTAAGCGGATCATTTCAAAGTGATAGGCCTCAGGTGGCCGCAGGCTGTATGAAATGAAGCCGCTGGCAGGATAGGTTTTCCTACCCTCGCTGTGTATACATTATTGAAGCCGCATGTCCATGTCACAGTGAGCTCCACGAGAGGGTAAGTGCCGGTGCGAGCTCTCTCTGTCGTCTCTGTTGTAACGTACCTTGCGGATGGACACGCGACACACACAGTGGTCCAGAACTCCACTGGTAGGGCTGGCCGTCATCTTGCACACAAACTCAAACTTCTTCTTCCACCGGACACAGTTCTCACGAACCTCCTCCCTGCGCGCAAGCGGCGCAGCGTGTTAATCCACCACTCCCGATTTCACGCCGTCGCTCACTACAACTACAATTTATTTAGTAAGTGTTATAATTGCTTTATTGATACACTTAGAGACAGTGCCAAACGGTCTGAAGAGTGACCAAGGTTGGCTTATCCACATGAAGTCCCTGAACCACAAGTTAACAACAGGAAATTATTGCTATAATGATCTCATGATTTCTAACAATAATAAAAACCAGTGTACAGGTGTGTCGGTGACCTGCTGCTGCTGTTTAAAATAATCTGGCCACGATTTTAACCACTTTGAGCTGGTGCTCAAAAACAAGGCTGCATTATGCACCCAGTACGGTGATGTCACGTTGACATGCAAGGCATGATGAGGGGAACCGATTTTATGGTCCCAATCGCATTTTTTGAATGTATGATTTGCCTACGCTCTCTTTTAAACCTTTACAAAGTCAAACAGTTTTTTGGCTGCCACCCTCCATGCAGTGAATACAAACATTTGCTTGCAAAGCAACTAAAAATGGCTACATCGTGTGCTTGGGGGCATTTTGGGAGCGTTATGCGTGACCGTGGGAAAACAGCTGGTGCAAAGGTAGCGCCCCGTGCCATTTCACAAGCAACCCATTGAGACAAAAAAACATTGTTTTGGGCAAACAAGTGGCATAACGGGTGAGCGAATTCCACGATCAGATTCCCCATGAAAGCTGTGTGCAGCTGGCATTTTAAAAACCTGACCGAGCTGCATGCGGCAGGGAAAAAAAAAACACCGAAAAAATCCACTCTCCCAAAAAAAGTAAAGCTACAGTCTTGTGACTGACAAGGTATCTTCAAGCCTACCCGCTTGCATTACCTCTTATACTGCTAGAAATGAAAACCTGGGCTTGTGCATGACACGAGAAAAATGGATCAAGTAATAAGAAAATGGATCAGTGTTCATTCTCTAGACTGCACGATTTCAAGAGCCGATGATCAAAAAACAATAATGAGTTCGATCTCGTCAGGTTTTAGGAGCCACGTCTGGATAGTGTTTTGATGGGTGATCGACAAGCATCAGACAGATTATTGCAGGTTATCGCGGGGCTACATTGTCAGCAGAGGGCAATGCAACAAAAATAATTGTTGTGGAATACCACTTAAAAAAGTAGCATTAAGTTAGATTGAATACTGATCGTCTCAGTCGTGTTCTGTCTCTTCATATACTAATCGTGATGAGAAAAAAACTATCATTGATGAATGAATAGTTGTTTGAGTATATATGTAGTCGTGTTGAGGAACTTGGCACCACAATCCAGGAGTTTAACTTGACTTTGAGAGATATGTAAAAACGAGAACCCTGCAGGAAAGGCCTTGAGGTCGGCTCTGAATGTGCCGGACACATACCCCTACGCCAGGTGCTCATTGTAGCGATAAGTTGTGCCGCACCAGGCTTGGCACACGAGGAAAAACACACAGATGACCTTTACCTCCCAAAAAAGGGAGGGCAGATTGACGGCCAAGCTGTAGGGCATCCAATTAAATGTGTAAGGTCTCCATTGCCTCACAAAAGGGAGAGCACTTTTCCTTTTTCATTGTAAATATCGGACAAGAAATGAAATAATTAGTATATATTGGTCAATTAATGATTTTTAGTTGATCCACGCATGCCATCACTGAACTGTGGGCAGACCAGCAGTGGTTAAGGGAACGAGTGGTTCACGTCAACCCTGCACGATCGCTCGTGCCACTGGAAAGCCCCTCCACAACGAGACACGGCTGTACAGCGGTCAAGACAAAGAGCCAGCACTGAACGTAGAGTGGAAGGCAGTGGAGTAGCAGAAGAGGTGAAGCTGTAACACAGCTGCAATACATTAATAGCAATAAGCTAAAGAGAAGCTTCAAGGGTTGATAAGCTGAAATAATAGGGCAGTGAAGCTTTTTAAAGCAGATCTGAAGATTTTCAGTTGAAGACGTGAACGTGTGAAGAGTCGTTGGAGAATAAGTGGAGATAAGTACGACTCAAGAAGATGGCCCTCAAAGAGGAGAGAACACCGACAGCGCGGAACTGTGCCAACCAAGTCACACGCCATAATCAACACGAGATAAATAGTGACTTTATAACTACAAGTCCGTGGACTATCATCACGGTGAAGATATCTGTCCATCTGTCACCTGACTTGAGACAGAGCGCTGTGGCTGGATACAACCCACGAGGAGAGCGTTTATGCACTTCGTCAAAGGGTGCAGCGCTGTTGTGCTGTCATTAACAGCCCCGCGGCTGGTTTGTCACTGTGGCAGGGCCCGTCGCTCATCAAGCTGCCAGCCGAGGACCGTTTCGTCGCTGTGCAGCGCTGCCAGCTGCAAGATTGTGGCTCTGCCACCACGCTGTTAACGTCGACCCGCACTGCACTGGAGAAAGCATCGCGCGCAACCACTCCCTGCAGGCAAGAGAAGATGCCTGTTCTTCTGCGACTGAGATGAAGGATACCAGACCGTGCTTGAAGTCCATTCGTCGATAAGTATCGCAATTAATTCGTGTCTGTGGTATCACACCCTGATTAATTTTGAGTGGTGCATACACATTTACTACTTTTGATATTGGGTTGTTTTATGTGTATTACTGCATACAGAGAAGGGCATTTTTGCATTTTGATTGATACCAATATCTTTGTAGCAGTATTATACGTTGTATCAAACTCTGGTTGCATGTGAATGACTGGTATTATGGCTTTTGATGTAGACAAGACTTGCTTGCATTAAAGTCCTGCTTTAGTTTACGAGGGTCTTCAACCGTTCTGTTGCACGCAAAGATATCAAACGAATCTGCTTTCCATGGCTTCCTGTCATTCAGTTACACCCTGGACAACGAAAGACCAAAAAAAACTGGACAGGTTCCAATTGAGTTGGAAAAATTGCTGTACGACACTATGGTCCAGCATCTATGCTCCCTGGCTTCATGAACCCCCACTGACCAGCATGGTGAAAGCACGGTCACAAATACCAACCCCCCCCCACCCGCCCCCAAAATACTCACGGTGTGGAGAGGCCTTCATTCAGCAGTGCATGCATAAAAGGGCCGTACATGTCCTGTACCATTTAACAAAAATCACCACATGTGTTTTTTTTTCGCGCAAGCTTGCAGTGAGAGCGAGGATGAACGCCGCCGTGGTTGAAAGGTTAAAGTTTGTCTCCAGGCGCTCAGGCGGATTGCTTCCGTTTTTGTTTTAGCGCAGCAGCAGCAGCAACAACAACAACAATGCCTGTTGAGCACCCCAAGTCGCGGGGCAGCCGGGCAGGACTGCAGAAAAAGCTTTGTACTAGATCCCACACTGTCTGCCCAACCCCCCATCAGCCACTTTACTCAAGGAATTTACACGTTGCAGCACTTAATTCAGCAAAGCAAGTCCCCATTGTGTACGCTAAGACTCCTCTGTTAATGTACAGTTCTCTGTTAAAGGATTGAGGGAGAGACCAGAGGTTGAGGGAGGGTAGACAGGGTCTGGGAAGGGGGGGGGGGGGGTTAAATCTAACACGCATTGCTTAACTACATTTAAATACCTCCCCCTGTGAAAGACATTTAAAAGGCTTAAGCGATGCACGTGGAGGCAACGAAATGAAGACAATTTCACTGGCTCCATTCCGAATCATCATCATCATCACACGTGGTGCCAAACTACACGGGACATAAATTGAATCAAATAGATTATAGGTCATTTAAATGTATCAAAAATTAGTAGGCGATCAGATTTTTTACACGAGCATGAATCGCACATGTATATACCACCATTTTAGCCATACAAGTCAACATTGAGAGTTATAAACGCTCCACGCTCAGTTTATATTTAATGAATCTCTGTCTTCTCAACGCTCTTGTTTCTGGCGCTTTTCCAGCAATCAACCACTACCAATTTCCCATAATATTGCCAACGGGTAATTCCTTTGGTCCATTGTCAATGTAAAAATCCATTGCAAAAACATCCAATTAAATGGTTCAGAGAGGCACTACCAAAGGTCACTTCTGTTGACATGTTAACAACATGCCCACTATGTACCCTATGGAATATGATGGCAGTCATCTCCAAAGCATCTGTGGCCCACTTTTCCACTCGACACATCCAAGCTTGGACGAAAAGTCACAACACAATGCACTAAGCCCTGCTTAAACACACTGTACATCCACCACAAATTAAATCAAAGCCTTTGCATGAGAACAAAGTGTGACTTCTTCTTCCCAGTTACCCGATAAACGTTACAATTTAAAGTCTCATTCAAATGTCCTAACTCGCCTTTTTTATTTCCCTTAAAAATGCCTCTCCCGAGTTCCGTGGGTCGATCGGCCACGCACGTGCCACGAGCACACGGTCGACTGTGCCTGCGTCCAACTTTGTCGGACAAATGGTAAGATGAGACTTGTATACGTTACGGCCCTTTTGTCAATCTACTGTTACGGATGAGGCCCTCCTCACAACCATACGGGGTCGTCGGGGTTCGTTGACCATACTTCACCGCGCTGGACACTCTCAGTTGAGGTTAGGAGATGTAGAAGTACAGTACAACATTTCTATTTGATACACTGCCCTAAGCTGCCCACAGCACAGCCCAGAAGCAGCGGCCAAATGCACAAGTTCTATGCATGATGGGACACCCATCCAAGCAATATCCAGGCTCCGACCTGCTTAGCTTCCAACATTGACTTAGATCAGCCACATTCCTGGTGGACACATTGAATACTTCAAAAATGTAATTTGTGATTCCTAATATCTTCACAAAAACATGTACTTCCGAAAAGAGCTATTAATTTTACCTGAAGAGAACGTGATAAAAAATATAATAGAAAACGATTTTTTTAAGGAGGGAATCAATGTCAACATGAGTGATGTTAATAATGTCGAATATACCCCCACGAGGATCTTCCAAAATTAAAGTGTTCAGTGAGACGCTAAACCCATGTTTGTGAAGTATAAATTGATTTCGTGACATTGTTTTGCATCAGACACGAAGGCATTTATATTTTAGAATTTCTCATGTTACTTTAAAATATGCATAACAGTGTTTTAAAAAATGCAAACAGCAAACAAAAGTCGATGAAAAAAACCTGGTTCAGAAACATACTTTACATGGAACACAATTCTCAACCTTTAGTGTTGTTCAATATTTACCAGTTACACTTCAAGCTAAATAAAGTGTATCGTTTGGTAAAGTTCGGGCAAATGCTATAAAATGCATTTTTTTTAACAAAAGTAATTCGATTGGCAGGTTATGTGCGGTGGAGTAAAGTATGGCTACTCCCACATCTTCCAAGACATTTGGCCAGTGTGGAAGAGTAAACTTAATACCTTCTAGACGGAGCACTCTAGAGCTCCCAGAAGGAAGCCCTTCTGCCAGCAGTGGTGTGAGCAAGCAATTGGAGGGGCTGCACCCTTACCATCTACCTTTCTAAAAACAAATAAAGTTTACAAAATTGGATGACGCAAAAGCTGCGGAAAGGGGCACTGAGAGTTCAAGGAGAACCAAAGAAAGACTCCCTCTGGGGGTCAGGCGTGTTTGTTTTGAGGTTGTAAAGGGATTCTACGCCCTGGCACTTTCTAACCAACACAGTGGGGGGGGGGGGGGGGGGGGGGCAGAAGTCCCCATCAACACCGCTACAGCAGCAGCACGCGTAACGGGGAGCCGTTTCCAGGTTAGCACTATCACAGCCACCACCTGCCTCACGCGATTTCCTCATGGCGCGAAATAAGTCACTTCCTGTCCTCAACACAGGGGACTCCCCCCCCCCCCTTTATCCTGCAGCGGCCACACCAAAAACCGTGCTCTTTGACGCGCACATTAATGAAGGTCCCGTCACCGCTGTGCCAGGTGGCTCCTGGTGCGTGCGGATCGTCCGCAGACTGAACACATTTTTGGCGGCTACCAGTGCAGCAGCCAATGTGCAAATGCTTGCCTGCCCCCCCCCCCCCCCCCAACTTTCCTTAATATAACCATCAATTCTATTTTCGACTGGAGAAACTAAAAAAAAAACGCATTACAAGCGCAAAACATCTAGCTTCCACCTATATCGACATCACTTTTGTTTACGTCCGCAGAAAAGGAACCGCTTACCGCCAGCAAAAATAATAACATAATTCAGTTCTTCTCTCCCCAACTTAGATTTAGGTGGTTGTCCTTTTTTTAAAATTTCATTGCAGGCGTGAATCACTGGTCATTGCGCATGCAAAAAGCAGCGGTTCCCAAGGTCACGTCAGCTGGGGAACAGTTTGAGGATTTCCTCATGCATACGTTGAGCTAAGGACAGGTGCCAAGCTTCCTGGAAAACAGCGAGCGCGCTCTACTTATGGATGCTTTATAGTTCCATGTGTGCGGTCAATGTTACTTGATGATAGTGCACCATGAGCGTACACACATAGAGAGCACTTTGCATGCAAAAATGTGCACGTTTGGTTAAAATCCAAACTCGCAGAAATAATCTGTGGCAGTTTGGCAGTGGTCGAATGGGTTTTGACCAAGCATGTAATGATTCACTCCTACCCCTCCTCCCACGGGATTATATTCATTCTGACAAATCAGGGTCACCATTCAATTTAATAATTGAATATGTTGTCTCAATTGTATCATTTGTGTAATGAATGTTCCGTCTAACATGTGGTCTCATTCGCAGTCCTGTTCATTCTACCATTATCTAAAATTAAATATTTGTACAATTTGCATAAAATGTGCACGAATCAAGAGCACTGGAATTTCATTTGAACGGACGAACCTTACCAAGCTTGGTTTCGACTACGTGACATGCGGGTTCCAGAACCCAATAACACGCATCAAGCATTTGGTTTTCAGTGACAGAAACCAGACTGCATTCGCCTGCACAAGCCAAGGTACGCACACAACACGCCAAAACATTCCTCAATCCACGAATCTGCTGCATGGACTGCATCAACGGATAACCCAGACACAATTTCGCATCAGCTCCTTCCAGAATGAGCGTCACAAACATCCCGGTCCAGCAACGGGCAAGTCACAGCGGTCACTGTTGACGTGCAAGGCATAACAGTGTGCAACATATATTTTTTTACAAACCAGTCCAGTTACTCATTTGGCAAGACGAATTGCCGGGCTGACTCTTTCCCGAGGCTGATGCATTGTGCCACAGTTTCCATGGCACTGCTTTGCGCTGTTGTCACAGGAAAAACCCCGTTCCACATGGAGAATGTGCCGCACACATGTTCCAGCGCAGGCCGAACCACCAGGGCATTAATCAAACTCGACGGGTTGTCCTTTTGTGTCAAGCAGCAGAGATATCTGGGTACTTGCACGACAGTGAAATGAAGCCGCAGACTCACACGTTTTTTTAAATGGCTCAACTCAAAACGTCAGTTCCTTTTACAGGTAGAAGCAATTAAATTGTATTATTTTTGCACAAAAAGCAGCACCAATGGCCATGACCTATCCACTGCTGGATGGAGGTCTCCACAAGATGCTGCAATTCCTCACAGTCCTGTGATGCAATAATCCATCAAGCACCTGCACGCCGAGCCGATTTCATCACTCCATCTCTGCGTTGAATGTCCTCTAAGTGTTCTCTTCTTTGGCTACCACTCAGTCATTAGTCCTGACCACTGGCCATCATCCCTTCGAGCGCCGTGTACTGCCCAAGCCCACTTACATTTCTTAACAGTCCCGCATGATGTATTTTATTTGCACGTGTGTTAATCTTCGTGTCTCTTGGCCGAATTCCAAACAGGCACATCGCCATTATTTTTTGCTGCACGATATCTTTTGTTCCATTCTCTTTGATAATGAACAGCAACAACACCATGTGCCCAAAGGGAGAAAGTTTTTGATAAGCATATATTGCCTCCTATGACACAAGGATTAGAAAAATGGGCATTTCACAAAAATAATCAAGCACGCAAAAACTAGCTTAAATAACAAAGACCAACTGAATATACACAGTTAAGACCGGACAAAAAAAAGGACACTACAGCTGTACATTCCATACCCGAGAAGTAAGATACTCCTAAGTTTTGTACATAGAAAAACGACCGTAAGATGTACTTCAGCAAGATTTTTTAAAGGTCTTCTTAGGGTAAGTAACCTCTTCCGTTTTGAGTGGAAACACACACGGTATTGCAGGCAGCGTGCCAGTTTCACAATGCTCTCCGTGCATCCATCCACGTCTCATGATGTGGCCGTTTTAAACCGCTCCCGAGAAGATGATACAAACGTTTCATATATGGAATGCAGAAACGATTCAAAAGCATGCCAAGCCAGCAAAAAAGGCGCCAAATTGCTTGAGATCATAAAAAGGTCATGGGCACAGGATCTAAATCACCATTTAAAGCACGTTCAACATTCCATTTAAATTTTTTTTTTAAAGTCCACACAACGGTTAATTATACAAACATGATATATGGCAACGGTAAAATAGGGCAATTACGCTTCCGCCGCATACTGTGAACGGTTGCCTGCAAACCTTTTTTTGCAATGGCCAGCGGTTTTCTGCACACGATGAAAACCGACGCAATTTTGAAAAATAGCAGCAACACAAACTTGAGGCGGTTGATTAGCCTCCTGCCACACCTCTACCGAGTGTAAAATGATCTTTAAATGAAAACATCGGAAGACTTTTTTTCCCCACAAACATTCCAACCAGTGCAACATTTCAACCAATGTGAACGTTCAGACGCACCTTTTAACCAAATAAGGCATCCGTTGATATAGATTTTTCTCAACGAGTGCAGTAAATACTGTATGCTAATGAAAGTGCTTACAGTTCAGCTCTCAGCAAATTACAAACAAGCTGCGGGTTTGTGAATTTAACAATAATGTCACAGTGCTAACTCTGTCAGCTGGTTTTGCAGGAAATGATTAACTGCTCTCCATTACGTTTTCACCCTTGGCACTCGCAACAAATACGGGCAATGCAAATGCCAAACATTCAGCACTTTTGCACTCATTATGCGCAAAAAAAATATTTCACAAAGCAAAACAAAAACCACCCCAGTCCTTCTGCCATTCAATCTAACGTTTATGAAATGTATACAAGGAATTGCAATTAACTGCACCCTCATGGCTACTGCTGGGTGCATTTATCCTGAGTAAAATGTGACAAATTGACAAGCCAAGTGGAACACCACACAAGGCACAGAAAAGCAATACAAATAAATCATGAACCCTTCAATATTACGCAAGCCTCATTCACGAGAGAGGTTTTATTTTACTTACATCACATAGGACAATACTCGACAGAAGACGCTTAGCATTTGCAAGTTTTGTAGAAGTGGTACGGAATTTCACGAAACTGCACTGACCAAACCGATAGGGGCATGGGGAAGCCCTCCTCCCAGCAATAAATTGACAAAGATTTAATAAAACTATAATAAAAAAGCGCCTAAATTATAGCTCTGTTAAACTAAGTTGCCACCTACTGAGTGGACCAGAGTTTCCTTGAAAAAGGATCTCAGAGGCAGCTCCGTCATGTCCGCTTCCAAGAGCTGTTCCCTATCGCGCAAAGTTGCACTACTCTGCCATCGATCCCTATGGATACTGCATCACATGACATGACAGCAACACCACAATCGCACATCCGATGAGCACGGTTGGCTACACACGGTGCGAAAGAAGTTCAACATACATAAAATCGGGATAATATTGGGGGGAAATGTGTTTTTACCCACTAAAAAAAAAGGCAAACACGCTCGGTACCTGGAAGAGTAGTCCGTGAAGTTTCCGCCGTCGAGCAGCCTCAGCTTGCAGAAGAGCACGGCGTTGAGGAAGGGAATGTGCGAGAGCTCGTCGAGCTCGAGAACCACCTGGAAGCGATATCTCTTCTTCTTCATCATGAACGCCATTCAGCTGCAGTCACGGGCGAGCACCGTCGCCACCGCCACCACCAACTCGTGCTTGGTTACCCGCGGAGGACGGGCAAGGAGCGCACGTGAGCGCGTTTCAATTCCTGCGTGAGCTTGAGCCTTGCCAAACGCTAATCTCAAAAACGCAAAAGCTCCTCAACTGTGGGCACACGAACCTGGAAACAGTACAAACACACCCACGTGCACAGATTAACGTGCGGAAACACACAAACGTTATCAACGACTGTGGTGGGTTAGCGGAGTTATTTAATACGTTGGCCGTGAAGCACGTTTTTTAACGCGAGCTGTAAACCCTGAGGTGCTGTACGAATCTCCTTTTTCTGGGAACTATAAACCACTTATGCTAAGCTGCCTCCTTCGATAACAACACACAGAGGTGTGTGTAAATTTCCCCTTAAGCATTTCAATGGGTTTTACAGTGAACAATGATCTCACATGGGATTTCATGATCAGTGTTATAGCTTTAGACTTTTTTTTGATACACAGCAGCTGCAGTGTTCGGACTCACTTCCCCACTACTTTTAAGAGTGTCCCATGACTGTCAGTTCCTGCTGTATGTAATGAGTAAAGTTCTCAAACCAAACAATAGAAACAAAAACATTACTGTTTTTAGTCGATCTATGGTGTACTTTTTTCAGTATTTCACCAAAGTTATTTGGAAATATAATTCAAGGTTAGAAGTATTCAATGCCAACCCCACTCTACCAGTTCACTACGATTCGCATGTGGAGGCACTGTATAGCCGTTGCAAACAAGGAATTCAGACACGCAGAAGATTCTTCTAAAGTTACAGGGTCTCGGTCAAACTTCGACTTCGCAGAACTCAGGGTTGTAGCTATGTCTGGAGGCCTTGGGGATTAAATCCTTTCCTGTCCACCCAGCAGCAGAGATCAAGTGGTGATAAGCTCAACCTTCACTGCTTTCACGTCCAATGGGGCCCACATGAAGGGCCCGTTTCCCTCCTGGCCTTCCCCCACCCCCACCGCCGCCCCTCACGTCAGTGGTACCAACCTCGAGGGCCCCATTTACAGGCACTCACGCTAACAGCGTGCGCGCACACACACGGACATACACTTTAAATTATTCTATCCTGCTCATGTGGGCAGGCATTATGTAATCTTAAGAGGCATGCCACGTAGCACTCTGCTCTCTTGCGCGTGAAAATCGCAAAGCGTTCGTCAATGCTGCGGTGGTGAGATGTTAACTACATCGCCTGGTATACGGGAAGGAGGTCGCTGGTTTGATCCCGACCCTGACGTCTGTATATTTGGAATTTCCATGTTCTCGCCGTGGTTGTGATTTTTTTCTCTTGGTTCTCCGGGTTTTCCCTCCACATTTAGAATTAACATGCGTTTACAGTATTTGGCTGCTATAAAATTGCACACAAGCTACACTTTGTTGAGCTATCATTAGTGGCCAAGTCGCTTCTGAAATAAGAGCTACTGTATATAGCTGTGGGCCGTAGCTGGTAAAATAGTTGTAATAGTTGTAAATGCTGTGAAGCTGTAGGTGTGGGTTTTATCGCCTGTTCGTTGCACAGGGATTATGAAAGGTGTTCGAATTTGGGCCCTATGTTCCCACCATTGACGCCACCTTCGGCGCCCTGCTGACAGGCACCCATACCTAACATAATTCCATCACATTCTATCGTAGCAAAAGCGTGCTAATAGAATAGCACATGAGTAACTGTCAATTTTGCAGGTTGTCGTCGGTTGTGTTACTGTGCAGATTACGTGTGGATGGGGAGATCAAAACCCGCCCACCGCATTCTCCTTTAATCCCTTTTTTTCAAACCTCCCACCAGCACAATTTCTCATCATCACCGACTGATTTCAATGCTAACCTTTAGATACTAATCCTCACGTAAATGTTACGTATTCATGACCATTAACCCACTCCCCAAGTCCTATGATTGTATGCAAATAATGCCAAGACAGTGATTGATTGCGACGGCTATGGAGACACCTAAATCCAGCATCGTGACTGATGGTAAGGATTTTGATTAATTTCAATATCACCAATGTGAACGCAACGCAAAATATCGAACACCGGGTTCTATTCACGGTGGCGGCGCTTGACACACACACAACGTGTACACACACAAGGCGTACACACAAGTGTGCAGACAGTCATACGATTAAATCACTTGTGTGTTAACGTTAAAAAGTCGTGTGGCCAATGTTTATGTATGAGAGCTCTAACGTGTACACACACGCAGAGAGAGAGAACATTCACTGGCTGTACAACTATATCACGTGAATACACAAAAGGATGTAATGCTCGCGAACGTTGCATGGCGCGGTGGCATTAGTGATTTTGTGCACTGCGCTACGAACTCGGCAAACCTAAGTTCAACTCCTGGCGACGGCTAACACAAGTGCCGAATGTGTTTTTGACCTGCACCAGTCCGCAGCAAAGCAACCAGCAGCAACCCTCCGCCAATCTGCACTGACCTTCAGGGTGAAGTATGGCCAAACAAAACCCGCAGGGCCAAACAAAACCCGCAGGGCCAAACAAAACCCGCAGGGCCAAACAAAACCCGCAGGGCGAAACCGACAAGGCGCGGGGGGGGGGACGACGGGAGGCCTTCATCCAGAAGTGAATCGACAAAGGGGTGAACGAATTTTACTCCTTAACGTTACATTGTGCACCCTAATGCGTACGCGCAGATATACTGTGTTCACGATTGAAACGTGTACTTGACGCGCGCAGACATGCTTAACTGAACGTGCTCACACAATCAGCTGGAACAAAACCGTGTGTGGGTTTACACGCGGGACAAGTAAGCGCGGTGCACGTTTGACAGCATCACGTTCGGTAGCATTCCAGGGTGTGTACACACGTGCAATTGGCATATATACTGTACGACGACGTCAAGTTGAAACCACACACGTTGGGAGTTATTCCCGAACACCCCAAAGTTCACGTGTAACAAGTACTGTTTTTGCGCAGGTGCAATGATGGTATTTATTCTCATACCTGTCAACTCATACGGGTCAAGCCCGTATTCATGTACAGGGGAATTGAGTTTTCAGGTCCATGCGGGGTACAGCCGTTTCAATACGGGCACAAACATGTGTTTTTTGTCAATCTGTTTGTATTTCTCCCTTGTGATGGGACTTTGTAGGATAAACGTTGAGATTTATAAGGGGCACGGGGTGACCGATAAGGTCTGAATTGGTCTGTAATAAGATAGGCACTGATAAGGGGGTTTACAGGTCCGTGTATTCTAGCCGGCACGTGTACACGTTTTTCTCGCGTTCGGTGGCACTGTGGAATACGTGGACGTTGTAGTCTTTGCATTATGCAGGAATAGCAAATACTGCACGAACTCTCTCTCCTGAAGCAATCTCGTCGCGGCTTAGCAAACCTCGACATTGGCATCACACGCTCGTGAACACATTGCTGCTGCTGATACTGCTGTTGTAATCATACGCAAAATATAGAATAAAGTATCCCCCCTTGCGGGACATTCCCGTAAATGTCAATGCACACGTATAAACAGCATTTCAGCATATGTATTGCACACACACACGTGTATGTGTGTGTGTGCAATACCGCTCCCCACACACACACACGTGTATGTGTGTGTTGGAAGCGGTAGTGTAGCGGTCAGCGCGCTGGGCTACGAATCCGATTATCTGAACCGGTCACGGGACCTCCCCTAGGTCGACTCGGCCTCAAATATATTACCCGGTGGCGATGTGTAAACATCGCCAATGGGGGGGGGGAGACAAAGGCGGCCCGTGCTGGCCACTAGGCCTTCATAGGTGCGACTCCCTCACTAACAGTCTTGTTACAGGCTACACGGGTGATCATTGTCACTGTGCGACGTGAATGCGTAAAGCTGCGTGCAAGCTTGGAACGACATCGCGAGGCATGGGGAACGCACCGAGGCGTTCGATGACATACACGCAGGATAATGGGCATGGCAATTGAAACTGTTGAGAAAGGTAAAGTGGGAGCTCGGGGTTTATTTAGGACACGTCATGGGCCCTCCAGCTCCATTCCTTTGGCAGCCAAGGGAATGGATCTGGAGGGAGGGAGATTCGTCCAACGTTTTAGACAGCGCACCGAAATGTGCTCGCGGTTCTAACACTAAACTATACGGTACAAAAATTTTTTTGCAGGTTAATGGCCCACTGGCTATCAACACAAACGCGTGATGTTGATTCTAAATGTGGGGGGGAGGAAAACAGGAGGACCCGGAGGGAAAAAAAAATCAACGCGACCACGGGAGAGAGAGACAAGAGACACCGCGAACTACAAATATACAGCAGCAGGCATCGTCTGGGTCGGGATCGAACCCAAAAACTCCTTGCATACCAGGCGAGGTAGTTAACATCTCCTAGCCACCGTGATGATGATGAGAGAGAGAGAGACACGCAAACTCCAAATATACAGCAGGCGTCACAGAGTCGGGATCGAGCCCACGACCTCCTGTATACCAGGCGAGGTAGTTAACATCTCCTAGCCACCGTGATGATGATGATGAGAGAGAGACACGCAAACTCCAAATCTACAGCAGGCGTCACAGAGTCGGGATCGAGCCCACGACCTCCTTGCATACCAGGCGAGGTAGTAAACATCTCCTAGCCACCGTGATGATGAGAGACATCGCAAACTCCAAATCTACAGCAGGCGTCGTCAGGTTCGGGATCGAGCCCACGACCTCCTTGCATACCAGGCGAGGTAGTTAACATCTCCTAGCCACCGTGGCGAGTAACTACAATAGACGGGATTGTTGCATCGCCGAAGCCGTTAAGGGACTGCGAGGCTTACATCCAGCAGTGGATAGAGCAAGGCTGCTGGTGTTGACGTGGTCCACTACGGCTGTGTTATTGTTTGCAAAGGCGCGCGCAGCAGAGCGCCGTTACGAGCGTTCATCTCCGAGATCACCAATCCGGCGGGGTGGGTGAAATCGACACACGAGCGTTCACGTCGTTGTTTTTTTTTTTAAAAACCGTGTGAACATCACGAGACGTTCAGTAACGCCGATCCTCAACTGTAGACGAAATATAAATAAAAAAAACCCCGCACACAAACACACGACGCGAATCCACTCCGCCACTCGCACTCACCGGTCCACATCACCGCGGACGCCTCCGTCAGCGTCTCGAGCACACAAGCACGCGCGGGCCGCGTCACGTGACCTCGTCCTTCCCCCAACCCCCGTAGCCCCCACCTCCTCTTCCGCAAACCCCGCCCCATTGCGCTCCCTCCCCGCTTGCCCCCCCCCTCCCCACTTGCCCCTCCCCTCCCCGCTTGCCCCTCCCCTCCCCGCTTGCCCCCCACCCTCCCCACCCCTCGCGCGCGCACCCCATCCGTCACTCAAACCTCAACCAGCTCAGAGTAATTCGCCTCCCCATTGGTCAGATGTTGCTCGCCCCCCCACCCCACTCACCCAGCCCACACCCGCACACAAGCCCCTCCCCCCCCGCCCCCGATTTACTCGGGCGGAGCGCGTGGGTGAGCGAATTTTGCGATTGCAGTTTTGCAAAATTTTTAAACGAATAATCTAAATGGATTCTGGTGTTTTTTTGCCTCGTGTTTGTTCCCTTCCACGGGTGGTTGTTACCACTCGTATGAAGTTACAGTTACGGGGTTTTTGTTGTTGTTGTTGTTCACATCATTATTTTTTAGTTGGATACATGGAAAAACCGCCCAGGTTCGCTGCAACAACGAGTACCGGCATTTAAAGATCTCGTAATCGCGATTTTACGGCGATCGCTTTTGTCGATAACGAGAATCGATTAAATTTTGATTTAAAGCTTTCGTGACTGCAGTAATTCATATTTTTAGTTCTTTCGGTAAAGTCACGTTGAAGGGAAACAACAAAATAATAATAAACAAAATAATAATAAAAAAAATTCTGTCTCCCCCCTCCTCTTTTCAGAACATAGATGGACTAGTCCTAAATAAACTGCCAAATCGCTGCGCGTGGCGCTAACGTTTTTTTATAAATAAATAAATACACCGTTTAAAAATAAATGTATGCAAACCAACACACCTGAAGACGACCGTTTGTGTTATGGTCGAAACGTCGTGATAATTTTTTATTGTTTTATATATTTTATTATTTTATTGTTTCCCTTCAACGTGACTTTCACCGAAAGAACTAAAAAAATGAGAATCGATTAATCACTCCGTGCCGTGCCCGGATCTCGCGTTCCTATTGGCCGGTCGCGCCAGCGGCGGGTAATGGGGGAGGGGTTGGGGGTTTTGGGGGAGGAGTTTCCAAGGGGGAGGAGTTTCCAAGGATGTGGGAAGGGTGGGGGAGGAGGGGAGGGGCTATGGGGGGAGGGGCCCTCGCGCCCGCCACGTTCCGCTGTGCGCATGCGCGCTGGACGCGGTTGTTGGGTCGTGGTGCAGTGCCGCCTGGAGGCTGTAACTGGAAGCTGTTTTATAGTTGAGAATGTTTGGTTTTTATTCTGTTAACGCGTATTTAATGACGTCCTCCGTCGTTTCTGGCGTGTTCTGGAGGCTGTGACTGGAAGATGTTTCGTTGAGAATGGTGGCTTTTACTTTATTAACGCGTTATTTAATGATATACTCCGTCGTTTCTGGCGTGTTCTGGAGGCTGTGACTGGAAGAGGTTTTAGTTGAAAATGTTTGGTTTTTGTTTTGTTAACGCGTTATTTAATGATACACTGCGTTGTTTCTGGCGTGTTTTTTACGTATTATTTTCCTGCGTGTGTGCGAGCACAGATAGCGCACGTTTTAAATTTAACATACAATACAAATTATAAATCTGGACGGTGTTATCTCGTTTTCTGTTATTTGCTGAAAATAGATCATTACATGGTTCTCATGGTAAAGCAATAACGACGGCAACCGTCCCCCCAGTCTTCTCAAATATCTCACTTTTTTATTTACGGATATTCAACACGAGTTTGAAGCTTTACTAATCAGGAGAAAAATAAATAAAAATACCCGCCCTGATGATGTCTTTGGTGTTCGTGTTTACAGGCTCTCACATGACCTAATTCTACACATTAAACATCTCTGCATAAATATATCAACAAGCCATGTGTTTGTCAGCTAATATTAATCGCAGGAGACCCTTGAATATCGCGGGGGTTACGTTATTGGAAAGTGCCGCGAAAGCCAAAACCGCCATAATCAATACTTACATAATGTGGTTAGGTGCACGGCAACCAAAAATAGACACATCACAATTGATTAAAAAAAAGTTCATGTATTGTATGCCAAATAAACTAAATACTAAATCGTTGAAATAAACACGTAAAAGACTCGACCACTGGCACCTACTAGACCGCTAAGAGTATATCAGAGCTGCACGCTAGTCGGCCAAATCATGTAATTTCGTTAGGGTTGATTCTGGATAGTGCTTGCATGCAAACCCAGATATATTTTTTAGGGCTGCTGGGGGGTTACGTGGTCGGCAGCAGACAGCACTGCAAGAAAATCAATTGTTGAACTCTGGTTCTACGTTCTCATATACATTATATGCTCGCCTTGACCAATTCACACTAACAAAGCGAGGTGAAATATTCAAATCAAGATTCAAATCAAGGTGAAATATTGTCAAATGACCCATGGCATGAGGCGTGTGGCATGGGGGAGGCCCTCATCCCGCAGTGAACTGACAAGATGGCTATACAGGAGACTGCCGTCAGAACAGCCTCGTCACGTGCCTTAGAGACTATAAACCTGGCACACTTGCAGTTAAACTGTGTAAAACAAAACCTTATTGGTTTGTCAAAAGCCACAGAAAGCCTTCAGAGCAGTCTGGTGCTGCACGCATTGGCAGCAAGCCAGACAACCAGATGTGCAGCAACACAATGGCAGGCTGGTTTTATAATTGTAAGTAAACCACAGTAGGTCGGAATCTTGGCCGATGTTTCCCGCATTGAAACACAAAACCTGGCGTTAACTAGCTCGTGTGCTTTGACTCACTTTTAAAGGCTAATCTCAGTTGGCATGTGTTGGCTGCTTGCTCTGTGACTTAACGTCGGGAAAGTAGCCAAAAAATGTCAATAATTTAAGAAGCTCGGTGCCGTAAATGAGCTGCTGTATTACATTAATGGAACACCTGCATTTTGCAAGTGGCACCTTCAAGCGTAGGTGCTTGCATATTCTCTTGTGGTCAACGTAAAATTTGACTGGACCATTCAGTTCAGAGTTGACACTGGTTCAGAGGCTGGTTTATGCACTGAAGTGATTTTATACAATACAATTTGGATATGTATATCGTTTAAAAACAACCGTATGTCAAGATGCTGGTCAAAACGGCGAGCATATTTATTTCATTGAGAGAAAAAAGCAGTAAATTAGGCAGGGAAGGAAGGTATTAAGCGTGGACTTCGACAGGGACAGGGAGTCTACAGCATGGGTAGCAGGGGGAAAGGGAGTTCCAGAATCAGGGCAGCAGAGTCGAGTAAGCTATCATTGACCGACAATTGAGATGAGAAGGGAGAGGTAGTCAGGAACTAGTTTATTGGAGAGCATTGAAGAATGTGAATGCAATATCGAAATTAGTACAGGATTGGAGCCAGCGGGAGTATCAGAGCATTGATGTGATGTCACATTTACACGTGAGGAACCTGGTGGCAGTGGCAATGTGTCGGATCAACTTCAATATTCTTTGGGTGCAAATACAAAAATCAGGTCATTGGAAGACTTGAAAAGGGAGATCTTAAGATATGAGAATATGGATACACACGGGATTGTCAAGCTTCGTCTGTTGATGACTCTTTCGCTAAACAACAAGACAGCTGCTTTTGAGTTGCACCACTGAAAGTTGTACCCTGTTTGTAGCCAGCGGCTGAGAGTTTATATATCGTTAGCTTAATCACCCATTGCCATTATACTGGAGAAATGTTACAGTCATTGGAACATGTGTTACAATGGAAAAATATACTGGGAATTACTTTTCTGTTGATGTGTATTTTTAATAATATTGAGAAGTAAACCCTGCTGAATCGAAATAAACACTGATAATGGATAGACGGCCAAAGTAGAGGAGTGAATTACTGATAAAAGATGCCCATCATCCCAGGAGTCATTAGATCAGATGTGCTTATTATTTTTTTTGTTCTTTTTTAAAGTATTTTCAAACGCCGACCAAGGAAGGTATGGGAGATTTGTGCAGTTTTCAAAAGCTTGAGTTATCAGTCGCAATGGCGTCTTTCTACCGCCATCTGCAGGAAATTGGTCATGTTACTGGACGCGCCTGGATTGTTGCCATTTTCAAGATACGTACCATATGCTTCACATTAACATTGACGAAACTATGTAATGGCCAGAGCTTGATATTTAGTCTATCATGTGCACAAATAAAGTTCGCCCTGCATTCCGGAACGCCACATTTTCGATGTCAATATAGTTCAATTCATGACTTATGGCTTGGGTTGGGAGAAACATTTTTCACAAAACTATTGCAATTTGATGTGGATCCCATCATGGCTTTTAACAGTGGGTACACCCCCACTACTGAACCTTCTCGACCCGAATCACCGCTGGATGTGATGTGCTTTTGGAGCCTGTTACAGTTTAATTCTCTCCTTAACTTGGTTCAGCCAACATTTTCACAGAGCTAGTATGTGCCCCTGTGAACCCCTTGGAGAGATGGAACATTTTCAATGGAATTCCTGGCATTGTTATTCATCCAGCCTTAATTGTACAATTTGTACGTAACTCTTTAGTCTGTATAGCGGTGGTGCAATTAATAACTTGTGCTTTGAACCACAGCGATCTGAGTTTGGCCAGGCCAAAGTCCTGAGTAATATCAAAAATGGTCCTGGGCACCCCTTCACCAACCTGCACTGACCAGCATGGTAAAGTATGGTAAAACAAACCCCATGGTCTACAGAGTTTTGGGAGTCCTTCATCCAGCAGTGGATTGACAAAGGGCTGTACAGCTAATTGTCAAGCCACGGTTACATGAAGGTCTGCCAACATCTTCCAGTAACTGGACGTGTTTGACCATACTTCACTACACTGAATAGTATGGGTTGGCGAATGGGGAGCCGAGGCTATGTTGAGATATAGATTTATTGATTTTAGATTAGCCTGGAATCAAACTCACGTCACCAGATTTAAAGTGCAGTCTGCTAAACCACTATGTCGTTGCGCCAGCCTCAGTCTTATTTCACAACATACATAGACACAGTTGTCCTTTTTATTAAGGCAAACAAAGACAGTGTAATACTCTGTACAGGGTATTTTTTTTACTAATGAGCACATTATAGTGGAAGCTGTTTACTAATATCCGATTACCAATCTGGGCAACCATGCTCTCTACACACTATATATAGTGCGATGTGTATTTTGGGAGCACGTGACATCTCTGGTTGTGTTAAAGCTATTCGTGCAATTCCAGAATCATGTTAGTACTTCTATACCCAGGCTCCAACAACCAAAAAGTTGTTCATCACTTTGTTGTACAATTTCGAGTGCTTTTGTTAAACGTGCAAGACGTGAAATGTCAGCATCAATACGGCGTGGACTATGTGTCGGGATCGAAGCAGCATGCCCAGCAAACACTGATCCAAACCCAACCACCGCACTGCCCATATTGCACTTTTCACGGAAACGTTGGGCAGCGCTTAACCGTAACCACCTACAAACCACGAAAGATGCAGACACTTAATGCGCAAGTGGAAAGTAAAACTTCAGTGTGCAGCTACGAACACTAAACCGTGGCCCATATAACTTCACACAGCCCCAAATACAGTACAACTCTAAAGGTGGTGGTGGGTCTCTCTGCAGTTTACTCAGATTAAGCACATTATAGTGGCTGACTCATAACGTAATCTCTAATAGTTGAGCTTCATTGGCCATACGGAATCATCAGTATCACCATCAGTGTTACATTTCCTTGTGTTGAAGTTTAAGAAAGGGGTCTTAGGCGAAACGTAAACGTCAATAAATGACGTGGTATGCTTTGATGTTGTCTGTCTTGAGAAAAATTGCTCAACAGCTCAATGGCCGTTACTTGGGAAATTAAACTTCTACATTTCGACTGTAGATGTCTCCAGTCGCGTACCAGTATTTCAGCTATGAATTGTGTACATCTGGTATTGTCAAATTGCCTTTCATCTGATAACAAGGACTTCAGTTTCCCCTCTTTATACTTTCTCAATGCCCCCTTAGGGTGAGAGATTACACATGAAGTATTTGTACGGCTGGGTGTGGCAAAGCCTCCGTGCAGGCGTGGCTCCAAATGCCAAACTCGGGCACAACGCCACCGCGAAGGCGCTTCATGGGCTCAGCCATTGGCTTTCCACGACCATTGACGTCCCCTATTGAAAGACAACCCCCACCCTCCACGTCCCTCTCTCTCGCTCTCTCGAGAAAGAGTTAAGCCCCCTTCCTGCAACCCAGCAACACCACTCTCTGCAATTGGCCAAGACGCCACTGCAGTGGGGTCTGCTAAGTATGCAGGAGAGTGGTTGGCTCGTCTGCTGCTTGGGGCTTCTTTCCGTTGTGTCATCGGGAGGACGGCGGAACCACACCAACCATTGGCCTTGTTGCATATTTGTTAGGGGCGTTGGTGAGCCGCTTTGTCAATGGGCTAATCGCTTGGGGGTTTTTTTTTTGTTGTTGCTGCTGCTGTTGTCTCTGCCTCGTTCATAGCACTGTAAGTAAGCCACTTGCACAGTTTGGCGAAGCGCAACTTTCTGGGAATCTTTGGTCGGGTTGTGTTGCGGTTGTGGTGCAAGTGCAGTGGCTTCAGCAAAGCCGCCGGTGGATTAAGAGCAGCACCCAGTGGGTTTAGAGCAGCACCCAATGGGTGTAGAGCAGCACCAGTGGGTTTAGAGCAGCACCAGTGGGTTTAGAGCAGCACCAGTGGGTTTAGAGCAGCACCAGTGGGTTTAAGATCATCACCAGTGGGTTTAGAGCAGCACCCAGTGGGTTTAGAGCAGCACCAGTGGGTTTAGAGCAGCACCAGTGGGTTTTAGATCATCACCAGTGGGTTTAGAGCAGCACCAGTGGGTTTAGAGCAGCACCAGTGGGTTTAAGATCATCACCAGTGGGTTTAGAGCAGCACCAGTGGGTTTTAGATCATCACCAGTGGGTTTAGAGCAGCACCAGTGGGTTTAAGATCAGCACCCAGTGGGTTTAGAGCAGCACCCAGTGGGTTTAGAGCAGCACTAGTGGGTTTCGATCAGCGCCAGTGGGTTTAAGGTCATCACCAGTGGGTTTAAGATCATCACCAGTGGGTTTAAGATCAGCGCCAGTGGGTTTAAGATCATCACCAGTGGGTTTAGAGCAGCAGTAGCAGCAGAGCAGTGATCACACGCAGCCACAGCAGCAACTGTGTGCATCCCCAGCCAACAAGGGGTGAGAAGGGTGACATTTCAAATCCTTGCGAAAAAGGAAAGGGAACTGTTTGTCAGCGCTCGCTTATTTTGGCTGTCACGCAGTTGGGAACAATAACACAGCCGCCCGTCCCTTTGCCCAGTATTTTGGTGATCTTCTTTGGCGTGTTTATATATTTTTTTAAAAGAATTATCGGTGCAGTGTAAGCTCAGACATAGCAAAAGAGTGCGCATTCTCTTCTGCAGTACAAGTTAAAGCAGATAGGAAAGCATATTTTTCTACTCCAGACATTTTGCAAAGGGGCCCTTGCCTCGTTTTATACTTTATTTTTTGTTTTTTCTTCCCGTAGAGGTTGAAATCGTACAAGCTTCGAGAATGGCCAGCCTATTCTCCTTCGCGAGCTGCTGGGTTCGGGCCCTCCTGCCCCGGGCCGCGTGTGAGCCAAGCCCCGCGCCTGGAGAAGGGGATGGTCGCGAAGCGTCGCATGAGAAGAAGATGTCTGAGCTCTTCGAAAGCTGGGACACCAACAAGGACGGACGGGTAGACATTCCGAACTTCGAGAGGGCCTCAAGACCATGGGCTACACTGGAAACGGGTGCGGCCAAGGTAAGGGAAGATGTCTTCAAGCACAGCGGTTGTGTCTCTAGTTCGTACGGAGTTGCTTGCTCTCAAGTGTTAACAATTTATAAACAGATCACGGAACAACTTTTTTTTATTCTCACCACAGCCTTGGCCATTGTGCGTCGGTGTTCACGGCCCAATTAGCCGCACTTTAGAAGTATTTTTTATGAAAATGTCTGGCAGGGTCTCTTCCCACGTTCACGTGGTTTTGTTTGCCAAATTGAGCTGGTCTCAGTAAAGATGTACAGCGCAAGACTGACTTGATGTGTGTTGTGACAAGTTACGTTAACAATGAGCACTGTTGTCACAGTGGTGGCAAGAAAATTCTTTTTAACTATTAAAATTGAAATAACATTCACGGTTTGGGGAATCTGGAGACGTGTGGATGGGACAATGTGACTCTTGAGTGAGTTGTTACAGGATGGCCCAGATGTATTGTGACCCCCCCCCCCCCCCCCCATTACTTTGCGCCCACATTTTTGTTCCTTTCCATATTCATTTCTGCTTTAAGTAAACCTTACTTTACAAATGTTAAGTTTTAGATAATTAAATGGAGGTCCTAAGACGTCTGGACCACCCTGTACACAGATATGTCGATGGTCTTATTGCAAAGTACAGTAGAATAATTTTTCCTGATACAGCTGGCTTGAAGCGTCGTGTGCTAGTTGTTGATTCTATGGCCGAGGAGCTGGCAAGCATCTTGAGTTTTTCACTGCATAAAGCCTTTTTGAGGCTTTGCCAGCGTTGGGTAAAGTTTCAGCTCTACCCCGCACACACGACTTCGTAGGGCAGCAGTGGAGTGGAACGTGCAACAACAATTCGTTATTTCATTGGAGTTTGTGGCCACGCCTAGATGTCGAGATTAAAGACATTCTGGATCGGGTTCATTATGTAATAATTTACTTGTCCAGGAAAGCCACACAAAAATGGCAGCACTCCTGTTTTGGCAGGAGGATTCGGTACAGTAGTTGTTTTTTTAAGATGTTTTGAGCCAATTGGTGAGTTTATTTTACGTTTGCGAGGAAACCGGAGCACCCGCTTGAAAAGCCACGCGCTCGATGGGGGCAACGCTCTATACCCCGTACAGATGGAACCGGGTGGCGATTAGGCCACTTGCAGTACTGCTTTCTGGCGAGCCAGGGTTATGGCACCTCGAGTGGGATCCACCAACCCTTGCTACCACCACAGCACTGCATGACTGTACAGGCGTGCACCAACCAATACCAATCCCACCATTCGCAACTCTGACGGTGACGTCGCCACGGCGCCCGTGCCAGGCCAAGTGCACTTTGAGGCCGCGTGGAGTGTCAAAGGCTCGCTGACAGGAGGTCACGGGACAGACCCAGCAGATGCCCATAGGTCGGCTGACTGAGATAACCTGTAGATGCACCAGCTGCACCCCCTACTGTGGCCAACTTGCTGCATTTTAGCTGCCCATCGCTCCGCTCGCTGTTGTGAGCATCGCTCCTCTGCCCTCCGTTGTTGTTGGCGGGCGACTGCCTCCAACTGCCCAGTGGCGTCTTTCACGAGCCTCCTCCAACCACTGCCCAATGAACAAACAACTACTTTATATCCATGGGACAGCCAACTCGAGTCGACTTGAGTTGACTTCATTCCTCCAGAACTTAAGTGTGAGATGGGAAGATGGACAGGTCTTTCTCAGAAATACTTACGAATAAGACTTTCCTACAAACACTTGTTCGTAAAATATCTAGACCGTATGGGCTGGTTGTTAGATGACATTTACAACGTTTCCGTCACCTACAACCTTCAGTTTTTTGATTGAGCTAAAATTAAAAGATGTAGGGTTGTCAGGACAGCCATGGAGTGAAGCAAAACGGGCCCAGATAATTTGGGTTAACCTCCTGAAGTCCGTTATCTTGTCTCGTCGACGCAAACTGTGTAAACGAGCTGCTGGGAAGGCATCTCGAGTTATACCTGGAGTTGTGTGGCTCTTGAAAACTGGGTACAGCATCTACAAAACTGCAACACATAAGTCCTGCGTTTAGCCGAATAAGGGGGAATGTTAGAGTTTACGCGCATCCTAAAACTGGCAAAACCAGTTACAGTTTCAATAGATAAAGACCACACCCTGGTTGTGCCCCTAAACCCCACTTGCGTTTTCATTCGTAAACCATAACTTGTCTCATATATGGCTTAATGCAATACACTTGAGTAACAAACAACCCTGTGATTGCAAAGTACAATTATTCAATATGCTTCCAAATCTGCGTGTTTACTCAAGCCAAACTCCCCTACAGATTCCACTCCTGCACATGTTGAAGCTGTAAAAAATATACTGCAGTGCAGTATTTGTCATTTTATTAACTCTAAATATGGACGGGCATTTTGACCGAGTTTCAACTTCATGGTGATGCCAAGGTCCAGCAACTGCTGGGATCTGTGCTGTCTGCTTGCCTGGTTACTATCAATCATCAATGACTGCGCAGCCAATGTATGGCAGTAAAGCATGGTCATGTGCCATCTATGGTCTATGGTGGCAGCACTTGTGTGTATTGGTTTGTTTGTGCAAGCTATTTCTACTTTTGCCTGTTACTGGCAGGTTATTGCACTGGTCCTTTGAACGTGAATTGTTTTAGCAGTGCATTAGTCATGGATGTGTGCAAACCGCATACACTGGAAGAGCAGTATATTTATTATATGGAACCTGATGTCACGGTTCAAAAAACAAACTTGGCGATGTTTGCATTGGTGGGAATACATTTGGGTCCAGTTTATAAACAGATGGCCTGGGGGGTGTTTCATAGCACTATCTTCAGGTGTGTTCAGTACAAATAAATCAGCGAGCAGTTCTGAAAGTATTAATAGTGTTGTGGTGTAGTGCACAGCCCTTGTTGTCAATCCACTGCTCGTTGAAGGGCCTCCCCACAGGATATATGCTCGTACTTAACCACGCCGGTTCGTGAAGGCAGAAAGAATTGACGTGGGGCATATAAGGACAGTAAACTCATGATTTTAGCTGCACTGACCAATGCTACTCGTCACATAGCCCTGCAGCATATAGCACCTGTTGTGCCTGGTGGTCATCCATCCAAGCACCGTCTCTTCTCAGCCTTGCTTAGCATCCGAGATATGATTATATCGAGCACATTCTGGGCGCTTTGGTCATAGTCGGAACTCGATAGTTGTAGAAGAGTGCAGTTTTCAAGCCAAGACCAATTCAGACCTTATTGGACACCCCGTGCCCTTATAAATCTCAACGGTTCATCCTACTAAGTATCACAAGGGAGAAACACAAACAAATAGACAAAACAAATATTTACCCATATTGAAACGTCTGTAAGCCGTATGGACCTGAACTAAATTTCCCTGTACAAGAATACAGGGTAAATCGTATGGGTTAACGGGTATGCATCGTCCAATTAGTCGATACCATTACAGTGTTTACATTACAGGTTAATTACACAACTGTGGGCTTGTGCTTTTCACTGGAGTGCAGGAAATCTTCAAGCTCTCAGACAAAGACCAGGATGGGCAACTGGACTTCGAGGAGTTTGTGAAATACCTGCGGGACCACGAGAAGAAGCTGAAACTTGTCTTCAAGAGCCTCGATAAAAACAATGACGGTAACAGCCCTGAATCACCACAACAAGCGTGCACTGACACGTGTCACAGTTTGTTTAGCAGTCAAACATGTACGCTGATGGGAAGCCGCAAGCTGGATAAATGAAACACGATGGCAGTTATAATATAGTCTTAAATATAACAGGGTACATGGTACGTATATGTACAACCCTTTGTAAATCCACTGCTTAATGAGGGCCCATTCCACGCCGTGTGAGTCATGGGGGTTGTTTGACCATATTTCACCACTCTTGCCAGTGCAGATTGGTAAAAGTGGGGAACATAGATGTGGGAGCACTGAAGTACAATACAATAATACACATTTAGTACAGGTTAGTAAATCTATATAGCACATGTAAGGGTCATAGATTTACACAGTAACCTAGTTGTCCCTATAGTTGAAGATAATATTATTTTTCAGTCGGTTATTTTGTCATGAGATGGAAAAAAACATTTGAAACTCTTACAGCTAGCAGTGTACCCCCTTGTGGTCGTGAAATTCCCTGCAATATCACATCAGAACCACAGTAGGGCACTTCTGAAGTCACTTCAATAGGGTGTCTCTATCAACATTAATGGCACACGTTTTATTTGTTGAGCAAAGAAGCTTTCACATGCCATGCCAAACCCAAGCTTTTAATTTGCAAGCCTAGAATAAACTAAATTGAGTGGAAATGAAATTTACTACAGGCACTGGTGATGGACTGAAACCATAAATTTGCTATACTTGAGAATCCAGTTCGTGACCTTTTATTCAAAATCCAGGATTTGCCTCGGTGTTATCTGATACCCTGGCCACCTCAAAAATAGGCATCTTAAGATCATCACATTTTGTACAATGTCTGTTAAATATAATTTGAGTATCTTATTTATAGATAACCATGATCAGTTATGTTAGGGGTAGTGTGGTGGTTAGCGCATTGTGCTGTGAACCCGTCAACCTGAGTTTTGATTCCCGACCATGGCTAACATCTGTAGTGAGCGATATCCAAACCGGTCCCAGGTTCCGAACCTCCAAACCCCACCGTTTACCAACCCGCACAGACCAGCATGGTGAAATATGGTTGAACAACCTCCATGACCGTCATGGCATAGGAACAGTGGCATAGCTATGAATTATACAAGTGATGCGATTGCACTGCAGCCCACAGGCCAAAGGGGCCCAGGTTCTGGGCTAACAAGAGAGGGGAAATTGAACAGAGGATTGTATTTCATTCCTTGTACCAGGGTCCATGCCAACCATGCTACACCACTGCATGGGGAGGCCAACATCCAGCAGAGGGTCTGAACCTATGTGTCAATATGATTTGATACGGAAGACACTGAGAAACTGCTTGTATATGCTGGTGCTGTGTTGTGTGGGGAGCGTTGCTCACTGTGCTACGAATCCGGCGACCTGTGTTCAATTCCTGCTCGTGGCCAACACCAGTGACAATTATCTGAACCAGTTTTTGGCCTCCCCCAGGTCGACTTGCCATCAAATGAGCACCTGGTGCAGTGTGTAAACATTGCCACTAGGGAGACAAAGGCGGCCGGGCATGTTGCTGTCCACCCACTCCCTCGTGTGCCGTGCCAGCCTTGATAGGTGCTCGATAACAATACCTGCCCCAACAATCTGTTCAGACTACACGGGAGATCCTTGTCTTTGTGTGTTTGTAGTTAAGTTGTTTTGTTCTAACATTGAGTCCATGGCAGGACGCATCGATGCCGCTGAGATCGTGCAATCGCTCCAAAGTCTGGGAGTCGAGATCAGCCTCTCCCAGGCTGAGAAAGTCCTCAGGAGGTAAGACACTTATTTTGTGAGTAGTTGTCCAAAAGAGTTATACATTATCTCTCTGCTGCATATAACAGCATTGCATAATCAGGTTCAACATCAGACACATTTTCTGTACCATATAAATATGTTAGCCCGAGTGTTATTTTTTGTGAGCTGACATTTCAACAGTACAGGAATATTTTAAAAACGTGTTTCTATGTAAATGAACTGTGAAGCTATCGCCCACTCACCGAGTTGCGACGCGTGGCAGCGGCACATCCCCGGTGTCGTCTCCTTGCGGCGGCAATCGCGCGCGCGTGCGTGCATGCGCCCAGAGTTTCGTGTGCCTCTCTTGCGTTTCGTTTTCTCTGCCACGCCAAATGGGGACCCCCGAGTGATTTGTGTAACATCCGTCAATGTGCGTCTGTCTCTCTGACCGTAATCGCTTGGTGGGCACGTGCAGAGTTCGCTGGAATTTCCACGGTTTTCCACTTAACATGTCTCTGACAATCTCTCTCATTTAGTACCTTCAACAACAGTGCCGAGGTCTACTTCCCTGTACATATCAAATACCATGGTACTAATTTTCAACAGCATAAATTTGCTCCTATGTCAGTTGCGACCCAGTTTAGCTTACGTAAAACATGATTGAATATTCTTCTGGACAAATCGTATGAGCTGTTTTTATGTAGCTACTACATACGTACATTTGTATTCTTATAATTACTAGATTAAAAAAAAAGTTTTAAAACAGTCTAGTATTTTTACTTAACATTAAATGTTAAATGATCTAAACAATAACTTTCTCCCTGTTTAAAATAACAGTGCATTCCACTTTAAAACGTTTGAAATAGCTTATAAGAAAACGTTATTCATTCTGATTTAATTATTTCGTGACTGCAGGGATTCAAATTCTTGGTTCTTTCGGTAAAGTCACATAGAAGGGAAACAATAAAATAATAAAAATATAAAACAATAAAATTCTCACGACGTTTCGACTGCAACACAAGCAATCATCATCAGGTGTGAAAACCACAGCACAAATTTTCTTGTTGTGGTTTTCACACCTGATGATGATTGCTTGTGTTGCAAGCGAAATGTCGTGAATTTTATGGTTTTATATTTTTATTATTTTATTGTTTCCCTTCTACGTGACTTTACCGAAAGAACCAAGAATATAACTTTCTCCCCGTTTAAAATAACAGTGCATTCCACTTTAAAACGTTTGAAATAGCTTCTAAGATAACGTTATTCATTCTGTACAGTTTCCCTCAGTGAAGCATGATTAAATCAATGAATAGACTGTTATCATTACCCAACATATGGCTACACACACCACTCTCTACGTAATACCATTAACGTCACGATACTCATATTTAGCATAATGATTTGTATGTTTATCATAAATTAAGCCAAAGTACCATGATTGCTAAGTTTTGAATGGCAGTACATATCCCATTGATAACTTGACGAATACAAATTCACGTATATAATCTGATTCACTTTATAGTACACACTTTCAGTAACAATAACAACATGTTTTAATGCTAACCTAATCCTTTGTTCTATAATCTTCATTCACAACCTCTTATTTGAAAATGTACAAGCTTCTATGTAAATCATCGTCAACGCTTAAGTCTTTTCTTATTTTGCGCTGTGATCTTACCAACGTATCTGTGGATTTTATTTGAGCCCTTTCAAACATTCTCCTTTCGATTGTCTTTAAATACTTGTTTCATTCCTTCCTCCATGCCTTCACTAATCCGGCAGAATAAGGAGGGGGAAAATGTTTGGCACAATCAATTTGTAAGTAGTTGGCATGCCCCTCTTGTGCATATAGCTGCTCCATACAACTGAAATGAATATACAGTTCCTGCATACAATTTCACTATGCAAGCTGAGTATGCGCTAGCTTCAACATGGCCAACAAAGTCTTTGTAGTAGTTTCATCGGCAATGTGTATACATACGTACGCGCATATATTTAGGTCCATGAACATTACACGGTATATACTGAAGCGACCTCCACCCCAGTCAGCCAACTGATCTTCTGTAGGCGTTCTTTGCCATTCTCTATCCTTCCATTTGGTGGTAGCGAACGTGTTGCATATCATTCTTGCGATCGTGACATTCTTTCATTGTCCAGAATTAACATGTTGTCTCAAAATGCTCATGACATCATTGAAATGACAATAACAAGGCCAGTTATTTACCCACGAAAGCCTCGGCAGAGTCCCGAGGGCGTGACTTCGATCGTGAGGAAAATTAACGCAAGCAGAGAAAGCGCCGCTTAATAAGGAGATGGCATTCGGCACTGCCATCGTTCTGGCCAGCTCACAGCTCCATGAGGGCAACACCTGCCAAGTGCTGGTGTTCACCCATCGAAGTGGTAATCTGTCTCAAGCCTGCTTGGCTTCTGAGATGTGACGAAGTCAGGTGACTTTTGAGTGATTTTGTCTACGGCAAGTACTGTGCTGAAATGTAATGGATAAACAAATTAATTATATTCTAGATTTGAAGCTTTCGTGACTGCAAGGATTCATTCTCTTTGGTTTTTTCGGTAAAGTCACGTAGGTAAAATAAAATTAATGAAAACAACTCGATTAAATCACCAATTAATTATAGTTGGCAGTAGTTTCCAAGCACAAGTTCAAATACAAATCACCACATTCATCGTTCATGCTACCTTATATCAGAAATGTTATACTCTGGTAGGTTTACATGAAAGACAATGACCAATATACTATGAAGGGGACACTCCCATATGTATTATTCTACTCTGACTAATGGTATTCACCGAAGGCATTAGCCCTCCTATTTTATTTTTTCCACTGTAAATCAGTCATAGTAACGAGCGTGGTGAGTTTTTATTCATGTGTTTGAACGTAGGTGATACAACATTACTGGACATCTGTGCAAAATAGCTCTATCTCGACGGATTGCTCCAATACAAATTCATATTCTCATTCAGATTTATTTATTTATAAATAAATAAAACAGATATTAAACTATTTAAAGCCTTGTCATTGTTTTGTTTCTCTAACTGCACACTCTTTTTTACATTTTAATGACCTGATTAATAGTGTCAAAATAACCTCTTGCCTCGATTGGTGCTACAGCATTTAAACACGCTCCCCCCATTGATCTAAGAAAAAATGTCACTGCCCTAAACCACTTTTTACGGTATTATCTACCTGACAACGTAGAAAATAACCAAATGCTTATTGGTTTAAACCCAATGGATATGTGTGTGCTGAAACACCTGCACTAGCTCATTTGGCTAACTGAAATGGAATTGAGGGTAATTCCTGGGTAGACATGTCGTGTTCTCCATTCTATTGTCGGCATCGGCATGCTTCATCGCAGCGTTCCATTGCTTAAAGAGAACAGGACGTTCGTTTTCAAATAATGGTGCTATTCATTGCTTGAAGGCATGCAAGGCTGTCCATTCCCAAAATGATAGCCAATTTCACTTTCAGACTGAGAATATAGCGCTGTAATAAACGACGAGGTGTTAAAATAAACAGCATGTGCTGACCATTGTTTACAATAAAGAATTTGGCCACAAGATGTTATTTTCAATGTTCTTGCATGTCTGCAAGTGTGAGAAATACATTGTGCGCGTGTTCACGCGTAGCTGTTTGTCAAAGCCTTGATAAATGAGGGCCTTCCCGTGCGGGGTGGGTCATTGGGGTTATTTGACCATACTTCACCACGCTGGTCGTTGCGGGTTGAAGGTGGGGAAGCATAGCCGTTGGCACATGATACAGCGCAACAATGGCTTTTGCTGCACGGCCCTCTGCTGACAATGTAGCCCCCTGCAGAAATTCCAATATTCGCAAGATGCATTACATTCAGTCTTAAAGGTGAAATGTGCATCTAGGGATAACTTGCGATTTTGTCATTTTAGAGCACCGTCGTGCATCGCGGTCGAATAATTTGATATGTAATGTGCAAACCTCCCTGCCGGTTACAGCATGGACAAGGATGGTACGATGACCATAGACTGGAGTGAGTGGAGGGATTACCACCTCCTGCACCCTGCAGCGAACATCCGTGAAATCATCCTCTACTGGAAACACTCCACTGTGAGTGCCGCCTTCCAGCCTGGGTCGCCGTGAACCCGTTCGCGATGATGTGTGCAATTAATGGATTTTTTTTTTATTTCTACTTGGTGTGCATTTCCTGGGCTGTCCAACGTGGGCTTGAAGCATTGTTGCTGAAAACGTATTATTGAGCTGCATTGGTGCAGCAAAACATGCTGAAATGACATTGAAGTGACATGAGTAGTGTGCTAAAATTACATGTCGCCTGACCATGACTTTTTAACTCTTTAGTCTCATTAATGATGTCTTAAACTCCTGTTCAGATACCCCTGCCTACATATGGGTCTACAAGGTAATTTTTGCTGGTTTTTGAGTTTCATATATACGTAAGGAAATATTCCATTTTAAAAAAATTAGTTTGTGAAATTTTGCAAAGATCTCATTATTTTCCAAGGAATTGTTGGATAGTCGGTGCACAGGGCAGATTGCGCCAAGAGGCTTGGCTCTGTCCAATATAGACTGCGGCACACTTTGTACGTACAGGAAACACAATGTAACGGCAGTTGAGCACATTGTCACAGACTACCGCATTTCATGTCATACTATGTCGGTATCTGTAAAATTTAATGGAACTACATCTCATCAGACAAGCCATGACATTTATATATTTAGGAAAGCTGCCTTAGGCGCATTACTGTAGATTGTGAAATTGATGAGAAAGTGAGCTAGAGTATTGACAATGACTTTGACCTGCAAAGACGGCTTGGTCACTAATCTGCAGAATCAGAATCTTGATTTAGACTGGATGAATCCAATGAGCTATGAAGCTCTTTTTCACAGGTGTCCAGTAGGGGGGGGAGGGTCAGCAAGCTACAACAGCAAACAATACAAAAATACAACATCCAACCTTCTTTCAAGGGCTCATCAGTAAAAGTGCAAATCGCGAACAGGAGTGACCTCTCTGGCACAGAATTGGCTCGGTGTGCCGGCAGTCACGCATGTCTATTAATGTACAGTGGTTTGAGTTGTGGCGATTAACAAACGAAAGCGCATTACTGCGAGCATAAAATTCGGTGTCTGTCCTGAGAAGATCCGCTTTACTCTGGCGGCAACAGCAACGGAATGTGACAGTGCAGGTGCGCAGCAGCTGTAGTGGTGCGGTGTCTCAACTGCTGCATGCGCAGCACTGCGATCCGCATTCCTCGCGTGTCGAATGGGAGTCCTTGTGTTTGAAGAGGCAGGCGTAGAGGAAGGGTTTAGTGACTCCACGCATTATGGAGATTCAAAAACGGTGGGCTCGTTGTTGACGTTATCATTGCTTCCTTCCTGAGTTTACTATGGACTGCTGATAAGACACTACGAAGATTAGAAAAGCTGTAATATTTGAACGGTAACATTTCATGAAGGCCTTGATTATTATGCGACTTCTTTAGACGTGTTGAAACCCTACTGTATTCCCGTTCGACGGTGTTCACGGATGCCCACCGGCACGGACGCCCACGAACACTCCGTGCCCTCTCTTTTTTTGTGCACAGATCTTCGATGTGGGGGACAGTCTGACGGTGCCCGACGAATTCACGGAGGAGGAGCGCAAGTCGGGCATGTGGCTACGCCAGCTGATGGCCGGGGGGGCGGCCGGCGCCGTGTCCAGGACGGGCACCGCCCCCCTCGACCGCATGAAAGTGTTCATGCAGGTACCGTGCTGTTGTGCTTGCAGTACATAATGAGCCTGGTACTTGGACACCTTCATGCGGGTTCCATGCTGTGGTACATGCCATCTACAGGCTGCAGGGATTTAGCCCGTTGTCGATTTGATGCATCGATAAGTCAGTTTGATGGTTAAATATCATGGGTTTTTTTTCCCTCTTTATAGCTTATGTTTACAATTTTTTATTGATGTACGTATGCTGAACTTCTATCGCACCATACGTAGCCAACCGTGCTAATCGGAGTTGCGGGGGAAGGACAACAAACTAAACACAAAAATCAGTTCTGTCTTTAATTTGTTTTCCTTCCCCCGCGCATTGATGTAATTAAGTACACCAGTGCATAATGCAAAGTCCTGAACCTTAATTTGGTTGCATACATTGGTGAACAAAATGCTGTCACTGCACATCAGGCTGCAGTGTTCCCTATGGATTCCTTCCCGGTATATTGTATAGACTGAGAGTTGAGCACAGCCCTTGCGTGTGCCTAGTATTTCTGGAATATCACATTTGAAACCTGATTACTTAATTTTTCTTGTGGTACATAGTGTCTGTTTTGTACTGTATTTTGTGCATTGTCTCGCCTATACTCTATTTTGCCTAGTTCGCACTTTATTTTTGTTTTCATCTGTACCGTACTTGTCTTTTATGCACTGTCACATGTTGTACTTTTGTGTTGTCTTTTTGTACGGCCTCATCTGTACTATACTGTTTTGTCTTTCATATTTCTGTATTATCCACCTCGTTCTGTCTCCATCGCAATGTCTGTCTCCCTGTCCCGCGTTGGTCTGTGAATTAACATAAGAGTAGCATATCTAAGCACATCACTTATGAATCATTGTATAATCAAAAATAATCTATTCTTGGGCAAGCATTTCAACCCATTTTCATTTGGCTCAAGAATCCTTGTGCAATTGTAGTGACTGAGGAACGGCACGGGACTTCAGCCAAAATAAGCGTTTAATTACAGCCAACGGAAATACTATAATGCGAAGTTCAGAACTCTGAGGCGCAAACTTTGTAACGTGACTTATCTACATATACCCCATTTAGCTGCATACCCTAACCCATACGTGTTATCTCATTGCGCACACTCGATCCGTCTTGGGTCTCCTCGAGCAGCTACTTCCTCTGCTACTCTGCACACTTCTCTACCTAGAAGGCACACCTGCTCTGCTGCACTGCTCGCATCTAACCCTAGCAGATACATCTCCTCCGCTTGTCTTCGCTAGCTGGCAGGCAGCCTTGACACTGCACGATGATGGCTGTCTGACCCAGATGAAAGCCCAGCTACAGGCTGTCCTGTCACTTTTATCCATTTCACCTAACCCCGCCTTGTCGAAACTACTAAGCCCCACCCTGACTTTGCACTCACTGCTCCCTTCATGCAACATTCTCTTTAAAACGTGCATTGCCCTACCCAACGGCAAAACACTTTGCATAATTTGTACTTTCAATGCACGTCCACTCGCCGTCTCGTTAACTTCCTAACCATGGCAACCCCACAAAGCGCAACATTAATTTGTTCTATCCATGCCTGACCAACGCTTCATCTGCTCAGTCCCTTTGCCTGACCAACCTCTGACCAACCATTCATAATAAAAGTCCCTTTGATATTCAATTATTATAATACTTAAATTTCCCATCTGAGGAGAGGTCACTACACAATGATGCGTCGATCGATGCATCGTTCCGGCCCGGGTGCAATGTGCGCGAAGCTCAACGTGCCGTACGATATAAAACTTTTGTGCCGTGTTATTGCGCCTACAATTCGCAGCAAGGCATCTCCTTTGTGTGTCGATTATAGCCTGCCTCCAGTTTGACAGTTGCAGTGGCGTTGCGTTTGTCTTCGCAGGTGCACGGGTCAAAATCCAACAACATCAGCATCCTGACGGGCTTCAAGCAGATGATCAAGGAGGGCGGCATCGCGTCGTTGTGGCGAGGAAACGGGGTGAACGTCATCAAAATCGCTCCGGAGACCGCCATCAAGTTCATGGCTTATGAACAGGTGTGATTGCAGAGAGTTAATAGAAGTCGAAGAAGGCGGGGTCTCTGTTGCCTTTTCAGATTTAAGCTCCGGTGACATAATGAAGCAAAGTGACAGGAAGAGTGCCGCACAAAACCTGACATGGCTCAATTAATGGTGCTGAAATTTTTTTCTCTCCCAGAAGGCCGTGCGGCTGATGGTTTGTGTTAGAAATACTTTTAGGTTTTTACGTTGAAAGACGGGTAAATTAAAATAAACATTCCTTATTTATTTTGTTAAAGCAAAATAACAGGAGGCGTGCTGCACATAACCTGGCATGATTAAGACATCCTCACATTTAAATCCTAATTGATGCCATTTTGTTATTATTAGTGATGTATTTGTTATTATCGGTCATCATCTCACCACCTACTCTAATGCAATTGCATTGTTGAGTCATTGTCTTATCGATACAATACTATGTCGTATCAGCGGTAACATTTGCTTTTTGATTTACTTTGTTCTGCTCAGATAAAGAAGTTCATCGGAAGCAATAATGTGAGTCTGGGCATCCATGAGCGCTTCATGGCAGGGTCTCTTGCTGGGGCCACAGCTCAGACCATCATCTACCCGATGGAGGTGAGCACTCATCTATGCTGCCGACAAAGTAACCACAACATAAAAAAATCAATTACACAACGGTAATAGCCACGGCACTTTAAGAGAATGGGATGATGGTGCGCAATTGAAGAAAGTTCATATCGAAGAGACGGTCTCAACTTACGCACAAGATAACCGGCAAGGAATAGATACTGTACAAAATTATAGGGATGCAAAAGTTATGCTTCTTCAATGCTTTCTAAGATGAATGCTAATGCATTAGCCTTCTGTTGTCAGTCTATAACTGAGGTCACAATACCTCTCGCAAATGTAAAAAAAAAATAGTATAAACTGGTGTTGCTATTCATCGACCTACCCTCCAGAAAATTGGTCGCATTGATCAAAAGGTTACCCAAAGCTTGCTGATAAAGAAAAACCAGCGCTAAAAGCAGTCCACTCCGATTGTCAAGGCAATGACATCTCACGTCATGCGTGCACCTCGGCACTCTACGACATCATCATGTTCGACGTCGTCTGATTGTGCAGCTCGGTAGGTAACATTGCCGTATTTAACACTTCCCAGGACGACCTCGTATTGGAAAGCGTTACAGAATCCAAGCATGCGCGTCACGTTGTCACGTTCCTTGATTTAGCACTTTTGTTTTTGCTCTGCAGGTTATGAAGACGAGGCTGACGCTGCGCAAGACGGGGCAGTACTCTGGCATGATGGACTGCGCCAAGAAGATCTTCATGAAGGAGGGGGTGATCGCCTTCTACAAGGGCTATGTGCCTAACATCATTGGGATCATCCCCTATGCAGGAATAGACCTGGCCATCTACGAGGTCAGTGCGGATTGCAACACTTCCTGTCCGTCATTGCCTGACTGACCCACAAAGGATGGGTTAAATGCATGTAGCTCGATGTAGCTGTAGCATTGGAAATTATGCCATACAGCTTAATGTATATTTCCACATGTGTGGAAATATACATTTGAATGTATTATGCTTAATTTCAATGAATTTTTGTTCAATTGTGTTATACACTTGTGTGTTATAGCATGTGTGTTGTGGCGAGCGGTAGTATAACGGTTAATGTGATGCGCTACGAACCTGGCGACCCGGGTTCGATTCCCGCTCACGGCAAACACCAGTGTCGATTATGTGAACCGGTCCTGGGCCTCCCCTAGGTCGACTCAGCCTCAAACGAGTACCTGGTGCGGTGTGCAGACATCGCCACTAGGCAGACAAAGGCGGCCGTGTGTGGTGCTGGCCACCCACCCCCTCGTGTACCGTTCCGGCCTTCATAGGTGCTCGCTAACAGCACTTGCTCCTACAGTCTGTTAAGGCTACACGGGGGATCTTTGTTATGTCTGTGATCAAATAACCCAGAATGCACCCGATAGTGTCACATCTCGGAATCCGATTTGAGCTGCTAAGTAGGGTTTAGCCTGGATAATGCTTGGATGGGTGAACATAATTGTTTTTGTTACCCAGTGCCTGAGCACAATCCCAGAGGCTCAATGTGTCAGATATCCAGCGAAAAACGAGCGCTCTGAAAATCGATGAAAATGAACACGTTTCTTGAAGTGAGCGAGGTTAATAAGCGCTTGGGATAAGAGACTATTGTGTAGGGAGTTCCAAAGTCGGGCAGTGCAAGAGAAGCAGAAATAGAGAAGTGTTTTGACCTGCAGTATTTAAAACGCATGTTGTTTGGTGACGCTCTTTGGCAGCGGTGCACAAATGACAACAAAAACAACTCTACAAATTCATCAATAAGACTGCCTTTGAAATATTAATTACATAACAGGCGACATTTCAGACAGTGGCCCTTGTTCAAAGCACCGAGGGGTCAGACAAGTAGTGTCTCCACCTTTCTGGCCTCTGTATATCATAGTATACAGATTCTTATTAAGGCAGTGTTGTTGACAAACGTGTTGCGTTTGCAGTATGATAAATAAAGAGGTTGTAACTGGCTGCATGGCTACGTTGTTGGCAGTAAGAGGACAGTACAATAATATGTATGATTCCCGCCTTCGCAAAACCCACACTGTAGAGCGTAAAAAAGTCCGGTCAGCTTAACGTCATTTCACCGCTTTATTAACACTCCTCTCGTCTAGCTTCACGATTAGTGCTCTGCCTTGGTGCGCTTAATGGGGTTGTTACATCGTAAAAAAATTCTACGCTTGTGTTTTTTTTTTGCTTGCTCTTAAAGACGTTGAAAAACACGTGGCTGACTAAGTACGCCAAAGACACGGCGGACCCCGGCATCCTGGTGCTGCTGGCGTGCGGCACGGTGTCCAGCTCTTGCGGGCAGGTGGCCAGCTACCCACTCGCGCTGATCCGCACGCGCATGCAGGCGCAAGGTACGCCGAGCGTCGAGGGCTGACGTCACCCCGGCACCCTCGAGCCTCGTTGCTTTCATTTAGTCAGTTTTAGTTTGCGGGCAGGGATGAATGTTTACACTGGTTTAAGCTGTATTGCAGTGCATAGATCACGTTGATCTTGTTTGAGAGATCTTGCAGTGTCGCCCCCAACTGGATGGTCTGCCAACACTGGAATTCTTGCCACGGCTTGCTGTGTCTCTGTTCTGAGCTGATGGCAAAATTAAACTTTTAATTGAGTCGTCAGATCTCTTGGCGCCACAGATTGTTTTTTTTTATTACTCTAATGTGGAATTTACACACATGTGATAACATTCGTAAAAAAATGTATACATTGAAATTAATACTTGTATTTTGGTTATTTTGCCTTTGATGTTAAAGCAATTGAGTTTTGGGGGTGTTGAGTGTTTCTCAGCAGAACCAGGGAATCCTGAACCAAGAGGTACGTAGGCCACTCGGCCAATCCATGCTCGAATGAAAAAGGGTGAGTGAATGATTAAATACGATGCCTCATTATTACCCTGTGCCACCACCTCACAGCGTCAATGGAGGGAGGACCGCAGCTATCCATGGTGGGGCTGTTCCGGAACATCGTGAAGAACGATGGCCCGCTAGGGCTCTACCGTGGCATCGCGCCCAACTTCATGAAGGTGATCCCAGCCGTCAGCATCAGCTACGTCGTCTACGAGAACTTAAAACGGGTGTTGGGTGTCACTTCGCGGTAAAGACAACTTCACAACTGCGAGTGATGGAGGAGAGGGGGGGGGGATTCCATGAAATATTGAAGGGCCCCAACTCTTCACCACTCTGCCAAACTTGTCTTCCGTCTTTTCGTTTGTTCGTTGTGTTGGCCGTTGGCTACAAGCTACGACTTGCAGATGAGAAGCAATGAACGCGTTGTGCGGCTGTCTGGCGTTTTGGTTGGATGCTTTGTTCAGGGAAATTCGACTTAAGTCACTTGGGTGACAATGGGTGGGCAAGCTCGGCTTGTGTGAGGTGTAATGCCAATTGTTTTGTTTGTTGAGGTGTGGTGTTTTGTGCTCCCAACAGTAGCTATCTTTCTTCTGCTTCCATAACAGCACTGAGATCTGTCCCGACAAGCTTGAGAGCAAACTATCGATTTCGTTACATGTCCTATTGCTTTTGTGAGGTGATTGATAAAGGTTTACCAAAGCAATTTCAGCCACTTTAAGGTTGTTGCTAATGAGTTGCTGATTTTGTTGTTAAGTGTTTTTTTTAAATAATAATATGTTCAAGGTGTGTTTTATTATGTTGTTTTTGTTACACTAATAACATGCTGGTGATGGCAAACTATTGGTGGGAAAAAGCATCTTATAAAATTCTGTCCAAAGCTCTGAAGTTATTGGCAACGTTTGAAAAGATGGTTTAATGGTCAGCTGCTGTGTACAGGCACTTCTGTTATCAGTTGTTTACAAGGCCTTGCCAAATTCGTGCATCACATTAATAACCTTTTGGAGATTTAAAGATCAAAAACTCGTGGGTTTTTAACATAGCTAAATGCAGTTACAAGGTAGTTTATCTTTGTGCAGACATGTGAGTTGATTGTACACACTTTGTCAAGACATTCTTTTAATGAAAATATGCATACTTAAAATGCACACTTGCCCCAAAGTAAACATGCATACACTTCCTAATAAGCTCAGAAACTCGTGTAATATTTTGACATCTCTTGGTGATTTTGTTTTTTTCATTTCTTCTGCGAATTATACGTTTTAAAAGTTCTTGTTCGTTCATTGATAACAGATCATAAAACAATGTGGAAATATTAAGTAATGTTTTGTATTGTATGCCCGTGTGACAACTCGTTTGTTTTTGCACAGTTGCTGAGCCATGGGTCCATAGGCCCAAAACTTTGAGCTGCGAGCAGCTGACAACCCTATCAAAATTGTAATGGCAAGAGTTAACGCATTTCTTGATTGACCAGGGTTACAAGAACTGTGAAGAGTTGACATACGGGAGGAAATTGCAATGTGGTGTGGAGCAGGGCGAGGGAAGAAGCTAAAAGATGTTGTGACCTGCTGTGTATGGTGGTTAAAAAAAGGACGGTGTGAATAAAACAAAACTGTCGAATTCTCATATTATTGTTTAGACCACCAACTCAAAAAGTTTAAAATATTGCCAGTCCAAAGTTCAGAGCTAGGGAGTTGATTGGTGGCTGAGACAATGCTAAGGGTGTTGTACATGCCATGTGGTGGTCACATGACATGCATACAAGGCATGATGGGAGTCCCTCCTTCCTGCTGTTTGTGAACAGATCTTTGAGGTGTTTATTCAATTTCTTTCCAGCCTGCATGCATTTGCCTGTTGTTATGGGATTTCTAATTATCTACAGAAAGTGTTTGATTTAAATGTAAATGTACATAGCCAAACTGTGTGTTTTTTTAATTGTTCTGTGCATGTCTGTGTACTCTTTACGTCTGCAATGAGCAAAAATTATCCACTTAGTGTGCCATATATAAATGTTTACAGATTACATCTATTGTTAGGCCTTCAAAATGTACTTACTAGCAATTGCTGAATATGCCACGTGACATTGGACACGCAGTACTGTTATATACCTCGTTTTATTTTTTATTCGGTTCACATCTTATCTTTTCAAAATTGACATATAGCACACATTGACGGATTTTCCAGTTTGATCATAATTACTATTTGTATGCATTTCCTTACGTTTTCTGACACTTAAGTTGCTGCAGTTTGCTATTAACCATTCCATTAGCACGATTGGCTACATACGGTATGAAGGAAGTTCTACATTGAGGAAAAGCGTTGGGGAGATGGCATTGTGGCACAGCTAACGAGACAATTTTTGCCAAATCCGAGGTTAGAATCTTTAGCAGCCAATGTCTGGCCCAATGCGATTAATGGGTAGATGCGATTAATGGGTAGATGCGTTTAAAAGGTACCATCTTCACTGCCTCTTATCCCAGGTTGAATTCCAACGAAGCTAATATCCAAGGTGTGAGCAGTGCAGTGCCTCGGCTTAATATACTGGCATTGTTGGTTGTTTCACTTTGTAACCTTTTTTCCTGTAGCCAAAGCGCTCCTCTTTCCTGCACGAGAGATTTACTTCAGCGCACGTGTACACATGAAAACGCACGTGAATTTTCATCGTGCGCCAAGGAGCCAAACATCAAAGTGAAAGCAGAAGCACATAAGTCCTTATCTAGCTCAACCAAGAAACCCACTGGGTGAACATGGCTTTGGTCTCACACTCACTATCCACCTGCCACCTTTGAGGGTTTAACAGAAAAGCGATCCATTGCCCACCGTCACATAAGTACATGGACTGAACTTCAGAGTATGCAATGCAAGTATTTACAGGTTAACGCAGCATGGCATTAAACTTGCTTCCCAGGCAGAAGCTGTTAATGGTGCCTTGAATGTGTAAGTACGCATACGACTCGTGGCTTTATTTTTCCAAGGTCGATTTGGCAGCGTTTGCTGTAAATTCAGCAATTTGCCACAAACAACCGGTCGCCAATAAATGTGCCCGTGGGCCACCTTTACGCTTTCGAATGTTTCAGGGCCGCAAACAAGCTATTATTAATCTCCTGCGTCCCCTGCTCGAAGTCCGTGTACACTGTGGGACAGTGAATTGATGACGTCATGACTGCGGTGTGGCACAACTGATTCGTATTGTTCACGGGTGCCGCTGGCTTTGGTAATCTGCCTGCACTTTGCTTTTTTGAACTTGTATGGCTGAATGGTTTTGCTGGTCCGCGTGCTGAGGGTCTTAATTTTTTTAAATAAAAAACGAATTACAGTAATTCACTTTATGAAGATGTTTTGTTGGCTTTGAACATGTTTCTGTGTTCATCTTTCACGAAAGGTTTTTTTTTGTTCCACAATCGTGCAAAGAGTTTGTCATACTATCAAATGGAATATGGATGAAAGTGACTTTTTACAGATGTGTTTGTTTCACAGAGGTAGGGGTGTTTATGTTATAACCCAAACTATCATAAACGTGATATTGTAAAATGATAACTGGTGTGATGGACAACAAATATGGAATACATTTTCCCTTTTTTGTTCAAAATGTCCTTACATGCGCGTGTGGTATTCCTATACATGGCCCTAATTCGTACAACGGCAGGCAACACTGGCAAAACACTGTCGCACACTAACGTCTACACTGAACACATGACCTGGTCGGCACCGATGATCCTTGCACCAGGTTCTTTAACGCACACCGTTGTGTCGCGTGCAAAGCACGAATACAACACCTCAATTGATGAGCACAGAGTTCCACATGCACACAGTTTTATACTTGTCAGTGGGGCCGTTCTGCACCTCCGATTGGCACGGTTGGCTACGTACAGTGCGAAAGAAGTTCAACACATACCTATTGCATATATAATGCAGTCACGAATCGGCAACACGATTTTAGACACCGTTTAAGCTACAATTATGTCATACAAATGATTCCCCGATTCATTTTACCAGGATCTTTATGGCAGGAAGTTGTAGGGAATCTTACTTGTGGCTTAGCTGTTAAGTCTGCACGGTTCTTCAACCACTGGCCTGCACGTGTCTCAATCAAATCTGTAAATGACAAGAAAACCTCTATCGCAACAGAATAGTAAGTGAATCTTGAAAAAAGATACAAAAGTATATATAAAAAAGCACAGCCATTGTGCATATGCAAACATCCATTGGTACTCCTGAAGAAGTGCATTGTGGTCCTCTTAGACCACCGTCAAAATGAATTTGCTTTGGAGGACGAGACCGATAAACAATAAACATGAAAATGCGCTCCGAACTTTCATAAGCTGCCCGACCTCGAAGTGCGCAGCGCTCTCAGCGCGGTGCACTGCGGGTTATGGAATGCATTATGGATTATTATGTAAAGGATTATGTAATTGATTATTATTTTGGAATTCATTATTATTATGGAATTTGTTATTATGAAATTGATTACTATGGAATGGATTATTAAGGAATGGATTGTTAAGGAATGGATTATTATTGTGGAATGGATTATTCCGCGCCTGGAATTGATCTAAAACACCCGTGGGGTAAACGCGGATTTCAGGAGCTGTGCGCACCCGCGAATTATTTGAGTTCTACCGCAAAGTAAAGTCACGTAGGTATAAAAGTACATGTTAATTCATTTTAGATGTGATGTCGGGTATAGCGATGTTGGTAATAAGTACATTGCCCAGGTTTTCATTGATTCCGACAGCTAACACGACTCTTTGGCTCGCCGGATCAGTGCGGCTGCCCACGTACTCATCTGAGAACGCATCTTTTTGAAGTAAATTCGGTTCTGCAGTTTCTCCTGAACATAAATAGATAGGGAAGTGTTGCTTTGACCCATCTTTGGGACACGAATAGCCTTGAAGAGCAGCGAGCTTGCATTCACACCGAAACTAAAAAAAGCAGGGGTGCTGACAATATACAGTATCTCTCAACATGCCAGATATGTTGAAAAGGCTTTCTATGAGCTTGTACACATTTCACTTATGTAAATATTGATATTTAAAAAAAAATACTTCAGATATCCAATATTGCTAAATCCAAACACCGCTTTGCAAAAGTTCCACAATTTAAACACGTTTGTGATGTTAAAATGCAGACTAGTCTGTGGTTTTCAAATGAGAAAACATTGCGCAGATCAATGTGGCAGGAGCACTTCGCGTGAATTTGTTAGCAATTAGCAAGTGACACCAAGGGGGTGAGCGATTGTGGTGTAGCGGTTAGCGCCACGCTGCGCTACGAACCCGCCGACACCCGTGACGATTGTTTGAACCGACCGTGGGCCTCTCCTGGGTCGACTCAGCCTCAAACGAGTACCTGGTGCGGTGCGTTAAAACATCGACCGCTAGGGAGACAAAGGCGGTCGGGCGTGGTGTTGGCAACCCACCGCCTCGTGCGCCGCGCCGGCCTTCATAGGCGCTTCTCGCGAACAGCACTTGCCCCAGCGGTCTGTGAAGGCTACACGGGGGACCTTTGTCTTTGTAGACCATGGTGGGCACTTGGCAATGAATGGGTTAACTCCACAGTTGCCCCCCGCCCCCTACGCCGTCACGTGGCGCAAGAGCGACAATGCAGATGCCCTTCTGAGGATCCCTCTCGCCAGTGCAGCTCTCGACCAGCAGTGACCCATCCTCGTCCTCCCGTTAGCAGCCCATTTGGATGCCCCCTAATTGGCACACCTGCTGACCCCCACCACCACCACCGAGTGACCGTCGTGGCAGATTTGTTATTTATTTGGGAGACATACCCCACCCCCCGGCACCCCAGCACAATGTCGACTCTGCAGGCAAGGGCAGAGAAGCTGTTTCACAGCCTGGACACGGACGGCAATGGTCGCATTGATTTCAAGGAGCTGAGGAATGGCCTGCGCAGCCTGGGGATGACCCTGCTGCCCGGGGACGAGGAGGTGAGTTGGACGGCCAAAACCTTTTGCGAATGACCCCTTACCGACTGTCGGAAGGTCGGCATGTGCTGCTGCTGCTGGCTGGCTGGCTGCTGTTGCCTGCTGCTCGCGTGTGACAACACCGCAGCCGGCGAATTGAGAGCCCCGGTGTTCTGTCAGACTCGCGCCTGCTGTGCCGCAATGTTGCCCGCTCATCACAACGGGGGCACGCGGGCATTGCGCGTGCGTGCGTGCGCGTGCGTGCGTGTGCACGTGGCTTGTTGTTAATCGTGGAGATTAACTCGTTCGGCAGTTCCCGATGTGCGCACAGTTTAGCCTTTGCCCGAATGCGTGCTGCGAGCGGGCGCCTATCGAGGCTGGCCTGTCTTAACAACGTGGGCTTTCGCGACCAATGTTAGCCACAATAAGAGGCGTTTGGGGCCGGTTAGATCCCGTACATATAAATGCGTGTTTATATTTACGATGCGAGGTGTAATTACTGGCGAAACGTCGTACTCGAATTGTAAACGTTGTGCGTTTTACTCTGCAACACAACCGGTGTTGCTGTACGAGTAACGAATTGCCACGTTTTGTTTACGCGACAAACCTCACTAATCGGCTGCGTCGGGTGGTGGCGGGTTCAACGACACAATTATCACCCAAACCCCTCCTTACGGAAGGCTGGCTTGGTTTGGGCTTAGTACGTGCCCAGGAGTAGGGATGGCCAGCACCGTGCACGGCTGTCTTTGTCTCTCCAGCCGGCTACGTTAACACGCCACACCGCGTGCTCAACACGTGGGAGGGCTCAGGACAGGTTCAGACACAATCAGCACGCAATAGGCACCGTTAGATATTGCTGGGATAACGCAAACAAAAAACTACACGAGAGATGGTGGAGTCATTTGCGAGCCGATTAATTTAACACATCGTTGATGGATGTTCTGCACAGATTCGCAGTGCCGTTAACTTCACGTGCCACATCGCGTGTGAGAAAGCTTCGCCCACTTTACAGCCCTCGACAGATTTGCAGACAGCGTTGGTTGCGCACGAGGGCAGCAATCAGCCCTGTGGGTAAACGAGAGTTGGAGGGGCAGCGTGCAAAGTAGAGACGGCACCAGCTTCTTCAAGACAACGAGTGTCAAACCCAGCAGCGCCTGGGTGGTTGCAGTGATGTACGCTGCATGTCATAGAAATGCATCAAGGACAAAGATGAGCCTCCCTCTCCCGTATAAGCCTTTTAACAGGCTGTTGGGACAAGTGCCGCTGTTTGCGAGCACCTATGAAGGCTGGCATGGCACACACAAGGGTGAGGAGTAGCCAGCATCACGACGCCTGGCCGCCTTTGTCTCCCGAGTGCTGATGTTTACACACCGCATCAGCTACTCGTTTAAGGCGTAGTCGACCTAGGGGTGGCCCAGGAGCTGGTTCAAATGTTCGTCACTGATGTTGGTAAAATCGAGCGTTTAGAATCACGTGTCTAGAGTATCTGGCTGCTATACATTTGCACGTGGTAAGCCACTTCGTTGAGCTATCATTTGTGGCCAGATTGCTTTCTGCAATTGAGCTATGTAGCTCGGTGGCCTTACCTGGTAAAATAACAAAAATAGAAAAAGTTTTATAGTTTGGTCACAAGCGAGAATTGAACTCGGGTGACGTTGTGCGCTGACCACGACACGGACCGCTCTTTAATACGAAGACAAAGATCCACCGCATAGCCTTAACAGATTGTTGGGACAAGTGCTGTTAGCGAGCAGCACCTATGAATGCCGGCACAGCACACGAGGGGGTGGGTGGCCAACACCATGCCCGGCCGCCTTTGTCCCCACCCCCCCCCCCCCCCCCCAGTGGCGATGTTTACACACCGCACCAAGGGATTCATTTGAGGCTGAGGCGACCTAGGGGAGGCCCACGACCGGCTCAAATAATCGTCACCAGTGCTGGTGGCCGTGTTCGTAGAGCAGCCGAGCGCTAACCACGACACTGGCGCTGCCCACACACCACGCGCACTGTCACTTTGGCCACAGCATCTTTTATTACTCGCAGAGCCGAAGGTCCTTTTGTATAAATGTAGCATTGCACTGGATCGAATGCGTGCTAATACGACGCCATCCATTGATAGATGCGCCCAGGTGGTTAGTAAACTTTGACCCCCAGTGTCACACACCACACTGCTTACCTGGCAAGCGCACACAGTTCGTTTATTTCAATAGATGAATGCAGTTTGCCGTTTCCATTGAAACGCATGCTGTCGTGCAAACACTGTATTCACAAATATCTGGGTATAGTATCCACGTGTAAACTCTACTTAATAGTTCCAAAGAATATACTCAAATTATAACAGGTTATTTTGTAACAATTTCCATTATATTACTTAATGCGTAACGCACGCACGCAACTTACTCTATAACAACATTTACACACACGCCCTCAATGTGATGTACGTATACAGTACTGTATAGAGTGAGCTTACAAATCGATATTTATTGATTAATATATGCAGTGGTCCACTCACAGCAAACATAGAGCCACAACCACGTGTTGGTGAAACAGCCCAGCGCTGATGAGCTTCTGCAATTAAAATGTGTCTGTTTCAACAGCTTGCTCAGGGTGTTGTGATGAGACCGGTGTTGTATATAATTATAATTACAGGTACGGTATAAATATTTGACAGTTAATTCAGTATTATGTTGAACTTCATTCGCACCGTACGTTGCCAATCAAGCTAATCGTGGGTGCCGGGGAAGGACAACAAACTAAACACAAAATGCAGTTGTAAAGAAATTAGGGTTTTTTTTAAAGACTTTCATGCGGGATTGGCAGTAGGGTCGGGATGTCGGGTCAGGCATGACAATGGGCCCCACAAAGCTTGTGACCAAGGAGAGGACCTGGGATATTTTTAGGGCGCATCTTGGATGTGTGTCTTCTGCGCACAGCTGCACAGGGCCTGGCAGACGGTGAAAAGCGTTGGCAATGTGGTGGTGGTGGTGGTATCAACACGCTTTGGCCACGGTGACATCTCGATGTTGATGACCATCGTCGTCCTGTCTCCACTCTCTCCGTAGCGGCTCATGAGAGAGGCGGACAGCAATGGGAATCACCAACTCGACTACGAAGAGTTCTGCGTCTTCCTGGAGAGACGCAGGGACAAACTCAAGGCTGTCTTTTCCTCAATCGATAAAAATGTGGATGGTATGGCATTCCTCATTTCCCCGACTGAAATTATTTTGTATGTTTAATCACAGAACGGTAACTGACGCATTAAAATATAATATTGTTTAATTGTACAGTACCGTATATATTTGTGTACATAGTACAGTATTATAATGGGGGTAAAGGCGGTGGTGCAGTGGTTAGCGCACTGTGCTATGAACCATGGAGAGATGTTAACTACCTCGCCTGGTATACAAAACGTCGTGGGTTCGAGTTCGATCCCGACCCTGACGCCTGCTGTATATTTGGAGTTTGTCTCTCTCACTCATCATCACCAGGGTGGCTAGGAGATGTTAACAACCTCGTCTGATATCCAGGAGGTCGTGAGTTCGATCCCAACCCTGACGCTTGCTGTTGTATATTTGGAATTTTCATGTTCTCCCCGTGGTGGTGTGGATTTTTATCAGAGTCCTCCAGTTTTTACCTCCACATTTAGAATCAACATGCATTCAAAGTATTTGACTGCTGTTACAAATATCCACGTGATTAGCAACTTCGTTGAGCTATCATTTGTGACCAGGTTGCTTCTGAAAAAGAGCTATATAGCTCGGTGGGCCTTACCTGGGATTCCCGGCCACTGGTGTTGTGATATGGCGACAGGTCTATGTCGCTCCCCTGCACCATCTCTTTAGGTATGGTCAGGCAACTCCCATGACTGATACAGCCTCGGGAGGCCTTTGTCCAACAGTAGATTGACGAAGGCTTGTAAACTATTGTGTTATAATGTACAAGAGTATATCGGCTAACACCAAATCGTTTTCACTCTAATTATGGCACTTACAGATATTCAGTAGATATTACCAAGTGAAAGTACAAAAGCCCATCGAGACCATGAGGCTATTTTTCAAGAGACGGGGATTTACTTCAATACGGCAAAGCAACAAATTCCAATTTGTGAACAAAGCAAAGCGATAAAAAAACACATTTTGAAAAATTAACAGCTGAAAAAAAGAATGAAGCTGAAATTGGTGATCGCCTAAAGTTGCCGAGTGTTGTTGGAATGGGGCTGCGAGGTGGGCACAGCTGAGTCTACTTACTCAGTTCGTCCATTAATAGTATTGGCCAAATATCCCGATGCTCCAGAAAAAAAAGTCTTGAGACACACATTGAGACTTTTCTCGGTAAGCAATTGGCACGATAAATACAGTAATAAAAATAAATACTTTAAAATTTAATATTAATATATTGTCCATTTTGGTAACCCCTCCACTAAAACGTATGCGATTATACATTTTTTATTTATTTTAAGTCACTTAAATGCCTCTCTTAAAGAGCGTAATGTATCGAGCGAGGCCCATGGGATTGTCCTGCGAATGGCGTTTTCTTGGGCTCTCCTCTCGGTCGAAGTGCCCGCGTGTTGCCGGCCCGGCCGCTGTGCGTGACGCGTGGACGTTTTGCGGTTGCGGTCTGGGCAGGCAAACTCAGCGTCGAGGAGATCAATCAAGCAGTGGAGGAGCAGGGCCTCGCGCTCAACCCCCGTCGGGCTAAAGTTCTCCTGCACAAGTAACAATCCCCACCCCCACCCTACCGGGTGTGCTCGCTCCCTTTCGCTGAGTCTCACACTTGGGATAATTGACCCTCCAGCCAACCTTACGCTCAGCGTCCAAACAAAGACAAATATCTTGATTTGAAGCTTTCGTGGCTGCAGGAATCCATACTCTTTGGTTCTTTCGGTGAAGTCACGTATGTAGAAAAATAATAAAAGAAAACACGACGTTTCGGTCGCAACACAAGCGGCCGTAAAATTTTGATTTAAAGCTTTCGTGACTGCATGGATTCATCTTCTTGGTTCTTTCGGTAAAGTCACGTAGAAGGGAAATAATAAAATAATAAAAATAAAACATAATAAAATAAAATTATCACGACGTTTCGGCCACAACACAAGCAGCCGTCTTCAGGTGAAGAAACAGAACTGTCGGGAAGACAGCGTTCCAAAACTCATTGGAACGTCGTCTTCTCGACAGTTCTGTTTCTTCACCTGAAGACGGCCGCTTGTGTTGCGACCGAAACGTCGTGATAATTTTATTGTATTATTTTTTCTATCTACGTGACTTTACCGAAAGAACCAGAGAGTATAAAGACAAAGATCCCTCCCCACCCCCCCCCCCCCCCCCTGTGTAGCCTGTAACAGACTTGGGGTCAGGTGCTGTTAGCGAGCTGCACCTATGAAGGCCGACATGGCACACGAGGGGGTGGGTGGCCAGCACCACGCCCGGCCGTCTTTGTCTCCCCAGTGGCGGTGTTTACACACCGCACCGGGCACTCATTTGAGGCTGAGTCGACCGAGAGGAGGCCCAGGACCGGTTCAGATAATTGTCACCGGTGTTGGCCGTGAGCGGGAATCGCACTCGGAACGCCAGGTAATGTAGCGCCGCGCACCTCCGATTGGCACGGTTGGCTACATACGGCGCGAAAAAAGTTCAACATACATAACCACTGCACTACCGCCCCCCCACCTTCACTTCGCCCAGCGTCCTTGCACGCACGCGTGCAGGCGCACGACTCCTTCACGCAGGTTCCCCACTCGTCGCTCCCCACAGGTTGGACCGCGACGGCTCGTCCACCATCGACTGGGACGAGTGGCTGGACTTCTACCTGCTGCACCCGGCCGACAGCATGGAGCAAATTGTGCAGCGCTGGACCCACTCCATGGTCAGAGCCTGCCCTAGGACACGGAGCGTCGCGGGCAAATGACTATCGCTGGTCGACGCAGGAGACCCTCGTACACCGAACGTTGATATCACACCGGTGCCGTGCACACATGTGGTTACGAAAGCCCTTTCTCTAGCCACGGCTGAGCGGGGACCTCCCCACTCCGCGCAGGTTTTGGTTGTTGTTTGCGATGATTACCTGCAGCCGTAGCAAGAGGTATGTATATTCCAGGTCGCTGACCAGGACAAACCCGGATGATTTTAAGCCCAGGCTATAGGCATATATGTTTATCTTACAATGACGTACCCGTATGTCACTGGAACGAAATCGGAAGAAAAAACTGATGACGTACACGCATGTTCCGATGACGTAGTGTACACACAATGAACACCTTATTTGCCCCACCCCTGGCCCTGCTTGGTCCAGAGATAACTTCGGATGTCTTGTGAGGCCAGAGTTTCATGGCGTGGTGCCAGCTGAACACGGCAAATAGCCAATGGAAAACCACCCAAACCACGCCTTGGCTTTCCTCGAATGTGCCAAATTGATAATGGAGTATGTTTGTTGTGGGGAGCGGTAGTGCAGTGGTTAGCGCGCTGTGCTCTGCGCCACGACCCGAGTTAGATTCCCACTCACGGCCAACACCAGTGACGATTATCTGAACCTCCCCGAGGTCGTCTCAACCTCAAATGAGCACGCACTTGGTGTTTTGTTTAAAACTCTTAAACATCCCCGCTCGGGAGACAAAGTCGACCACACCCCATCCCCTTGTGTGCCGTGCCGGCCTTCACAGGCTGCCGCCACTCGCTAACAGCGCTTGCCCCAACCAGTCTGTTAAGGCTTCACACGGGGGAGGTGGTGTTGGGGGGGGGGGGAGAGATTTTTTGTCTCCGTCGACCTTGCAGATCTTCAACGCCGGCGACGGGCTCATCATCCCGCAGGAGTGCGAGGACGGCGTCACGTGGTGGCGCCACCTCCTGGCGGGCGGCGGGGCTTGCGCCGTCTCCTACTCGAGCACCGCACCACTCCTCCGCCTGCGCGTGGAGATGCAGGTAGCCAGAGCCCCCCCCCACCACCCCTGCCTTTGTCTCCCTAGCGTAGCGGATCGCACCAGGCACTCGTCTAGTGGTCCGAGCCGATCTTCAGCCGTTAATTTGTCCGTGTTGGGAAAAAGCTTCAGCTCATCTGCTGCCTGTAATTTAACTGACGGCGAACAAAATATGCACGGCACGTATGTACGACAGAATCCCAATAAGCTTTGTATGTAAGAAAGTTACTGCCATTGAGCAAACTGCGTACAGCCCATTGCCACTCCACTGCTGGAATACAGTTTTCCACTGCAGTTATTTGACCATCTTTCACCACGTTGAAGCACTCGATTTAGCCACGCATAGCTTGCAAACATAAAACACAGAGTCGTTCATACTGTGTAAGTCAAAGTGAGCTGTCAAATACAGGCCAATCCTGGGCTCCGAATGACGTGAGACTTCCGAGGTGACGCACGCAATGCTGGGTTAGATTTGAAGGGGCAACTCGCAGTGAGCCCATTTCTCTCCCTCTCCCCCAGCCTGTGAGCACAGTGTTCGGGCATTTTCCCGTGGAATTTCTGTGCCCCCTTCTCCTGTTATCGCTCGCGCTCTGTAACGGGCTCTTGTTAAATAAAAACAACCATACGAATTGTTTTTAAAGGGCATAAGAGACATTGGGCATACCCCTCTAACATGAACAGAACACCGTTCTGACGCTGAAGCACATTACGATTTTAATACGTTCAACGCATTTAATGTGAATCTATAGATTTATGGACAGAATCAAAATACTTTTTTTTTACCATCCGTATAATTTGACATGGGCTTGAAGCGGTGGCACAGTGGTGAGCGCACTGCGCAATGAACCCGGCACTCTTTATTCAGTTCCTGGCCAAGGCTGACACCAGTGGCGTGGGGGTGTCTGAACCAATCCTGGTCTCATCCCCCTTCGACAAGTCGCACTGACCAGCGCGGTGAAATGTGATCAAACAACCCCCACAAATGACACCACGTGTGGAGGCCTCATTAATACTCTTAATGGTTATGAACAGGTGAATTGTCACAGGCATCTGCGTGTCTGTGCTATGATATTGATATTTTCAACTTCCAATAATAGTTCTCTCACGGCACTGGCTACGCTGTGGGCAACAGAGGGCAGTTCAGTGAAATCCATTGTTGTACAGTAGCGCTTCTATGCTCCCACGTCTATGCTTCCCCCAACGCTCAGTGAACCAGGCGTCGTGAAATATCCTCCGTGGGGAAGCCACCACGTGGCAGCGGCCCTGGGCAAAGGGATGTTACGGCACGGTACGCACACGCCTCTAATTTACGGGCGAGTTGCGAAACTCGTCCGCCGTGCCCTCGAGACGCCGACTGTGTGTTGGTTCCGCGCGCGTGCGCGTGGCCCCCAAGGTGCGCGGCACTCCGGAGCGGCCACTGCACATGGCCGAGAGCGTGAGGAGGATGATTCGTGAGGGCGGATTGCGCGCCCTTTGGAGGGGGAACGGCGCCAACGTCGTCAAGATGCTGCCCGAGTCCGCCATCATGCAGATGACCTACGAGCAGGTGACATACACACACACATACAAAATAAACTAAACGCGAGCCGGCAAGTTCACGAATTTCACTGGAGATCTTGACCAAAACAACTATACAGATCCGGGATTTTTGTTGGTATTGGAAAGCTATATGAGCTTCGTACCAGATGGTATGTATGCATATATATGGGACCTTTGTGCCAGTATCAAGACAATACAAAAATAAGATTTGGCTGGAAAAAATACTCACGTAGGGGCAATGATCGGGAGCGTGGTATTTTTAGGGGAGGGGAAGATGAGGGAGGTGGGTGGGGGAGAGAAGAGACCCAAGCAGAACCAAAATATAAAATAAGTCAGTTTTTAATTCTTGAAATTCTCCTGAAGCAGCGGACACCACTACCAAAGAAGCGATACGTTAGGAGTCCACCCCTTCTCCTCCAGCCCCCAAACGCACGCTCACTCGCGCTGGATTTAGTATAAACGGGGGACGATGTAATCTGTTGCTAACGACGACCTTCGCGGGTCTCAACAGCTGAAGAAGTATTTCCGCGGGGAGAAGCAGCGAGTCAGCACGAGCGACCGCTTTGCCGCAGGCTGCATCGCCGGTGGCGTCTCCTCCTCCATCATCTACCCACTGGAGGTACCGCCACCACCCTCACTGGAGGAATGCCACGCTCTGGCCCAGGGTTGGGGAACCTATGGCCCATGAAAAACTAATCGAAAAGATGTTTCAATATGTTAGCAGGCAAGGCCCACTGAGCTATATAGCTCTTTTTCAGAAGCGACCTGGCTATCACAAATGATAGCTCAACGAAGTGGCTTAAAGCGTGGACATTTATAGCAGCCAAATACTCTAAAAGCATGTTGATTCTAAATGTGGAGGGAAAAACCGGAAGATCCGGAGAACGATCCACACAAACTCCAAATATACAGCAGCAGGTGTCAGGGTTGGGATTGAACCCACGATCTCCTATATACCAGGCGAGGTAGTTAACATCCGCTAGCCACCATGGCACCCATGAGCCGCATGCCATCCCCGGGCATCGTTTCACGCGGCCCACGGCCACTTGCAGCCTCCTGCTTCCAAATGGACCGCAAACAAAATACACATCCGTCACTGCGAGTATCTTAGCCACACTACTCGGGTACTGTCGGGGAATAATTTTTGACCTGCCAACACTGTTTAGTCACTCCTGTCACTGGAAGGGCCTCTTGCAGTCTTAGGAGTGATCGAGGTGTGCATTAGTGTGTGTCCTGTAAATCGTATTTGAATGTCCTGTATGGCCCTTAGAACAGCAGTAGGCTTTTGGCGCGGTGCGGTGGCATAAATGGCTTTGGTTATTGTGACATCTTGATCTTGAAAGGTTTCCACTCACCCATGGGCTATCCCAACAACTGACCCCCCCCCCCCCCTCTTCCTCTGCTCACACAACCCCCTAGAGGCTCCCTCATGGGATCCTCCCTTAGGGATTGAGTCACTTACAGAACCTCATAATTATAATCTTGATTTGATGCTCGCAATTACTCTTTGAACACCCCCTATGCCCAGCTACGTGAACTGGCCAGGTTTTCCTGGCGGTAGAGCTAGCGGCTTGCAATCGGAATGATTGCGAGTTAAAAACCTGGCGGAGGGTTGACTCAGCCCATCATCCCTCTGAGGTCTGTAAAATAGATACCACTTTCTGTGGAAGACAAAAGTGGCTAACCTAAGGATAGACTCGCTCCTGCCATAGGAAAGTGGTATTTCCACCACTGGCTCAGGGCCGTAAACAGTAGATGACAATGATAGAAACACCATCTACAAGCGCCAAGAAATGGTGAAGCCAGTACGGTCTGGTTGCATGAATGAATGTCTTGGTGGCGCGTGTGTGTGTGTGCGTGTGTGTGTGTGCGTGTGCGTGTGCAGGTGTTGAGGACGCGTCTCACTCTGCGCACGACGGGGCAGTACGCGAGCATGGTGGACTGCGCGAGGCAGGTGGTACAGGCCGAGGGCTGGAGGGCGTTCTACAAGGGCCTCACTCCACACATGGTCGCCCTGCTGCCTCACGCTGGCATCGACCTGGCGCTCTATGAGGTGACATCGCCATTGCAATCATCCTCCCATCCTCCTCCGCATTATGTTAACCTGCATGCCCAGCATCGTGACCATCGACGATGATCGTAAATATCTTGCTGGTGGTGCCTCCTTTCCCCGTCTGCTGCTCAGTGAAGGTACATCTTCCAAGTGTCCTGGTTTGGCTGGCACGGTGCCGCTTGCAGAAATGCTGTGCCAGTGTCCCCGAAGCATTTGAGACTATTGATATTTATACCAATCTTGCATTTTCTAGCCACGTGCTCAATTCATGATATAGGCGAGGGGCGGGGATTCCTGAGTAGTGGGTGAGGTATATTACTAATCGTTGGGGCTTACGAGCAGAGAGAGCAAAGCCTCTCACTGGGGCAGGGGCAGGTGGTTGAGTCGGCGTGGCATGCAACAGAAGGTTTTTGCTCATGGAGGGAAGGGCAGACAGCTCACCACGTGTCCTGGTTGAACCTCCCAGACATGTTGTAGCTTCAACTGAAGGGACCGCTCTCATCTAAGGAATGCCGCAATCACTGAGATTTCTTTCACACACACAACAACAAATGATGAAAAGTGTACCATACAGTTTTGGAAACCTGCCAGTAACGAACAACAAGATGTTAGAAATGCTGCAAAAAAAACGTCTCCTTTAGTGGCCGATGGGGCGTGTGTGCATGCGGTGCAGACCCTGAAGGAGCTGTGGCTGCAGCACTGCGAGACTGAACACACGGAGCCAGGCTTGGGGGCAATGCTGGCGTGCGGCGCCGTGTCCAGCACGTGCGCCCAGCTGGGCAGCTACCCCCTGCTACTGATCAAGACCAGGATGCAGGCCGGAGGTGGGTCTCTTAACGTGGTGGGGCCTCTTGTCATTTGGGGTGGTTTCAGTTCAAGTCCTCCAAGTCCTGATGTGAACGATGAGACTGTATTGCATCTCCACTGCCCATCAGTCACGCATGGATATGGGCACCAGTTATCCAGACGGTATTGGACCATGGCCAATAAACCAGTGTGTGGCTCTGTGGCATGCAGATGTACCATCTTGGTTTGTGTGCCACCCCTACATGTGACTGCAGAGCTGCCCAACAAACACCAGGTCCACGTTGCTGAACACTGTCCCTTATGGCATCGGGAAGGTGGATTGAGAAGGATGAATGACCTGGATAAGGTGGAGATCAAGTGGTTGAGTGATTTAGATATAGGGCAGCATTATTCACAAAAGTGTTGAGTTGTTGTTGTCGTTTGTGCTTGTGCACCACTGCCAATGCAGTTTCCCCCCAAAATAACATTGTTTCAAAGTGAGAAATAAATAAAAAATCACTCAGTGGCGGGTGGGGATTCATTTATTCCGTCTCATTCAGCCGTGCTGAACGGTGCTCAGGGCTCGGCGCAAGTCGGGATGTGGGCCTCGCTGTGGCAGCTGGGGGCACGCGGCGGCCTGCTGGGCCTCTACCGCGGCATCGTGCCCACGTTCGCGCGCGTCATCCCAAGCGCGGCCGTTTGCAGCGCCGTGTACGACCACATGAAGCGCGGCCTCGGAGTGACGCACGACGCCGGCGAGCAGTGCCGGTGTGCTCACGACGAGGAGGACCTCGCCGGATGAAAGCGAGCAAGGGGTGAGCGGCGAGCGCCTGTGACATTTCGTCGCGGGTAATTTCAAATAAATACTAGGATTGAGAGGTAAACCGGGTAGCTTAGAGGTCCGAGTGCTGAGCTGGTCGACCGAAGATCCTGGGTTTGTGAGTCCAAATTTCAGCTATCTACTGTATTTTTAAACTGGAGTCTCTGGTATCGCGTCGACGGTCTGAGCTCAGTGACAAACGACTTCACAAAACAAATACAATTATAGTTGGGTCTGCGGTCATTTGGCTAAATTCCAGCTCTGAGAGTTACACATCTGTGTTGACTGTCATGCTGTGAACATTTACTCTCAGTGGATGTTTTCAGTAAGCCTAAGAAATAAGCCACGTTTTCTACGAGTGATATGATCAATGCCCGATGGTGAACGGATTACTCAAGAGAGAAACCGTCATGGAAGTGTCTATGTGTGGTTTGGCAAACGCTCGACAGCACGACCCACATTTTGATGGTTTGCTGTGGAGTAGTTTCCTAAACCCCAGTGCTTGAAATATACCACGGCAAGCCTTTCGATCACATTTACAAATGAATTCATTAAAAGCTGCATGCGACCGACGATTGGTAAACACAGTTCACATGACGTCGAGAGAAGCACTGATTCAGAGTAAGAATAATTTTATTTGAACGAGCTCTGTCATGGGTGGTGTACATGGACACACATACACAGCATTCACAATTTGTCTAACCCAAAAGAAACCAATTATGGATCGTAACATTGGTTGTGAAAGCACGCACAAAGAATATCTTCACCTATTTGAAACCATCACCCTTAACGTCACGTGGCACATGTCTGCCCATCATCAGGCACGTGCAGAGCGCGATAACGAGAATTGTATTTGAAGGGAGAAGATAGGTAAAGAGAGAAGATAGGTCGTGAGGACTGCAGTACAATACTGTGAAGTAAACGCTTCCTCGAGGACAGTGGTTCTTAACATGGGGTGCACGCAACCACTGGGGTTGCGAGATGCCCTTTCCGTGGTGGGTGCGATACATGGCCAGATTTTTTTAAAGGTAAATAATCGAAAACACAAATTAGGCACGGGCACGTAAGTACAACTACTTTGTTTAATCAAACCGACGTATTTATTAACATTCTACATTTTTTTTCACGATTGAGAACCAAAGGGGTGCAAGGCTGCAGAAAAATGTTTAAGAACCGCCGCTCTCGGAGATGCTGGCGATATCGAGTGCAGCAGAGGGCGTGCTTCTGGTGGTGATGAGATTGCGGGAGATTAACCGCGATGGTCGGAGAGGAAATGGCCTGGAGGATGCCGTGACGAGGTAAGGGTTCGGCAACGGTGGGCAATCAACTCGATATCCCTTCTCACCGACGGACGCATCGTCCGCATGAGCCTTGATCAATCCACTGCTGGACGAAAGCTTCCCCAAGCCTTTGCCTTCTCTCATTGGTCCAGCAAAGCAAGGATCCATGTAGCTACTACACACAAGCTGATGTTATCGCGCCATCTCCATGGGGCATGTCCTCTTGGGCGTGTTCCCTCCTTTGCCTGACACTCTGTCGTTAGTCTCGACCACCGCTGGCCATCATCCCACTTCGTGACACGTCCAGACCAAGCTCAATAACTTTTATTAACAGTCACGTATTGATATAATGTATTGACTCCTGGAGGATACATTTCCGTTAAATTAAAACTAATGCTGTATGTATATACACAATTTGTATATATACAGTAAACCCAGCTGCTGGCATGCCTTATACCTTGTTTAATTTAAACACTTGCTTGATTGTTTTGAGGTGATCTATTGGTTTTTTGCCTTTGATATACGAGTTGTGAAATGACTGTTACAACTTGTGCCACGCAGGGACCGCTGTCATCAGTGGGTCCCTTGGGCTTAAAAAAAACTATAATTGGCTATTGGAATGATTGAAATGAGATGTAAGGTGATTGGAGATACTGGGGCATTTAAGAGCCCAATTAATATGCAAATACGAAATCCTTTGCACGGCGTGTTGGTGGGTGAACTAGGGACGGGCCAGGACCCGTTGAGATATGAACCACCACTGATATTTTAGCCATAGCTTCGAACATATTCATTATACTGAACTAATGAATGTGCATTAATATGTCTGGAGTGCCATTTCTCCTGAGTTACACCAAAAGTGGACTGAAATGAAACAATGCAATAATACTGGTCTTCTTTCATTAATAACGAGCCATTTACTTGAATACACGCCTTTTGGCGTCCTCTGGTCTAACACCTTTTTGAGACTAGGCTCAAAAGAAAGCTGTCTCTGGTGTGGACCAATCAGTTTCAAAGACAATGCATATATTATCAGAGTTTTTTGTTTGCATTCTGACCACAAGCATTGTGGTTAATGTAGACATGATTCCTTGTAAAATGTTTCAGTTTGGTGTTTTAACATCTTAACACCTGTTTTGTTGCCAGACAAAAAGGGGAAAACCTATTCTAATTTACTTGAATACATTCACAGTATGCAAACAATTGTCATTGCCCTGGCCGTGTGTGAATATAGTACAGTAATGTGTTACAATATTCAAATCACCGTTTTAAACGGTCTTCCGAGTAGACTTGAATGTAATTTTACTGAGTTGAATTAACTGTTCATTTACAGCCGTATTTATTCGTTCAGTGCACCGTATAAGAACAACCATTTCATATCATTGCCCTAAGTGCATTTCATTTCTATATCTCTATGTGCGTGTGTGTGTGAATCGCTAAACCACATCGCTTTGATGAGATCGCCTGATCGGGAGACGCTGTCTCATCGTTTGCTATCGTCCGAAGGATGCGTGTGCTTTTCTGTGAGTGAAAAAGTTGAAATAAAAAAACAATGTTCTTGACATGCTTGGCAAGATGTTATAAATAACCGGCACCCATCACACTCACAGCGATTCAACTCATTTACACGGGGGGAGGTGGGGGGAGATGGGGGGGGGAGTCACGGTTATATTCAAGAATAGATCATGTTCTGTATAATGTTCACCGTTTTTCATTTGTCGTCTTTGTTTCATTGTGCAATGTGTACGGGTTTCATTGCCCAGTTATGTTCATTGTTTCTCATTCGCGGTCTTGGACGATGCGTGCACCAAGGGGGACTCAATTGTAACGAATGAGTCATTGCCTATTGCAGTGGCCCTCCAACCTTCTTGGAATGGTGCCCCCCCCCCTTCTTGGAATGGTGCCCCCCCCAATCAAGTACCAACTGTTCCCACGCCTGCCACCCACCCACCCACACACCTCCGATTAGCACGGTTGGCTACGTACGGTGCGAAAAAAAGTTCAACGTACACACACACACACAGACCGCCAGCCCTAAAACACACAACTTATCTTACCAAGTCCACCACACCAGAGAGATTCCATGCCCACAGTCGGTTGTGTTTTGTGTTGGCATTTTGTTTTAGTTTCGTTGATTACGCTTCTGAGCCAGCTGGTGACAATCGTGCAAAACTCATCCCACTTTCCACCAAGGCAACTGGAAGACAACAGACTTAAGTATTTATAACCTAACATTAAAACTAACAACGGCGTTTGTGTGTGTGTTGTGTTAAGGCATTTGTTTTAGTGTTGTGTTTGTGTTAGTACGGCTTTTGTTTAGTAAGCGGTAGTGTAGCACTACTAGTTCGATTCCCGCTCGTGGCCAACACCAGTGACGATTATCTGAACCCGTCTTGGGCCTCCCCTAGGTCGACTCAGTCTCAAATGAGTACCTGGTGGTGCGGTGTTTAAACATCGCCACTGGGGAGACAAAGGCGGCCGGGCGTGCTGGTGGCCACCCACCCCCTCGTGTACCGTTACCGGCCTTCATAGATGCTCGCTAACAGCACTTGCCCCTACAGTCTGTGAAGGCTACACGGGGGTGGGGGGGGGATATTTGTCTTTGTGTTTCATGTTGTGTATTCGAGAGTTCTGTGCATTCGAGTTCCGCGCGTACATTCCAAATTTGTCCTGCACGGTATCCATGCCGCTGACCTAGTGTTAATACGGTAGTTATTACTGACACACTCACACGTCACAGTACTCGTGTTGCCACACTGAGGTTAAAAAAAAAAGTATGCAGACAAACCAAATAAATAAAGTGCGAATAAAAAAAAGTGTCACAATAAATGTTGATATTATAACAGGATGCAATATCTTCATAACAGTATTTATCAAACTTCTATTCATTTTTTTGTGATTTTTTTTATCCAGAAAATCCTCACCGAGCTTCATGACTCGTCTCTATTGGGACAGTACTCAGAGAAAAACCCACACGAACAACGGGATCCATACTCAACGATCCCCAACAGACGGGTTCACAAACTTGCTTGCTTTGACGGCGTCGTCTGCTCACCTCAAAGCTCGGTGGGTTTTATCACTTTACAAATCTCTACGTGATCCACCGACCCTTGCCTCCAAAGCACTGGATGAATGGCGTGCGTCACCGCACCCAGACATCGCGCGCTTCGCCATGATGCAGGTTTACTCCACTTATCGGGTACATTAAATGTGTAACAACAAGGGTTTAATTTCAGTCAGGTGTGTCTGGGTCAGTGATCTGGAACACACCACATCCAGTATATCCAGTCACTATGACTGTGCCTATTACTCACATGCCACCTACTCCAGTTTAGCAGTGATCTGGAAAGTGCTCAGTGAGAAGTCAATTCTTGGTAATAACTTCATATGCGTGTAAAACGGGAGATCATTTTGGAGACCGATGGAGAAACGTGACTGCGGTGCATTGTGAGCAGGGCCATTGGGGAAAAGGCTGACAATTATCCAGCGATCTACACTCACGACGAGCTCACATCCACCACCAGGTGCCGGTAACCCTCCCGACATAAACTTAACTACCACTTTGAGAAATGTAACTTTCAACGCACCTTATCATTCATCCCCGTTTAAAAGAGCAGCGTTGCGATCTTTCATCGGTCCACCGGCGAACCGGTCGCGATGGCCTGGCGCCAACTCCACCAGGCAGCACGCGTGGTCCACCAGAGGCAGCGGCAGCGGCTCCTCCGCTTGCACCACGGCCGCCGCCCGTTCCTCTTCCTCCTCTTCTCCTCTCCCTGTCCTCAGTCCGTCGAGCGCCACCACGGAGGCCTCCTTGCGCAACCCCGTCAGGGAGCCGCCACCCAGCACGAGGACGCGGCCGGGCCGCGTGACGGCCGCGCCGAACTGGCAGCGCTCGAGGCGCGGAGCTTGCAGCACGCTCCACTGGTCGCTGCCCGCGGAGTAGGACTCCACCTCCAGCACGCTGACCCACGTGCCCGCCTGCGGCCCACAGCACACGGGGGCGGAGGTCAAGAGCCCGCTCTTCGGTGTCGATCGCCTGCATCCTCGCAGCGGCGGCTTTTGGGAGGCCATCGAACAAAGGTGGTCACCGCATCGCGCGCTCTTTCAGGTGCGCTTCTGCGGCCGTCTGGAACGCTCTTCCTACCGATATTAGGAAGCCACTGGAGCGATGCATTTTTAAATCATCTAGGTTGAAAACAAATTTCTTTAGAACTGATTTTTGTCTTTAGTTTGTTGTCCTTCCCCCGACACCTCCGATTAGCACCGTTGGCTACGTACAGTGTGAAGGAGTTCAACATACATACATACGGATTTCCTCTCACACCTGTCCCGTTCTCGCCACACCTATTTGACCACTTTGCTAATGTACAAAGTAGCCACACGGGGACCATGTCGAGCCAGCTCAGGTGGCTGGCCAAGTTTATTTTTCCAATTGCGGAACCCGAGCCATGCCGCTGATGTCACACACAATGACGAAGACGATAAACCCCGCCCATGGCCCTGCTTGGCCCCAAACCAGATTCAGATCACTTTGGAGGCAAGAGTTTCAAGGTCTGGTTCTACTTTAGCATGGCAAATAGGCAGTGGAAAACTACTCATGCTGTGAATATGATTAACCCGACCACTGGCCATTCTTGTCCCTAACCCAGATTCAGATAACTTTGGAGGCCAGAGCTTCATGATCTGCTTCAGCATCAGCATGGCAAATAGCCAGTGGAAAGCCACCCATGCTACGAAGGGCCCCGCGATGGCGCGGCTCGGACGTGACGGCGAAAAAATGGGCGTACCTCGTCGAGGGCCCGTCCGCCCAGGCAGTAGACGAGCTCGCCGGTGGAGGCCATGGCGTGCTCACAACGCGGACGGCAGAGCGGCCGGTGGCCCAGCCACTGGCCCAAGCGAGGGATGTAGCTGGTCACATCCCCCAGGACCCGACCCCCAGAGTAGCCGCCTGCCCACGCAATGCACGGGAAGATGCGCGCACAGGGAATACCACATTGGTGTCTAAATGGGAGGCGGTGCACATTGTATGTATGTATGTTTCTCGCACCTCCGGTTGGGTACATATGATGCGAAATAAGTTCAACGTACATACATACGTATATACATACGAGGGATTGCTGTACGTCAAACTTTCTTAGCACCGTACATAGCCAGTCGTGCTAATAGTAGTTTTTTTCTTGACATATTGTTCATCATTGGCCTATTATAGATATTAGTATAATTTTGTAGATATTAGTATTATTAGTATTATTTTACGAGTTGGCTGGTTCTCTCATATATGCATACAAACAAGTTCTTAGGTAAAACCATGCATATGCATGGATTACGTAATGTTTTCAACTTTGCGTTTGTTCTAATAAATATTCATTCGCAACACACAAGCCGAGAGGGTATCCGTCAGGGTTAAAATTAATCGGCTAATCTGCACATTAATAGATATTTCTTTACTCTCACGCGCCCAATTCCTCAAGATCACTTTTAAAACCGCTGCACGGGGGAATCGAGCTGCGGCCTCACCCGACACGAAGAGCGTCCCCCTGTGCAGGGCGCCGGCGTGGTCCGCCAGGGGCCAGGCCAGGGGCCTCAGGGCCTCCCAGGCGTTGGTGGCCGGGCTGTAGCGCTCGGCCGAGCTGCTCGCTTCGCCCAGGAGGTTCCTGCCGGCCACGGCGAGGATGGTGCCGTTGAGGGCGCATGCCACGAAGCGCGTGCGGCGCTCCCGCATTGGCGCCACCTCGAGCCAGGAACACGAGCGCGGGTCCAGGCGGAATACCTGGGGTCGAGACGCGCGTGGGGTGACGGCGGATGATGATTGGGGGGGGGGGGAACATCGTTAGGCTTTGCTTTGCCCTCCCCGGCAATAAGAGAGACTCGTTGACCTGCAGTAGGGGTCGATCGGGGAGCCGCGGTGGCGAGGTGTTAATTACCTCGCCTGGTATACAGGAGGTCGTGGTTTCGATCCCGACTCTGAAAATGCCTGTATATTTGGAGTTTGCGTGTTCTCCCCGTGGTCGCGTGGATCTTTCTCCATGTGCTCTTGTGTTTCCCTCCAAAGTTAGAACATGCGTTTCGAGTATGTATATACATTTCCACGTGATAAGCCACTTAGTCGAGCTATCAATTGTGACCAGGTCGTTTCGGAAAAAGAGCTACATAGCTCAGTGGGCCTTACCTGGTAAAATAAAAAAAATAGTTTAGTTTCCATTTGGAGTTTGAATATCTTGTTGCCGGAAAGGGTAAATCTTAATACCGGCATAAAGGGTCCCATAGATATCGCTGTTAGCAGATCACACCACGAGTATAGCTGCCATTGGGTTGTTCCGCTTGTGCCCTGTGGTATGGATCTCCAATGTGTTTGATTGGATGAGTATATCTATGTGACAGCTACAAATGACTTCTCACAAGTGATTGACCCTGGAGGGATGATGAAAGGATGTTGACACCAAACCACTGCTGCAGAGGAAACGTAAAAGAGACTTGCTGTCTCACACTAATGCTAAGTCTTTACTTTTATTTGATCAGGCACACTAAGCTATGTAGCTCATTTTCAGAAGCGACCTGGCCACAAATAATAGCTCAACAAAGTGTCGTATCACGTGGAAAACTAAAGCGGCCAAATGCTCTAGTGTCAACAAAACTACAATGCAAACAAATTTGTATTTATCGAGCGTCCATATGTAACCGCATCTCAAGATGCTGTAAAAAAATTATATACATTCTGGGACGCGTACGAAAATACTTTTACTGTTAAGATATTTGTCATACAGTGCTCCTTTCAGTACAGCTGTGATAACCAGGCAGCAGCAGAGGGCAGTACAATGTCGTCCTCCGACATGCAGTCGAATGCTCCCGTGCATTCACCGACCCGAACTGCCCAGCGCGGTGAAGTATGGTTAAATTAAATCCCCGGTACACGCACGGACGTGGAGAGGCCCTCATCCAGCAGTGGAGTGACATAAGGAGGGCTGTGCATGCACGCGTCGACTGGACATTTGTGAAAAAGAGCTTTATGGCTCATCGGGATTCCTCCAGTATAAATAAATGTTCTGATTCGGACGTGCATAGTCTCAACTTGGTCACGCTTGCATGATATCGCTTGGCTGTTTTTAGCAAACGTCACACATTAAAGTGGTTGATCACTTTTATAACGTGACTGTATTTATATACAAGTAGTATATATATATACACTAATTCAATTGCACAAGGTTACAAACAAAAATCACAACAGCTCGTATCGACGTAATGACCAGCATCACCCCAACACCTCCGATTAGCTACGTACGGTGCGAAAGAAGCTCAACATACAGACGAAATGAATAACTCCCAGACACGAGTCGGCAACACGACTAATATAGTGTTCATACAAAGACAAAGAGCCTCCGTGTAGCCTGTAACAGACCGTTGGGGCAAGTGCCGTTAGTGAGCACGGCACACGAGGGGGTGCGTGGCCAGCACCACGCTCGGCCGCCTTTGTCTCCCTTGTCGTGATGTTTACTACACACCGCACCAGGTACGCATTTGAGGCTGAGTCGACCTTAGGGGGAGGCCCAGGACCGGTTCAGATAATCGTCACCGGTGTTGGCCGCGAGCGGGAATCAAACCCAGGTCGCCAGGTTCGTAGCGCAGCGTGCTAACCGCTACACTACTGCTCCCCTGTGTATACATCACAGCTGTCAACCCATATACTATTTACTCCGTATTCTTGTACAGGGAAATTGAATTTTCAGGTCCATACGGCGTACAGCCGTTTCAATATGAGCAAAAACATGTTTTTGCCTTTGTGCTTCTCCCTTGTGATAGGACTTTGTCGGATGAATGTTGAGATTTTCCAGGGCACGGGGTGACCACTAAGGTCTGAATTTGTCTGTAATAAGGTAGGGCACCGATAAGGGGTTGACAGGAATGATACATACACAAGGGTACATACTAATGACCATCACCTGATTTGTGGCGGACGTTCCTTGGGGGTCGAATCGATGTTGCCCTCCAAGGACGAACACGAACCCCCCCAGTGGCACGGCGCAGTGGTTGTAGACCGGCACCGGCGTGTCGCACAGTTTGCGCCACGTGGCCCTGCGGTGTCCACCCCGCAAGCCACCAGCTCCTCCATCACCACCACCACCTCCACCATCATCATCATCACCACCACCATCATCATCATCATCCACGATCTCCTCCTGCACCTGCGAAGCCCAAACCTCGCCGCGCACCCCATTGTCTCCGGAGCGACCTCCAAGCGCCAGAACGTTGAGGCGGGCCCCCCGGGGACTGGTCGAGGGGCTCTGCAGCAGCGGCTGCGCGTAGGGGCGCCCGTGGTAGCGCAGGGCCTCCTGCAGGTGGTCGCGGCAGCGCGTGTCGCGGCTCATCGCCGGCACTCGCGAGAGGAGTTCCCTCAATTCGCTTGGAGCCACCAGGGCGAAGCGCACACAGTCCAGGAGGTCGGCAGCGTGGATCTCCATCCTGGATGGGGACGATGACGACGAAGTTGAGGAGGAGGAGGAGGATGATGATGTTGAGGAGGAGGAGGACGATGAAGAAGATGATGTTGAGGACACGTCAGGCTCCGCGCGGAGCCACGCGGTGGCCATGTGGAGGAGCTCCGTCTCGGAGGCGCCACAGCCCCCGCCGTGCGCGAGCAGCTCCTGCATGGTGCGCACGTCCACCCGGAGCAGGTGAGCGCGACTCCGGCCGCACTCCATCGCGCCGCGAAGGTTCCGCGCCACCAGTCGCACCGCCCGGCGCCTCAGCTCCGAGGCGCCGAACCTGTGCGCCAGGGCCAGCACGGCCGCGCAGTTGTCCCGGCGCAGGTTCGCGCCCAGGTACTGGAGGCACAGCTTGACGGCGTCGCGCATGAGCAGCGAGTTGGAGGCGGTGAGGATGTCCTCCATCTCGTCCATGCTCAGACGCATGCGGCCAGAGTAGATGAAGTCCAGGACTCGCTCCAGACCCACCGGAGTCACACCGTGGATTTCCATGATGGTGATCTGCTCGTTGTTTATCGGTGATGGTGGTGGTTGTAGAAGTGTTGTTGTTGGTGATGGTGATGATGGGAGTGTAGTTGATGCTTGTGATGGTGCTGATGTTTGTGACGATGAACTATGAATAGATGAATTGATAGATGACGAATATGATGATGATGATGAAGACTTCCTAATATAAGACGAGACATCATTGAGTGTTGGTGGCCGAGAGAAGAAGGACCTGCAGTAGGAGCTCGCTGAAGCCAGCACGAGTCTGTGCGCCGGGAAGGAGACTCCTCTGGCCATGAGCAGGGCATCGCACATCCATCCCTGCCCTCTGCATGACCTCAGTCCTTCTAGCAGCCGCTCCGGGTACGAAGGGGACTCCAGGACGAGGTGTGCGGTCGATTCACTTGTGGCGCCCATAACTGCTGTGGTATGTGTGCTTGTCTACTGGTGCATATGTGCCTGCTATATTGATATGCCTGCAAAATTGTTGTTTGCTATGTTGATATGCCTTCTACATTGATATGCCTGTTAAATTGATGTCTATGTTGATATGCCTACTAAATTGGTATGCCTGCTATATTTATGTGCCTGTTATATTTAAGTGCCTGCTATATTTATGTGCCTGCTATATTGATATGCCAACTATATTAATATGCATGCTCCGTTGACATGCAGTGGTGGTCGTGACCGAAGAGAAAAAATAGATTAGGAGCCCCCAGCCTTTAATTGATAGATTCCACGTGAGATGACGGAAGATGTGTAAAGGGATATGGATGTAGCGACATGAGAGATGTAATTAAAAGGTGTAAAGAAGAGAGATGTAAATTTGCCTTATGTTGATTATGATTTAAGATTAAATGTGATGTACCCCGAGTTTTCACAAATCCGTGACTGCTTGGTTGGCGTATGCCGAACACCGCCTGTGTCGGCTGAAGCGGTGGTGCGGTAGACTCGGACCTGAGTTCGACTCCCGGTCACGGTAGACACCAGTGGCGACCGATATCTCAACCGGTCCCGCTCCCCTCCGGCACCCTCTTTACGCACCTTCACTGACCAGCGTGGTGAAGTATGGTCTAGCAACTCCCACGATCGACACTGCGTGGGGGAGGTCTTCATCCAGCCGTGAATTAACAGCTGTAAAACAAAATTAAAACCCATTCTATGTACAGCTTGGCCATCTGCGCACTCAGTTTTAAGAGCTAAAGCCTAGGTTTAATCAGGGTTCGGCAACCAAAATAAGGACATTTTTGGGGGGAATTCGGTAAAAAATAACAACCTCGGCATGTCAAAATCCGCAATGCATGTGAATACGAGACGGTTTGGTCCTTAATAATAATTATTAACGGCACGAAGCAGTCCTTAAATATCCGCACGTTGCCGACCCACTGGACTGTTAATGAACATTGGATGAGAGGTACCTAAGTTAACCCGAGCACTGCGCAGCTGATAGATATGCAGAGTAGACGCGGTTTGTTAGAAAAGCAGGACGTGTTTATGTAAGCATTTTGAAAGCTCACAAGAGCACTTACCTGATGCTGCTCAGTGGTCTTCAGTCGTAGAACTACGCTCTTCACTGTACGCTCTCCAATTCACAATAACGTCCACTTAATTGCGAAAAGATTTTAAACGTCAAAGACCTGCCTATATAACAACTAGCAGTTGGACGGCAATGAATTATGGCCAAACAACCACCACGACGATCAACGTGGGGTGGGAGGCCTTCATACAGAATTCGATTAACAAAGGGCTGACAATGTAACACTTAGCCACCTCTTGCGATGCGACTTGAGATACCACATAGGTTTGCAATGTTCAACCAAGACTGACTTGTTTTCAGTCAGACGGGTGTACAATACACAGACGCGAGCTTTTGGTCTACAAATAAATCAGCAAATGTATGACCGTGGCCCAAGATATAAAAAATGAGCTGTGGATAGCACGCAAGTTGCATATATATAACGTGCGTAGGTCACCTATTACCCCATCTCCACGCAGAGGAGAGGGGTAAAGCCCCCTGGCTGTATAACGCATGACCCGCACTTGTCTCAACACGCTTCTGGTTGTTGACTTTACACTCCCGGGTGGCGGAAACAACACAGCGGACAACACAGAGACCACGGCCCCATGCACCTCCCACTGACAACTTCCATCCCATGCCGTGACCCACCCCCATCAATGCAAGCCGTGCACATACACGGGGTTATGCATGTCCTACACGACCGCATACTTTATGCACTCACCTCTTTGTCTGGATTAAGTAGAATAGGGGGGGGGGGAAATACATCCGAAGTATTGCTAAAGCAGTCGTTCAGAACAAAGGCCACGTTTGCTCATACGTACACGTGGGGCAAATGAGTCTCGGGTTACTCATGCAGCGTGTTTTAATTTCAATAGGTGTCAACCAATACACTATTTGTTATTTACGTACAGACGATCGTGACCGACCGATGCAAATTCTGTTAAATAGATAGGAAGGTGAAATTTGGCACAAATTCTAGTCGAGCATGCTGTAAAAAAACACATTGTGCGGCCCTTTTGTCAATCCACTGCTGGATGAAGACCTCCCCACGTCATGCCGGTAAGAGGGATTATATTCAGTAAATATCAGTGAGCACTGATGCACGCCGTGGGCCTGGAATTAAACTCGCGTATCTCGGTTCACAGCGCAACGCACTGACCACTGCGCCACCATTCCAACCCAAGTGTATGCTTGTATCTAAACCAGCAATTATAACTTTGTGTTGCCAAATATTACAAGCCAAAGTTTGATTGGTTTTGGACAATCTGCCTAAAGTTCTAAATAGGTTAAAGTGTCACATTGAACAATTACAAAACAGACAATACATATTAGTGAAACAAATAATATAACCTCCATGGAGTTGAGGCAAAAGTCGATAGAAATCTGTTGAAGCCACTACGGGTTAGAAGTACCATGTATCTACATGCACTGTCTCATATCCTTGTGTGTGGATGTTCTGCACACCTCCAGTTTATTTGCAGAGAAAATAATCCAAAATAATCGCCACAAATAATTCTTACTCAATTACTAAAATTGGTAAATATATTATGGGGTGGAGCAGTAGCAGAGTGTTTAACCACTTGGTTATGAACCCGGCGAACCGAATTCAGTTCCCAGGTCACGTTACTGTATATGCTATGCTGTTCTATCCATGTGTATAAATATTACATTCAGAAATCATATATGTAACAAGGATGAGCAGAACAAAGCACAGAAGTCTTTATTCGTGAACGTACCGGCAGTGCTCACACCTGTAAACACGCACCGCTCCACCACCTCTTCACCTGTGTACATTTTTATCAATGGATGCCCACTGTGAATTCAGTTGGACACGAGTTGCAGGAAACCTGACACCCGCAGGATCCGGCAATTTCATGAAGTCTTACGTTAGTTTAATTGACGGGTAAATTCATTATACAAGTGCAGTCGATCCCAACAAATTTAAATCTAAGGTACAGAGAAAGCAATTACATGAACATCACACCCAGCCACATTAGAATGAATTGCACACCTTTATATACAGCATTAATTTACAGATCACTTTTAGCACTGCACCCGTGAGCTTAGAAAAATAAAATCAACATATAATGCTCTCTTTGAACTCATCTTATTCTTTTAAACCATCTGGCACAGACTCAATTATATAATTTGACATTTCGCAGCTGTGGGATTATAAATTGTAATCAAGTATAGTATATACAGTGAATGTTACTTGTGAAACACGATGTGCTGTCAGTTCAGGACATCAAAGCCATATTGAATGACATCCTCCCGAGCTCAGAATGATGCACCCACTTAACATTTCTGCATAATTGCTCTCCCTTCCCCTGCACAGAAGTTCGCCAATGTTAATTTGCTCATTAGTTTATGTCGCTAAAAGTGTTAATCAATCCATGATATTGACATAGATCGATTGTAGAGAGGCAAGGGGTTATTTTTAGGTTTGTATTGGGCTGGGGTCGGCAACCTGCGGCTTCGGTGCAGCATGCGGCCTATTTAAGGACTGCCTCGTGAACGTCATTTATTAAGGAGATCACCGTCTCGTATACACAAGCATTGCCGGCTCTTGAGATTGAGGAAATTTGACCGAATTTGAAAAAAAATATCTCCTCTTGTTGTTTTGGTTGCGGACTCCTGGTATAGGGTTAAATTTTTGTTTTATGATTGTTCAGGACTGATCGCTGTAAACCATTGCCTTGGCACATCATGCAAGGCGTATGCATTACGCTTCCTACAGGTTGTTATTATTAGTTGCACGCAATTAAGGGTTTAAAACCTCGCTGGCTATAATCAAGCGTGGCTCAAATGTACGCAGAAAAATCATTGCGTCTGAAATTTAACGCTCGTTGCTCGGCTGCAAAGCTGCCAGTTCCAAATTCGGCACGACATCGCACCTCATCACCACCAATGAAAAGCTGTCACAGGGCTACCACAATAAAAGACGACTTGTGACAACAAAAGACATTTCCGTTACATTTCACGCGGTGCTGCGATATCCGTCGCTGCAGGTATTACGTTGGCTGAAATGACATTTGGGAACACGCAAACAGAATGGCAATCGAGTCGAGATATCGATCTCAATTGCCTCCACTGTAGCATGCACAAAAATGACCGAAAAATATTTACACCCAAACACATAGTGTTCATATATGCCTGGTCGACTTTCGGAAAGTTTGCCATTGCACAATGCCTCGGGTTCTCTTGTGCTACCAACGCGTTCAGTTTGAACTCGGCAAAGTGCAACAGGCATGGGCCACGGTGGTGTCTCTTTGCAGGCTGCATGAACGATTGCATCTAGCAATTATGGGCACTGTAATACAAGCCCAATGGGAAGTGATCAAAACTTTGGCTGAAAGGTGCTGGGCAGGCTTGGGGAAGGAAAAAAACCCAAGCTGGATTATTCTTGCCCGATGGATTTTCTTATAATTTACAGAAAGTGTTGGATTTGAAACTCAAGTGCCCATGTGCAATCACAGAACATAGGCGTTTTTTTGCCCGTAAAAAATTAAGTAAACAGAAATAAACTGGCCAACAACCACTCCCAAAATTAACTAGACACCTTGACATTGACATTAAAAGGATTTCAGTAAGAATTTTGATTCATTGTCAAGTAATAAAAAATATTCATGTACCGTAAGCTAACATCATGACTCCATTCCACCCACATGGAGTAACCGGTTCAGGGTTAATAGAGCACTCCGGCATGCTAATGTGCCCATATGTATACATCTATGAAAGTGGTGAGTGAGGAATCACTATTTGAAGACATTTGGGTATTGTATGCATGGCCCTTTGTCAATCCACTGCTGGATGATGGTCCTCCTGTGTTGTCAAGAGTGGTGGGGGCTGTTTGACCATACCTCACCACCATTATCAGTGTGGTTTGAAGGCAGGGAGCATATCTGTGGGAGCATAGAAGTACAGCGCAACAATCGATTTTGCTGTGCTACTCACTGTGTAGCCTGGCAGACCTACAAAAACTTGTTTGTGCATGGTGTTCACCTATCCAAATAATATCCGGGCTCAAACCTGCCTAGCTTCTAAGATCGGATGAGAATGGGCACATTTCAGGTGAGAAAGTTCACATGGCAAGGGGTGAAGCGGTAACACAGTGGTTTACGCATTACTGTATAAACCTGACGATTTGAGTCAGATTCCTGGCCACAGTAGCGAGTGAGATCTTAACAGGTCCTGGGCACCCTCCCCATCACTTGACTAACCAGCACGGCGAGGTTATGTTAAACAACGCCCATGATCAACATGCCTCGAGCAGCCCTTTGTGCAGTAGTACATTTACAAATTGCTGTAAATTATGGACCATCTAAAAACCAACATGGTTTAATATTCACAAACTGGAAGAAATAAGTGCCTTACAGGTACGATGTACACTCATAAATCAAGCGAAACTGGTAATGGGCAATGAATAACATTCTCACCATAAATTAAAGAAGCTAACACTTTCAGTAGTGTTATTACATTCACAGTACTGGAGATGATTAGCATTAATTTACATTTACCCCTCTGTGATAAAATAGAAATGACACCAAAGCTGTGGTTATTTCCCTCTTCTAATGGAGCATATTATTTGTATTATTACATTTAGGAATTAACACTCTTTAGGCAAAACATCAGATTCTACTGTTAAATCAGCACCCCAGCTTAAATGGATAAAATTGGAGCAATATTGATATGGCTACACAATACATTCCCAATCGAGAATCCTCAATGCACCACAGCATTCACCAGTGCTCCATCCACTCAATACAAGACATGGGGATTCTGAAAACCCGATGACAACGACACGTGAGACATTGGTGCCACAAATGGGCACCACAGAGTGGATGGGTGGGTGGTTGGGTGGTTCGGGTGTGCGGGCAGATTGGTGGCCCCACCGGCCCACAGGAGGAGCCGTCCCACTGCTCCGCCTCAGCCCTCCGTGCGGATAGGGAAGGCGTGCGCCTCGGTGTTGAACACATGCTTGTCGGGCGAGAGTAGCGCTTTGTTGTCGGAGAAGAGCAGGAAGAAGTACTTGAGCGTCTCGCCAAGGAAGAAGCTCTCCATCTTGTCGCGGGGCTCCGGGTTGGAGGGGCTCCGCACGTTGTTTATGGAGGAGTAGCCGCCCGTGGCGACCTGTAAACATTAAACACGCCGGCGCCCCTCGTTTATACATTTGGGGCGTAAGCAAGCACTTGGTAAATGCGAGGCATCTTAAACAAAATAACCCTCCACTGATTTGGCTGGGTGGCTCAGGATTCAAGAGCAGTGAGCCGGCACTGCTGAGATCCTGACTGCAATTTGGGTTTAACCTACTCGTGAATCAACTGGGCTCTCAAGTGTAGCACGTTGATGGTCACAGTTCAGTCAACGATGACCGCACATTTAATTGTTTTTTTTCACTTCGTTTGCCAAAATCCCAGTTCTGAGAATCAGAGAAAATAATTGGTTTGACTGCTATATAACAAACATCTCTCCATTTAAAAGTGAGCACCCTCGTGTGAATATCTAAAAAAAGTAGTTTTGTGATCTGGATTCCATTCTCCAACACAGGGTGATGCACTGGTCTATCAGAGTTCTAAATGAATGCTTAGTCTCAGGACGTGATGCTGATGGCATCAATTAAATACATTTTAAACCAAAAAATATACGTTTAAAAAATTGTCCTCCAATTAGCAACATGGGAAATATTCTTCAGATGTGAAAATGGTTAAGCAGAGTATTCATCCTTCGGAATTTTTTTTATACTCATTAGGATTAATGTCCATGTTCATAATAGAAAAATCCCAGCTCAGCACATCGTTACTAGTCCCAGCCTTTACAAAGATACAAACTATACACATTGCTACAATTGCATTTGTATTCAATGCATTAAGCAACTGTGGCCTACATACACAGTTATGCCAATGTACATATTTATTAATGAATGGAGCATGGCTTATTTACACCAGCTTTTATTGAATGAAACAGTTTACATACACCAATGTACACTGTATCAACAGTGGTTAATTGACAGCCCCACAATGACTATCCAACTCGCCCAGCCTCCTTGGAAACACCATCACGTGTAATTAGTGTTTGGAAGTGAGAGAAGTCTGGCGTAACAGTGACGACAATCTGCGTGGCAACATGACAACACAATTAGAGCTTGCCGTGCTGCGGCACTCTTGCACTGCCACAGTGACTCAGAAGCAAACAGGCATGGTGACTGGTACGAGAGGAAACGTGCATTTAGAGAATTTGGCAAGCCACTTCAATGAGCTATCATTTGGGCCACATCACTTCTGAAAAAAAAGCTATATCGCTCAGTGAGCCGTAACTGCCAAAATGAAAAGTTTAGTTTGTAGTTTAGATTGAGGTAAGCAAGTAATGGGAGACTTTTACGAGGGGCGGTAAGTGACCGGTCTTTGACGTTATCTGCTCTGGCAAGTTCTCCAAACGTGGCGAAACAAGCTGGGTTCGCTGTCACCCCACTCCCACACTCCCACACCACCTCTTCTCCCCACCAACCCCCGACCCCCAACTTAACCTTTTCCACATTTGTGTGCGCTGGGGCCCGTCGAGTACAGCGGCTGTTGACTCTCCGCGCTCTCGGGCCTGCCCCAGCCTGTCCCCTCGCCCCCCACAAAACATGTGCACTCGCGTCTGCGTGGCAGACAAACCTTGATGTGCGCCGCAATAGCGGGTTAAAGAGCAACTTCTCATCCACTCCGTGCGGCTCTTAGCTCCTAAACATTAATATGATTTCACTGTTGTCTTGCAAGAGCCACCGTTAAAAAACAATTCAAACAATCGTATCTCTACCCGCAGTGCTGCCTGCCTGCTGGCAGGTTGTTTTTAACCTCACAGCACTCATAAAATGATGTTACCGTGTGAGTCAAGCAACCAACTAACCTCTTGCAACATCCTTTGTTATGTATAAGTGTGGTGCTGTAAGTCAATGTTCTATCATGCTATGCTGGCATGGTTTGCATTGCTTACTTAATGTGTAAATCTGAATAAATTTTATTTAATGATTTCTGAGCTGGTATTCTTGGGTCTTTCGGTAAAGTCACGTAGATAGGTTCAAAGAAAATAAAAAATATATATATATATTTGAACCTAACTACGTGACTTTACCGAAAGATCCAAGAATATAAATTAGTGCAGTCACGAAAGCTTTAAGTTCTGAGCTGGTATAAACATTAGTGAGAGTTGCAATTATTTTTTGGCTTAAGGCAAATAGAATGAATTCTTTATCAACTCCAGTTATCTTGCTGAGTCTCAAAACACATTTTAGGCGAGTCCTGCGTTGGGATGCTTGGCCAACTATAATCAAGGTTTCAGTGAGAGGAAAACACAGTGCCTGGAGAAACCCCACATATGATGGGAAAACTCCATAGAGTCGCTTGGCAACCTACTAGTTGCACTGCCTCTTTGGGACCTCAGAAAAAGTGTATCAACAGAGACTGATGACAGTGAGCAATTATTAGTGAACGTGTACTTGAGCACGGACAGGGAGTGATCGCCACAGATGGTTGGGGGAAAGGAGTTCAAGACAATGTGGGCAGCAGCAGAGAATAAGCGACCTCCCACCGAGTGAAGGTTGAACGGAGGCTTCGATAGAAAGTTTCGTTTACTGGAGCAGCGAGTCCGTGGAGGGCAGCAGAGTAAACTAAACTATTTTTTTTATTTTACCAGGTAAGGCCCACTGGGCTATATAGCTCTTTTTCAGAATCAACCTGGCCACAAATGATAGCGCAATAAAATGGCTCATCATGTGCACATTTATACTAGCCAAATACTATAAACGCATGTTTCTGCAAACACCAAATATACAGACGTCAGGGTCGGGATCGAAACCACGACCTCCTGTATACCAAGCAAGGTAGTTAACATCTCACCACCATGGCACCCCTCATGTAAGACGTGAGGATGTTTGTAATGTGCACTCATTGAGGACTGTGTGAATGCTGAGCCATCTGAGTACGTACCCGTGTGTATCTCTGGAAGCTCTGGAAGATCTCCCATCCCCAGTCCTGGTACTTGACTTTGTCGGTGAAGCGATGGAGGTAGAAGAGGCTCTCCACCGTCTCAGGTCTCAGCAGGTTGTGCCTATCAGCAGGCTGTAAGCACACAACATCCACTATGGTGCTTGTACCAGGCTAGGTGCAGTTTGATGCCAAATTAAGTGGCAAAGGCTCACTGGCAGGAAGGAGGTCAAGATACACAACTTGTGTATGTTCTCATTGTGTGTGTGCACTCCCATGCATATAACCTGAACAAACTGTTAGGCCATGCTGTGAGCATGCACCTATTTATGCCTGCGTGGCACACAAGGGAGAGCTGTGTATAGCACTACGCTAGACCGGCATTGTCTTCAGGGTAATAATAATGGTTACACACTGCACCACATACTAATTTAAAGCCGAGTTAACCTAGAGGAGGCCAAGGACTGGTTAAGATATCACTGCGATGACGTTAGCCATGGTTGGGAACTGAACTTTGTTCTCCAAGTTCGTAGCACAGTGCGCTATCCACTACGCCCCCTCCGCTCTTCATCCATACACGTGCTCACATGCACACACACGACAGCATGCTACGCATAACTCACTCTTGACAGGAAGGGTTATAAGGTGCACATCTGTGTTTATTTTAAGCTTTAAGAGCTTGGATTGTATACTCATGTCCTGCAGGGAATGTGCCTCGATCGGCCAGTTACAGCATGCGTTGAGAGAATTTTCCCTCCTCTTGCTGTGAACATTATCTGTGAGTGCTGAGCATTATGAAGTGTTTGTCAGAGTCCATTAGTTATGGTTTTGAATGAGTGCTATGTGCCTTGATAGCATACGATGGTGCTGTGACTTTGCCGACAAGATCAGCGCAGCACTCCCACTCACATGAGACTCTGCAGATCATGGAATTTATCTCGATTCATTTCTTTTAGGTTTAAGTTTATTTTTGGCAGAATGGTGATAACTTCACACAGTTTCACTAATTTCTCTTTTACCTGATTAAAAGTATAATATGCCTCTAAAAAAATGTACACTTGAGTCTTATGAATATCCTCTCAATGCAGTTGTACTTTCTTTATCGGAAGGAGCAATTCCAACGCAATAGATGACTGATGGGATGGCGTGCAAGCTTATGCATGTGTGTGTATTCAGGAGCAAACATGCATGTATGAAACTGAATGTGTGGGGTGTGTGTGAATGTGCATTAGCATGTATGAGTAGGTAAATAGGCTTATGCACGCGTATAAGTGTGTGCTCATGCCTGTGTGCGTAAGTATCTTGCATGAGCGTGCGTGTCTATGCGTAGATGTGTGTGAATCTCCCAGGAGCATTTATATTCCTGTGTGGCTATGACTGCGTCTATGAAAACAAGTGTGAAAATGTGCATGTATGTGTGGAGACAAAGGCGTGGTGTTGGGCACCCACCCCCTCGTTTGCCGTGCCGGCCTTCATAGGCGCTACTCGCTAACAGCACTTGCATCAACAGTCTGTTAAGGCTATACGGGGATCTTTGTCTTTGTACGTGTGCATATGTGTGAGCACGTTCTCAACCGACCTTGACTTCGATGTCGTGCGTACTGCCCGCCTGCATGTTGAAGTGGCTGATCTCGGGGCTGAGGCCAGTCTCCATCTGCTGGTACATCTGGTAGCAGGTCTCTAGCAGCTTTTCAGCCAGCTCCATGTGCGAGGGGTCCAGCCCGTGCCGAGCTCCGAGCGCTAGCGTCCCCGGCAGAAAGCAAACCAGGTGGTCCTACGAAAGTGGGAGTAGAGAGGGAGGGGGGGAGGCTCAAACAAATTCAAAGGTGCCTCGTTCAGCCTTATATACTCTGTTTGGCCCAGTGATGTTGTACATGTACAGCTTTTTTTTCCACCATTAAGCAAACCTGCTTTAACACTCAACCTTCAACCCTGTTTAGCCTCTGTGATCTAACGAGATCAGCGCGGCAGGCTACGTACGGTGTGAAAGAAGTTCAACGTACATACATATATCAGGAGCATTGGGAGATATTTTGGTGGAGGCGAACATATGCTCGTTTTTAAAACACAGCAGCCTTAGCGGTGGGCAATCAAGGCAGGATAGTGAAGATAAGGGAGGCGCGATGCACTCACCATCTTCGGCTTGAGAGCCCCACTGATGAGCTCCCCAATGAACGTCAGGTGGTTGGGCTGCGACGTCCCCAGCAGGTGCTTCTGCATCCCACTCATAGCCTCCAAGTAGCTGTTAAGTAAGCTGCACCAAGAAAACAGCGGTGCACGCGCAGAAACTCATCAAGACCCAGTGAACGAAGCAATGCTAAATCGTTGAGTTTCAGAATTTCCCCCACGGGAGCCGTGTTCAGGCTGCCAAAAAAAGAAAAAAATGTCCGCTCCAAATTCCGGGAAAGATAAATGTTGTCCGTTTTTTTTTAATGATTGTGGGCTAATAGATGTTTACAGCCCAATTTACATTGGATTTGCATTAACCGTGTGCCTTGAGTGATGGCCCCGCGGCAAACACCCAGTACGCGCGCGCACACACTCACTGCTTCTCGCGCTTGCCTCCCTGCAGCCACTGCTTGAGCAGGTATTCATAGTAGCTGTCGGCGCGCGCCCCCATCGTGTAGACGCCGGAGCGGGAGAACTGCCCCGAGTGCGTGTTGATGAACATGGGCACGAGGCCGTCCAGCTTCCCGCTCAGCCCCAGCACGTGATGCGTCACCGCGTCTGCCGCGCCCTGCATGCCGCCGCATTCCGACAGAGGGCGCTGTCGTTAAGCAGGCTACTTACCGGTTACCTTTATCCTATTTTTTCCTGTGACCAAACCGATAAAAAATGTGCCCGATCTCGTCAAACCTCGGAAGATAGCCAGGGGTTGAGCCCGCACATTGCTTAGATAGGCGACCACCGTACACAACAGGTGTTAAAGGCTGCTGCGGCGCTATGTTCCCAGCAGGGAACAGTGCAGCAAATGCCATTGTTGAGTTATACTATGCTACAATGTTTACGCTCTACACCTTCACCAACCCACACTGACCAGCATGAAATATCATGGTCAAAAAAACAACCTGTGACCCACGAGGTGTGGGGAAGTGCTCATCCAGCAGGGGATTGACAATACACATGAACATTACCATTCATGGCACTTCATATTAACTTGAAAATAACATATTTCTTGGTTCTTTCGGTAAAGTCACAAAGATAGAAAATACAATTATTATAAATGATTAATTTTATTTATATTTTCTATCTACGTGACTTTACCGAAAGAACCAAGAACATGAATTCCTGCAGTCACGAAAGTTTTAAGTGGAAAATAACAGCCTATTATTAACTACTGCTGCTGACAGTGCTCTGTAACGTGAGCGCCAAGTGCAGTCAAAGAGAGGCCCAGCAACGGTCAAACCTCTCGCACCTCCGAATGGCACGGTTGGCTACGTACGGCGCGAAAGAAGTTAAACGTACGTACGTACGAAAACACAAACCTTGTACTTGGGGTCGCCAGTGAGGTGGCTGAGCTCGCGGAACTCCAGCTGGATACTCGTCACCTCAGCCACGGAGCTGTCGGACGTCCACTTGGGGGGGTGCGCTTGACCCGTCCCCAGGTTCACATCCGAGTAGGGCACCTTGGAGGGCGTGTTGAATGCCGGCATTAGCCGGTTTCCCAGGTCGACCTGCCAAATGGCATGAGGACGATAGGTTTTGAGCAAATAATTCTGATCAGCTTCTATCCCCAATTATGCTATCGGTGTCATGCGACGAGACGAAGAATCCTTTCGGGTCTCTCACAGGGCACAGCGACCCCCTTGTGTTCGAGAGAGGCCCACGGAAGTGGATTCACAGAGCTACCTCTGAGCACGCGACATATGGGACCACAAGGGGCAGCAATTTCCAGCTAGCCCTGCCACTGAAAGTAATGTTCGTTGCATGTTAGGAGGATGATGCACTGACTGCACATTGTTTATTTGGACGTTTATTTTTTGTGTACTTGCTGTATCAGCAGTGGGCGATGGAGCGTTGCATGTGGTCCTACAATAACGTCCATTCTTGTCTTAAAATAAATGTACTTCCCTCTCCCAATAATGTGAAAAGGGTGCTTTTGCAATCCTGTTACGATGCAAAAAAAATGTCCACTCAGAATTCTGACCAAAAGTAGTGCACCACCTCATATCAGAGAACATCCCTGGAAGATGTCACAGAACTACATCTAGTACTTTAACCACACTCAGAGTACATGTTTTAGATTTTTCGCAAAGTTTGTTTGTTGATTGTTAATCAAATTCATTTTTTTTTAATTCTCCGAGATTAAATATATTTAAGTAAAAAAAGACTCGATGGTATTTTTTACCACCTCTAACATATTATTTCTTGTCTGTTGTCTCAAGTGTACAACTTTCTTGCTCTATTATTATTGAAAATGTTAAATCAGTAAATAATTTGTATCTAATTTGCATACACCATAGCTGATGCATTCTCAAGTAATGGAATTATGCATATATTGTGAGCAAAAGAATACAAGTTGGTGGCTAAATTGATGCGTCACACAAGTCCCACCATCTTCAGATGCAGCTGCATTAAGATGCTACGCAAGTCCTGCTTGTGTTGTATATCGTCACAGGCCTAGTACCACAGCCCTGCGAGCCAACCAGCCACCTCGGACTCACAGCCTTGTCGAGGAAGAGTTTATCTCCCGTGAGGTGGAAGGTGCCCAGCAGTCCCCCCATGATGCGGATCGTCGACTCAAACAGGTTCACGTCCACGTTCTTGGCGAAGTTCAGCTTGGTGCTCACCCACTGCCGCGCCTCCTCAAACTCTGCCGCACACAATATCGCGTCGAGCGTCAACCCAGCGCCTGGATGGTGCAAATGTACACTGCATGTCATAGGAATGCATCAAAGACAAAGATCCCCCTGTAAAGCCATTTGACAAGACTGTTGGGGCAAGTGTTGTTAGCGAGCAACTATAAAGGCCAACGGGGCACCCGAGGGGGTGGGGTGGCCAGCACCACGTCCAGCCACTTTGTCTCCCTAGTGGCCATGTGTACACACCGCAGTAGGCACTCATTTGAGGCCGAGTCGACCTCGGGGAGGCCCAAGACCGGTTCAGATAACCGTCACTGGTGTTGGTGGCCTTGAGCGGGAATCGAACTCGTGCCACCAGGTTCATAGCACAGCGTGCTAACCGCTGCATTACCGCTGACCATAGAAATGCATCACCAACACGTTCACAAACACATGCAACACGTCCGTGCGATATAAACTATAAGGGCAGTGCTTGACACTCGTGGTGGAGGTGAAGTAAGCAGGACGAGTGGCAAGCGGCCGTCCTGCATGCGTGTCTCCGCCCACCGTTCTCGAGGCCCATGATCCACATGGTGTCGAGCGCGTCCAGGATGGTAAGGCCCAGGCCGAACCACTCGCTGAAGGAGTGCGACAAGGGCTTCAGCTCGTCGTGGCCCCATGCAAACTCACGGTAGCCTCGCCACGCGTGCAGGAACGCCTCCACCACCGCCTGCTGGCGCGGGTTCAGGCTGTGGACTGAACACAACCAAAGATTCACGAGACTGGCAAAGGCCTTGGCCACGTTAAAGTGTATGCGTGTCGTTTTACTTGTTTACTGCCAAATGCTGGGCATGACGTCGTTTAAACCTGTGTGTAAAGTACAGCCCGTGGGTTGGTAACAGTCCTACAGCTCGTGGGTTGGTAACAGTCCACGGTATGGTTAAGACCGCCCTGTGAGCTTCAGGGGTATGTGACCGTTTATCTAACAACTCTGCGGGTTTTTTGTTGCTAACAGGCTAGCACGCCCACTTTTGTTCACAAACGTGACATATCCACAGATGCGTCATCACGTTCATAAATAGTCTTGTCTGCCAATGAGACATTTGTAAACGCGGCATCAAATTCGTGAAGTTTCCAAGTGATTCTCTCCACCTGTGCAGAGCTAGGAGGTTCCCTAATTTGGTACGAGCTCAAAAAAACTTGCACACGCCTAGCCTAAACAATATTGGCTAAATGATCAATCGATTCAAATAATTCTTATGCTCATGATACAAGCATCGAATTGTGCATGTAAGAATCAAATGCTGTTTTGTAATTTGTTTGTGCGAAACCGTGCAGCCACCATACTACACACGACTGAAGTGCAATAAAGCATCGAATCATGAATAAAATCGTGACCCCAAATTGAGACAACTCATAAAATCTTGGAGGGGAGCAACCGCTACTTCTCTACTGCACAATGAATCCGTCCGTACACGTGCAATTTGTCTTGTTCTGCGAAAAGCCAATTCGTGGGTTTAAAAAAGTGGGACAGAGTATTGGTGCCACTATATCTTAATTTCTTTCTGCAACTGAGGCTTTTCATTCAAAAGAAAAATTCAGCACAGTCAAAAGTTGAATAGAGTACCACTCGCTGTCACGCTTACCCTTATTAGGTTCCTGATTGGCGACTGCACCATGCAAATTGGATTCATCCTTCCCGTCAGCGACGATCAATTTTGAAGAATTCACTCCCAAACCATGATCCCTGCAAGGGCAATGCAAGGAAAGTTCTAAACAGTAAGCCGATACAGTACTTTGGCTCGCAGCGTCTGTAGTGTGGGCATGAAGTTGAGCTCAACAATTAGACTCTAGCGACCAATATTCAACTTTCACTTTCAATTATTTGGATGTCAATGTAAAAGTGAATTATATAATACATTTCAAATCATAATATAATTTAACCAAGAAAACCACACGAGCTATACCATTTATTAAGAGGGTCCACTCTTGGGAGATTTAAAGCATTTATAGGAGGGGATATCAATTAAATGGGATCAGGAACCCATTTGCAGTACTGCTATCTCCTGGCCAACTCTCAGGCCAATGAGTGTAGGAGTTTCAGAAATCTACATGATCCACCAACCCAATATTGCCAAATCACTGCATTACAGGCATGGGTCACCACTTAGGAGGTCCATACACAAATTGTTTAAAAGCAAATAACTGATATGAAAATAAATGTTCACTTAATTTATGTAAAAAAATGTAAAAATTATTCTTTCAATTCATATTTTGAAATTTAGGGGCCACGTGGGATCTTCTCTGGAACGTTAAAAGACATTAAAGATCTTAAGGAAAGTGAATGGACTTGGGCATAAAAAATCACGACAATAGACGAGGGCTGATCGCTGAGACCAGTGACGCAATGGGAGCCAAAGTAGAGGATGGGCCCAAAAGCTACGACCACCTCAGAGATGGAGCAATGAGATCAGCTGATGTACAGGAGCAAGATTGATTGTGGCATCGCAGGACTGTGAGGGATAGCATCAGCGTGGGGAGGCCTTCAGCAAGCAGGCGACAGACCGTGCCTCATTGTGATGATGAATGTGCACAATGTGGGATAGCATTTTCACTAGATTGGAACAAAACAGTTATTGTTGGTGTTGGCAGGTGGTGTTAATGACAAGCAATAGCACTAGACCTGGCTTCCAAGGGCTTGGCAACCTGGCCCTGCTTTAGAACAGGTGGGCCCCTCCGCAAAGGCTTCTTGGGTTTCTGCTCAAATGGGCGCGCATACAAACACACACACAAGTTTGCCACCGTAAAGTCAACGTGCACTTTGCAAAACTAATACCCGTGCACCCCAAAGCGCTGAAATAGCACTGTTATGATTAGAGAGACAGAGGCTGCCTTGAAGGCCATATAAAAACAGCATACCTTCAAAACTTGGCACAGCAATTGTTAATTTTGCTTAGGATTACCTTGGACCACCATATCAAGTGTGAGCATTCACTCTCCTTATGTAAGCATTGGATTCAGGCTACCAGCACAAAAAGCAACACTTGAACATTTTAGAGACAGCCTTATCATAAGTTAAACAACTTGCTGATGACTTAATGACAAGTGCTCACTGTGCTCTTTATGAACATGAGTTACTGTGATATATGTATGGCCTCTTGCCAATCCATTTCTGGATGAGTCCTAATCATGGGGGTTATTTTAATGTATATCACCATTCTGGTCAGTGCGGGTTGGTGAAGGCAGGGAGCACAGACGTAGAAGCCACCGATGTACAATACAACCCCAAGTAGCCTTACAGCCCCCATGACAACATGTTTGCGCATGGTGATCACCCATCCAAGCACTAATCCAGGATGAATCCTGCAATGCCTTTGAGATCTGAGGCGATCGGGTGCATTCCACATGCTAGGCTGTGTGCTGGTATCAAACTTAATTCTGTCATGCAGATCATAAGGACAAACTTTGCTTAAGAAAGTGACCATTTTACCCGACTGGCAATTCCCACATACTGGTCTGCAAAATGAATGGTGAAATTCTCAGAGACTGCATGATTTACCGGGTTAAGTTCCTGGGCGACCTGGCGTTGCGGATTTCTGTCAGGATCAGCATCGGGAACGTGTGGCTTCAAAGTGCGAACCTCCAAGACATAGCGATGGGATTCTCCTGCCATGCAGACGTGTAACAAGTCAGCAGCATCTCACAGCACGAATAAGAAGCCAGGGCAAACTGTGGCAGTGTGCATTTCTGCTCAGAAGCCACACCGAATGATGTCAAACCAAAGTCACAATCCGTATCGAGTACAGATGAAGGGGTCACTGCCATGAGTGAACATTGCGGATTTTCGTGAACAGAAACGACCGCATGGTTGTGAGCATCCAAGGCATTTATTGTCCAAAATGGTCTCATTGTTAACCGGTTGGGATTGTTTTGCTTTGAAGGGCTCCGCTAGTCTTGGCTCATACACTCAGCGCGCTGGCATGCCTTGTTTGTTTTTAAAGGGTGCAAATCGTGCGGTGCTATTTTTATTTTCAATGCTGGCCCCGGGATTTACGACACGCACAGTGACTTGTTGGGGCCATGGCCAGGATCGCGTTGAACGTTATACCAACTCGTGCACAGCCATGAGTGTACGCGTACTTATTCAAGTTATCATTACCGTGTGTCATAACATTAATGTAAATGGCTACACTATGTCCCAAGTATGTGATGTGGTTTTTGGTGATTGCGTAAAAATATAGCAAATTCAGATATAAATTGAAAGCTGCACACCCGAAGCTCAAAATGTGAACAGCATGCGGGGCAATGCTCAATTATTGTGAGCGGTTTCTAAAATCTGTACAGAATCGTCATGTGCCAGAGAAAAAAAAAGAGCTACACGAGGACACTAAATCCCTGGTTTAGCCAAATATTTTAAGAACTGTAAACTATAATTTCTGAACAGCATGGCACAAACAGGCTAACAAGCGTGGTCAGCTTCCATTTGTAAAGTGGCAATGGATTTATTGTCCATGCAGGCAACTGTACCCTGTAGGTGGTAAGCAGCGAAGGCAGTTCCCAGCACAATGAAGAGGAAGAGAAGGATGCTCCGCTGCAGTCGAGATAAGCGCTTCCACCTCTGTAGCAAGAACATATTTTCACAACAGCAATGTGACACAAACACAGCACAGCCCAGCGCTGCACAATCCCCTTACCGAGACTCCAAAGTGCACCGTCTGGTGCTTTCAAGGAAAGTGAAAAACACTCGTAAATAATTAAAGGGAGGCAGGATTCAACATGGGAAGAGCACGTGCGACTGCCAGAAATGCGCTCTCTCTTCAGAATCCGAAATACATTCTCATACCATTTGATAGAACCATTTAATGATTCAAACCTACCCCAGCAGCCATTCAACGAACTGTTGTGATTTGGGGTGTCTAAATTAAAGAATGAGCTTTTTGACGATTTTGTCGTGTGCCCCAAATAGTTGCAGGGATCATGTGAACCAATTACATACAAAATACAATTATTGTCATTTACAGCCCTCTGTCAACTCACTTATGAAGGCATTCCCACACCGTGTTGGTCATGTGGCTTGTTTGACCACACGGGTCAAGAGTATGTTGGTAAATTAAGGGTCCAGGACCAGTTCGGGTATTGCTCATCACTGATGTTAACTATGCCAGGAATCAAACTCAGGACGCCAGGTTAACAGTGCAGTACGTTACCACTGCGCCACCACTCCAGCCATATAGGAATAAAAAAAATAACGCTCGATCCATGCTTGTAGTCTGCATTTGGAAAAAAAAGGTTTACTTTTACACAGGTGACCATTGTAAAACGGATGTTTCGTTTCCATGTGTTCTCACCGAGTAAAGTAATGTCAATAATTAAGTCACTCATTTTAAATTAATGAAGTGATGCATCCTCATAGCCTTAATTTGCATACAATTACAACACCATTAACGTACAATTACAACACCATTAATGCATGATGGGGACAATCTGTCTGAAGAGTGGCCAAACAGGATATTTCGCCTCCATTTATTTGGTATAGCCCTGTGAGCACAGAATGGGAACACCCCACTCATAGAAGGTAGCTGGATATAATTACTGCCAAACAACAAGTTGTGAAAATCCTTGGGTGTGTACCTTAACACACAGTCTTCTTGTCCTTCTTATTCGTGACGTGTGTAGAGTATTGTGAATGTGTAACCGCGCTGGCAGCTGAGAGCAATGGGAGCAGGAGGTTAGGAAACATATGCGTGTCTTTGGTGCAGCTGTGAAGTAAAGGCAGCGCTGAGTCACTGTGACGTGCGTCCTTGGCTTCCTGCTCTGTTACCCAAACGTGTTGATGGATGAGAACAAAAACATACTATGGAACAGTGTGAACTTATTTCCTTAAGGACAATTGAAATGTGATTTTCGTGTTTATTTTAATAGTGCACAGTGATAACGGAAGGCAAGGAGAAGAGGCAGGCAATTGAACAAGCCATGCGTGTATGACATCAATTGTGCCGCGCCAAAGACAAATATCGCCTGTAGAGCCTTTAACAGACTATTGGGGCAAGTGCTGTTCGTGAGCACCTATTAAGGCAGGAACCGCACACGAGGGGGTGGTGTGGCCAGAACCATACCTGGCCGCCTTTGTCTCTCTAATGCTGATCTTTATACCACACTAGGTACTAAATTCAGGGTGTATTGACCTATGGGGAAGCTCAAAACCGGTTTAAATATCACTCACCACTTGTGTTAGCCGTGGCCAATAATCGAATAAGGCCGCTGGGTCCGCAGTGAGCGAACCACGACATCACTGCTCCCCACATTTACCAGGCCATGGTTTACATCAGCGGCGAGTGTTATCTAAACAAGTTCTGGGCTTCCCTCCCTTAAACACTGGGGAGACAAAGGCAGCCGGGCGTAGCGCTGACCGCACACCACACTTCTGGAGCACCGAGCCAGTCTGGTTAGATGCTCGGTCACCACTGGGGAGACAAATATGCCCAGGCCTGGTGCTGGCCACACAAACCCCGCTGAGTGCTATACCAGCCTTGCAAAGATAGTTGCCAAGAGCACTTGCCCCCAACAGTGTGTTAAAGTTCAACACGTAGTAGGCTTTCACGACCAATATCATCCATAATAGAGGTTTCGGGGGGTGAGATCGCGTTAATATGTAAATGTGTCGTTAAACCCGCCACCACCTGACACAGCCAACTAGTAAGGGTTGTCACATAAACAGAACGCCGGTGTGCTGGAGAGCCAAGCCACGACATTTACAATCTGAGTACGACGTTGGGTCAGTAATTACAACTAGTTGTAACAACACATTTATATATTTACGCGATCTAACCCAGAAAAAACCCACTATTATAGTGTGTTAAAGACGACACGGGCGGGGGGGACGGGTCTATATGATGCTACACGCACCACCAATACTCAACCACCAGGGGTCATCCTCTCTGTCCACCGAGTGTGTGGCCAGCCAATGGAAGCGGTGCTCACTGCGTGTCACTCGAGTGAGCAAGTCGCACTGTCAGTGGACGAATACAACTGACGGTGTGGGCCGTCCGTATTGGTTGGGGATTTGAATGGGCGTGGAGGTGGTTGTGGTGCGTCGTGAGCAGCCACGGCCATCTGATTGGCTAGCAGGTGGAGTTGTCACTTCGCGAATTCCGTCGTCAGATGGCAGCACCGAGTAAGCACGTGCATGTGACGGGCAAGGCAGCACAGGCCGCCAAAGAATTTGAGTCTGTAAATGTAAATGCATCAGAATATTTATTTAGACTGGAGAAATCCGATGAGCTGCGAAGCTATTTTTCACAGATGCCCAGGAGGCGTGTCACGATGCATCGGATCATCAATTAAAGCCGATTATTAAGCTCGTGACAAATGCATTTCGTTGTGACAATTTTTTTGAAAATACAATTTGAAGGAAAATATCTGCAAATGATGAGCAAAGTTTACATTTAGGGAAAGCGAGCAAACAAAACTATGCAAATCAGACAGAAAAAATAAAAATATCGAGCAGACAGGAGAAAAACATAAAATCAACTGATACATGCTGAGTAATTACATTATTCTAAATGCTATCAGATTTTTGTATAGTATTTGGATATTGTGGAGGTCGTGGGTTCGAACAAGACCCAGACGCTTACATATTTGGAGTTTGCGTGTCTCTATCCCCGTGGTTGCTTGGATTGTTCTCCGGCTCCTTCGGGTTTTCCCTCCACATTAATAAACATGCGTTTAGAGTATTTGGTTACTATACATTTCCACGTGATAAGCCACTGCGTTGAGCGAGAATTTGTTGCCAGATCGCTTCTGAAAAAGAGCTATAGCTCAGTGGGCATTATAGTTAAGTTTAAATCTCATTTTATAGTGTATCCATATTTTAAATTGTAATACATTTTTGTATTGATATTTCTACATCTGATTAAACTGTATCACGATTGTTTTGCTTTGTTTTCATTCAGGCCTACAATTCACTTTTGGTCCCATTGGACTTGCGTGAAAAAAAGGTAACATTTAATTTTGCCTGCTATTATAAGATGCAATGATATACAGCACTGTAATATTAATTGAATCTAAAAAATTAAGGCCAGAATAATTCATTGATAAGCTGCAACCACATTGATTAAGTCATTCAGCTAGTTTCAAAGTTAATTTTGTTGAACCAGGATATAACTCAAAAGACAAAGATAGTCTCAGTTGCAAGAATGACACTGGGTCATCAACAAGCAAAGCATAGCAATGAAGCAAATAGAAAATCAAAACAAAAAGTGTATTACACTGAGATATAGAAAATATTGCACGCAAAAGAAATCTGTTTTAAGTAATACATTCCCAGTTGCCTGTTGGCTTGGGCAGATTGTTTTTTCAACTGATTAGAGTACAATTCCAAAAATTAAGTTACACAAACATTGAAGAGGTATAGGGTGACTATTATACTAATATGTTAACAGACAAATATAACTGTAAACTGCAAGTGAAGTTATCGTAAAGATTCGAGAGATTAGCATCAAATTGTAATCTATATGGGACAGTAACCAAGGAAACATTTGAATCAACGGAATTCAAGGTGTTTGGGGAGTTAACAGAGAATGAGTGATAATCATGAGTTTTTTCTCCTTGGAGTGTCTAACATTGAGGATTTTGGACCTGTATAAACACTTTGGAAAAGGAACGAGTTAAGTGTGTATGCGTTAAAGATTAACTTGGCCCAGTGAATCTCCCTCTCAGTTGATCCAAAGAGGTTTTAGAGGTTGATTTGTATATGATGTCAACAGTCTAGGAGAGGCAGAGGTAGCAGCTGTCACGTGTTTCCATGTAGAAGAGGAATAACAGGATATGTTTCTATTCAAATGTTTGATGAGGTATGAAGTTGACATAAGAATTGAGCCAGATGTAAAGATAATTGTGTATAAGGAAACATGTAAAATTGTTGCACTGCAGAGAGTGGGTTATGGCCAAGGTTCAATCGCCCCAAGCTGCAGTAGAGAAATTTTAAAAAATGTTGTCTCGTGTAACACATCAACTAGGCTGTCCATGGATGAACCTAACAAAAGAATAGCGTATTTCACATATAGCATGTAAGCCTTAGAGACTTAATGCAAATATGCACGATAAAGCTGAAAAAATACAAACAGGTGATCAGATGACCGAGCTGGCATCAGAGAACTTGGTGTAAAATTCAGGCAAGACATTGTGATTTAACCAGGCTTTCAAGTACAGTGAGTTATGGTTTCAGCCTGGTAACCAATGACGACACCAAAAAAAACAAACCCATAACATTGCATTTGGTTCTGCAATTAAATCGGCAAATTTCCAGCTCCGAAATTGATAAAATTTTTATTTAACTGTGTAAAAAAAAGGTTGCTTGATGGGATCTTAGAAGTGGTTCTGGTATTCACTTCCACGGGAATAACGTAAAGGTCTGCACCACTCCACGAGAGTTCCGCATCGGTACTGTCTCTAGACATGATATCGATAGGGGCAATGAGGATAAATAAGTGGGACAAGATTTGAAAAAAACTAATATTATTCAATACAGATTCCACTGCAAGGTAAATAATGTAGAATTTTTAATTTACATTGGGATCCACGTGTAGCTTGCGTAGAAATTACATTTACTTAATCTTGATTTGAAGCTTTCGTGACTGCAGGAATCCATACTCTTTGGTTCTTTCGGTAAAGTCAAGGCTCTGCACCATGGAGCCCAATGCATATCCGACCAGGACGACATAGCCAGTGAACTCAAGCACGTATACCAAACTCTTAAGGCTAATGGTTACTCCGACTACACAATCCGCAATGCTATCACTCCAACCATGAAGAAGGACCCTCTTGAGGAGCCATTCAAAACCATCACTTTACCCTACATTGCGGGGATCACAAAAAAGATCTCCAAAATCTTGAATAAACACAAGATCCAGGTCCGATTCAACACATTACATAAAATCCGTGATCTGGTTCTGTCTGTACAAGATGTGATTCCGGACATACAGTACCCTGGCGTCTACAAACTAAATTGCCTCTGTGGAAGTAGTTACATTGGAGAAACCAAACGACATGTCTCGGACCGCATCCGTGAACACAAAGCAGACCTAAAACACGGTAGGACCAAAACCTCGGCCGTGGCAGATCACTGTTATAATTCAGTAGGCTCACATGACATTGACTTCTCCAAGACAGAGGTTCTCTGCAAGTCATCTGGCTACCATGAGAGATTCGTTCATGAGGCTATCCACATATACAAACACAGAGACAATTTCAACCGAGAAGATGGATTCTGGCTTAGCAATCATTGGATGGATTTGATAAACCATTTCGGGTCTTAATTGATTGATCACGCTTAAGGTGGCTTTCAGACCGCATCCATTATTTTCGTCTCCCCCCTCCTCTTTTCCGAACATAGATAGACTCGTCCATCTGAACAAACTGTCAAATCGCTCTCCGTGGTGCCAACGTTAAAAAAACGCCACTTTTTTTCAAATGTTTCTTGCTGTGGTTTTCACACCTGATGATGATTGCTTGTGTTGCAGTCGAAACGTCGTGAAAATTGTATTGTTTTATATTTTTATTATTTTGTTTCCGTTCTCCGTGACTTTACCGAAAGAACCAAGAATATAAAGTCAAGTAGTTAGAAATAAAATAAAACAAATCACAACGTTTCGATTGCAACACAAGCTATTTTTTTACTGTGGTTTTCCTAGCTGATGATTGTGTTGCAATTGAAACGTCGTGATTTGTTTTATTTTATTTCTAACTACGTGACTTTACCGAAAGAACATTTACTTAATTAACTTACTTAACCACAGCTTGCCAAACACCAGCCATTGCAGCCCAATATTAACCTATTTTTTTCTTTACAATCTTCTAATTTCATATGCAGATTTATCTATTACACATGACAGCAGCTGATGACTGGTAAAAAGGCAAAACTGGACAGTGATGAGTTATAAGGACTGGGATTTGGAAAGCCATACTTTACAAACACATTGCAACTCAATGTTACGTTGGCATACAGAGGTGTACGTGGATCGTTGCATCTGAGGTGGTCCATGATGGAAAGCCTGGATGCAAATCCACTGCCAAATGAGGGACTATCTATGCCGTGTGGATTTCTGGGGGTTATATGACCACACTTTATGCTGATCAATGCAAGGTCGAAGGCAGGGTGAAAATCATTTGGAGCATTTTAATTCAAAATTGGTTTGCTGCACCGCCCTGTGCTGCCCAACACACAACACTGCCGCCCTATGACAACCTATTTGTGCACAGTGATTAACAAGCACTATCCAGGCTCCAAGCCTGCTTAGGTTCCAAGATGTAATTATATTGGGCATATTCCAGGCATTTAGTCGTAAAGCAAGCACCACCTTTTTTCAGTGCACCTTTAATGCCACGATGGGCACGAGAGGACCCATGCGCCTGGGCTTACCCGCCAGCACGACTGACTGCGAGGCGCCTTGGCGTTGCTGTAGCCACCATCCAAAGTGACGGATATGAAGTCTCGCCGCTGTGGGTTGTACATGGCTGTGGTGCTCTGCTCTGCGAGTGGGCTGCTACGGGACCCCGGCACTCATCTCCGCTGCGGGGCTTTCTTCTTTCACCATCGGTCGCTGTTCACGCCGGATTCCCATTCACCCTAAAGTGGGGGAGAAAGGCAACGTTGCAGTGGTGAATCCAGTCCAGATGTTCCCATGTGTTTTGCCCATTTGACATGCACATGGATAAGATATCTTTAGGTCTACCTTGAAAATAAAGACGTAGAAAGTCTCAATGGGCTTCCACACGCATTAATTAATGACTATGGCCTGAATTTGGACTTTTCATGAGCTGTAGTAGCTGCCTTCGCTGGAACGATCATTTGTGGCCAGGTCGCTTCTGAAAAATAAGTAATACCTCAGTGGGCTTTGCCATGTAGCAAGGGGGTGGTTTAATTTGATTTGTATGTGTTTGGGTGATTTATTTTTTAACCTTTCTTGTACTTTGCACGACTATAATGTTTTTGTACTGTTTGTTGTTGTAGAGTTCTTACCCGCCCGTAATGGAAATCTGCGAAAAAGAGATTCACAGCTCATCGGATTCCTCCACTGTAAATACATTCTGATAACATCTCTACTCTGTACCCCACAGAAGCCTTGTGCAATGGAAAAAGCGACATTATAAATATATGTACACGACAGAGCAGGTGTCTGTGGCATGAATGGGTGTCCAGTGCCCATGTGCCACGTAGTACAGATCACACGATGCCCAATTAAAACAAACTTGACAGCTATAACGTAAATTTTGATTTAAAGCTTTCGTGACTGCAGGGATTCATATTCTTGGTCCTTTCGGTAAAGTCACGTAGAAGGGAATTAATAAAATAAATATATATATTGTTTCCCTTCTACGTGACTTTACCGAAAGAACCAAGAATATATAGCTATAACGTAGTTTAATTGTATGCAGCACAAATAACTCGTCCTGTTATTACTCGTGTTATCTGTCCACCGACAGGTCCTCTGGCTCATGTTCATATGATTCTGTATGATTTCATGTCACCTTTGAAACTACAAAAATTATAGTACTACATACTATACGCTTCTTGAGTCATCGCTAGCTACACAATTAGTTAAAGCTGGCTTTCCATTGCTTTATTTTACACTGGTGATCCCACAACCGCATACATGGATGAAGATTTTACCTCGATTAACAAGCAAAAAAAATAACACAATACAGTGCAAGTAACAGATTAGTCCAAATTCATTGAATCAAAGGCCACACGAAGACAACCCCCCAGAAAACAATCTTATCTAACGCTGCAGATAACGATCTGTGTTCCACATTAAGACAACAGTATAAAAGCGTTCTTGACGAGGAAATAAAATAATCTTCATGTCACGATCAGGAGCCTGAATTACCAGCGCTTTAGTGCAGTCATTTCCTTTATTTACAATGGCTATTTTCTTTGGTTCTATTCGGTAAAGTCACGTAGGTTAAAAAAAATCAAAAAAATCACGACGTTTCGGCCACAACACAAAGCGGCCTTCATCAGTGAAGGGACCAGGCTGTCTCTGTTCCCTTCACCTGATGAAGGCCGCTTCTGTTGTGTCCGAAACGTCGTGATTTTTGTTGTTTTATTTTTTAACCTACGTGACTTTACCGAATAGAACCAAAGAGTATGGGATCATTGCAGTCACGAAAGCTTCAAATCTAGAATGTCTATTTTATCATCGTCGTCTGCAATCTCCTGAAGACGGAGGGGGGCACGGATCGTTGTTGATAACTTCGCCCCGCCTGAGTTCGATTCCCAAGCCAGGTGTAAACATCATCGCGGCGAATGAAATCTGAACTGATAAGCATGGTAAAGTATGAACGGCTGATGAGTGATTTATCACTATCAGTACAACCCGTACCCGCATGCATTCCGACAAATTAAGACATTTTACATCGCGTTCATCTTCGACACGTTCTCATAATATCTCCCAACTACATTGCGCGATCGTCATTATCACGACGTAAAAGCAATCACGATATTACAGACGAGACAATACCATGTTATCCGTACATGAGATAACGAATGGCCGATACATTACCCATCACCGCATATCGTTATCGCTGCAGGTTGCTTCTGCTTCGACGGTCACTTTAAACCCAAACACACACGGGGAGCCGAACCAACAAACGCCCACAACACTCACCCGACACACGGCCCATGCAGCAGCAGCAACAACAACAAACACGACTGACAGCCCGATTAACTACTAACGGATCCGCCCTATCTCACCGATCGGTGATTTAATTGATTGCGCGTCGCGGTGATCCGAGCCGATCGCGCTGAGCGGCGGTGCTTTGACGGCGCGCACGCCGCAGGGAAACATCGGCCACGTTCGTCAGCCCCTCGGTTCACTCCGGGTGACTTGAAGCCACTGGGAGGGAGCGGTCCCACGGCGCGGCCATCTTACGTAGGGAACTCAGCCACACACAAACCCCCCCTCTCCTCTTCAAGCCCCCCCCCCTCCTCATCAAGCCCCCCCCCTCCTCATCAAGCCCCCCCTCCCCATCAAGCCCCCCTCCCTTCCCATCAAGCTCCCCCCCTCCCCATCAAGCCCCCCCCATCAAGCCCCCCCTCCTCATCAAGCCCCCCCCCCATCAAGCCCCCCCCCATCAAGCCCCCCCCCATCAAGCCCCCCCCCATCAAGCCCCCCCCCATCAAGCCCCCCCTCCTCCCCATCAAGCCCCCCCCTCCTTATCAAGCCCCCCCCCTCCTCATCAAGCCCCCCCCTCCCCATCAAGCTCCTCCCCATCAAGCCCCCCCTCCTCATCAAGCCCCCCCTCCCCATCAAGCCCCTCCCCATCAAGCCCCCCCTCCCCATCAAGCTCCCCCCCATCAAGCCCCCCCCCCATCAAGCCCCCCCCCCACCAACTACCCCCACCAACCCCACCCCATCAACCCCCCCCCCCATAACCCCACATACCAACCCTCCCCATGTCCCCACCATCCCCCCCACCACATCTCCACCCCCCCCCCACATCCCCACCCACCAAACCTCCCAACATCCCCACCCACCAACCCCACCGACACTCACCAACCCCCCTCACACTGCCACCCAGCCACCCCCCCCCAACTCTACCCCGCACCCACCCCAACTCTAACCCCCACCCCACCCAGCCCCCCCCTCAACTCTACCCCCACCCACCCCAACCCAGCCCCCCCCCCAACTCTACCCCCACCCACCCCACCCAGCCCCCCCCAACTCTACCCCCACCCACCCCACCCAGCCCCCCCCCCAACTCTACCCCCACCCACCCCCTCCCGCCACCCCCACCCCCAACCCACAACCCCGCCCAACATCGCCCCCCCCCCACCCTTTCGCCAACTCAACGGGAACCCTGCAGTGACGACGTCATCGCCCCGCCCCCTCCCGAGACGCACTGGTCCCCCTTTGTACCCCTTGCGCAAGATGGCCGCCGAATGCCCCCTACCGGCGAATAACGTCACGAACGACGTCACGAACGACGTCACGCGCCGTCGAGGCGTTGCCGACTTCTCGTGCGAGCGTCGCTCCGGCGTCTTCTTAATCGCTTCCGTGGTGGTTGTTGTTGTTGTTTGTTTTTGTGTCTACCGCTTCCAGAAGACACTCTAATCGAACTCGCGTGCGTCTTCGAGAAGGAGGCCCATCACCCGAAACGTTTACGATTGCCACTCGAACGCGCGTGCGTCTTCTGGAAGAGGTCCATCACCCGAAACGTCGCCTATTACAGTACATATATAATTCGAACAACATCCTTCCAGTGTATTGCTGACGAACGTGTTCAGGTTTTTATAAAGCAGAAGCGGTCGTTTTATTCGGGCACGACGGTAGGAGCCTTCTGCATGTGGCATGCACCTAAGAGAATTGTTGAGGGCTGCTGCATGGTTGCTTAGACAGTTCTGTTCCTAAAATATTTACGGCACGTGTAAGTTCGGACATAATTACTGTTAAATAGTTCATAGTTCATTTATTTTTGTATAGCCCTGTGAGCCATTCGGCTCTTGAATCGGGTGCAACCGCAACAAACAAAAACATGAACAAGAAAAAACATCTTAAAGTGACTTTGTGTGACTGTGCAAACAGAAAAATCCAGGGAGAAAAAAAACATCAAAATATTCCTGAAATAGCACCGTACACCAACGCTGTGTGCAAAAATCCCAGTGGGATGCAAGTCAAACAACAACAACCACAAGACAACTAAGATTAAGGCCATCAGTCTAACTCCGTACTACAATAAACAAAAACATGGCCAAAAACTAAAAAAAAACTTTTCGAAATCACCAAAATAAAATAAAGAGTGCGAAGTGTGGTCATGAGCAGGACCCATCCACCTCAAGTGCTTTCCACCTAAACAACCGTGCATCAGATGCCACCCTTGAAGGGTCTTGTGGCACTGTAACCCCACAGTGCGCCCGTGACCCCCCGACTTCCAAAACATATCATTTGGTTTATGGATACAAGCCTGGACCTTATAGATCCCACATCAAACAGAGAGTGGCTGTGAACACACACACAAAAAAAACCCCGAACCGAGAATCGCCCTGCTACAGAAACTTGCAGGAAGCACCTGGAGTCCCACTGCTGATTGTGTTCCGAACTTCCGCCCCTTCACTACCGAGTGGTAAAAAAAAGGAGAATTGTGCTCCAACCTGGTCCGGAAGCTGCTGCATTACAACTGCGAGATGCACAACATGAACAACGCAGTACCGGCATCGTAACACTGAAACCAACACCAATCCCCCAGAACATTCCGCCCACTATACGCGGACGTGCACATTGCGAGAGGGGGAGTCTACGCTTGTTCTTGTTTCCGACAACTTATCCATCAACCGAGACCCCGACGGTGTACTTTCAACTCAATGTCGCGCTTTCACCGTCCTAGAATCGCAACTCAGATCCGGAAGATCTCTGGCGAACGGAGTGGAGCAACGCGGACATCTCCGTATTTATATAAAAGGGGAAATTTGTAAATATGTGTGTCTTCGAAATGTTTAGCGTAACTTCCCGACATGCAACAAACTTTAAATTTGGCATGTGGGTACTTTCCAGACTGTGTGGTGTGTCTGCAGCAAGCGCGTGTATGTGTACCTATGGACGCGCACGCGTTTGTGTGTGGGGGGGGGGGGCGGTAGTGTAGTGGTTAGCGTGCTGTCTGTGTGTTTGTGTGTGGGGGGAGCTGTAGTGTAGTGGTTAGCGTGCTGTGTTTGTGTGTGGGGGGCTGTAGTGTAGTGGTTAGCGTGCTGTGTTTGTGTGTGGGGGGGGGGGGGCTGTAGTGTAGTGGTTAGCGTGCTGTCTGTGTGTTTGTGTGTGGGGGGAGCTGTAGTGTAGTGGTTAGCGTGCTGTCTGTGTGTTTGTGTGTGGGGGGCTGTAGTGTAGTGGTTAGCGTGCTGTCTGTGTGTTTGTGTGTGGGGGGAGCTGTAGTGTAGTGGTTAGCGTGCTGTCTGTGTGTTTGTGTGTGGGGGGCTGTAGTGTAGTGGTTAGCGTGCTGTCTGTGTGTTTGTGTGGGGGGGGGGGCTGTAGTGTAGTGGTTAGCGTGCTGTCTGTGTGTTTGTGTCTGTGTGTGGGGGGCTGTAGTGTAGTGGTTAGCGTGCTGTCTGTGTGTTTGTGTGGGGGGGGGGGGGGCTGTAGTGTAGTGGTTAGCGTGCTGTCTGTGTGTTTGTGTCTGTGTGTGGGGTGGGGGGCTGTAGTGTAGTGGTTAGCGTGCTGTGTTTGTGTGTGGGGGGGGGGGGCTGTAGTGTAGTGGTTAGCGTCCTGTCTGTGTGTGTGTGGGGGGGGGAGCGGTAGTGTAGGTGTTAGCGTCCTGTCTGTGTGTTTGTGTCTCAGTGTGGGGGGGGGGGGCTGTAGTGGTGGTTAGCGCGCTGTTTGCGTGTGGGGGAGCGGTAGTGTAGTGGTTAGCGTGCTGTCTGTGTGTGGGGGGCTGTAGTGTAGTGGTTAGCGTGCTGTCTGTGTGTTTGTGTGGGGGGGGGGGCTGTAGTGTAGTGGTTAGCGCGCTGTTTGCGTGTGGGGGAGCGGTAGTGTAGTGGTTAGCACGCTGTTTGTGTGTGGGGGGAGCTGTAGTGTAGTGGTTAGCGTGCTGTCTGTGTGTGGGGGGCTGTAGTGTAGTGGTTAGCGTGCTGTCTGTGTGTTTGTGTGGGGGGGGGGGGGCTGTAGTGTAGTGGTTAGCGTGCTGTCTGTGTGTTTGTGTGGGGGGGGGGAGCTGTAGTGTAGTGGTTAGCGCACTGCGCTACGAACCCGGCGACCCGAGTTTGATTCCCGCTCACGGCCACCACCGGTTGACGATTATTTAAACCGGTCCTGGGCCTCCCCTAGGTCGACTCAGTCTCAAATGAGTAACTGGTATGGTGTGAACATCACCACTGGGGAGACAAAGGCGGCCGGGCGTGGTGAATCCATAGTCCCAGGTGAAGTCGGGTAGTATCGCTAGTCCAGAATAAATGCCTCGGTCGAGACCCAAAACATCACACCTCTTGGCTTTGACGTTCCTCCTCTTCGAAGACACTGGTGGTGTCACCATCATACCGCGTCAGGACATCAACAGACTGATGTTGCAAATCTCCTTCATAGGTGCAGCATTTAAAGACAAGCAACAGTCGTGTGATTGTGGTCATACAGCCCCAACTTCAGATCACATCGTGAACCAGTGGTTTGCGCTCCTATCGAGGCCAAGTAAAACGACACGATCTCCTGAAACCCTCTCGTCGTGTCTATCTGACCTCGACATTACCATTTAGCTCTTGAACATATTCGCCATTCGCAGCCAAAGGAGGGAACACGTCTAATACCACCGCCGCATGGATGGAGCGGTTAACTCATCGCAAGAACCGTGAGAGGTGGCGATGGCTTGGGGAGGACTTCAACAGTGGCTAATGATGACTGAACTTACTCTACAATATTGAGATTACACGTGTTTTTCCCCCCAAAAGGATAGTTTCATGTTTTTTAATACTCGAGCGCGATTCACTCTTGAACACTACTCCCCAAGTTCGATTGCCAACCATAATCTTTATGTAACCATCTAAAAGCCCATTATCATTCCATCGTGATGTTCTCTAACTATCTCAGAACAAAGACTAATTTTCCTGCAAATTGAGTCCAGTGTTATGCAACATGTGAGAATCAATGGAAAACATCTCTTATGACATGTCCTTTGTTTAACCATGTTAGAGCCCATTGAGATTTATTATCTAATCGTGACGCATGCGTTTTATTATTAATCACGTGTGTGAGAGCCCACTGAAATACATTATCTGTGGACATTGATGCCCTTCAAACACTGAGTTATAATCTCCGTTTAAAGATGTATTAACCCACCTACATACGTGTACTCGTAGCCTAGTACTTTGGTACATTTACTATCGGAATGACTAAATTGACAAATACGTGTATGTAATATTAACAGGGACTTTAACATGGCTAGATATCAGCCAGTA